AGGAGATACCTTTTGGTTCTTACACGGATAGCCATCTTACCCACTCCATGAACAACCAGGTTGATTTCTTCTCCACTCAATCCGAGCCTGTCGGCAGCTTTGTGGGTTATATAATTTGTGTCAGATGCCAGATCGATTAGAGTTCCAATTGTTTGTCCTGCATTTGTTGTCACCTCTTTGAGCATCATGATAACTGGAAGTTCCTGAAGTTCATTTTCGTCCAACAATCCAGGTTTCCCTTCTTTGGAACTTTCCCTCATAGCTCTGTTGGTAAATGCTTTCATACACCTTTCCACCATTTCAGGAGAAAGCTCAGAGAGGAATTTCTCTTGTTCCACAGTTAGTCTACTTCCTTTTTTCTCCTCCTTGATGGTAACTTTGCTTTCATGTTCAGATCTAGTCTCCCCTTTGGGACAGAAAAGATAATGATGATCTGCAGAGCCTCCTCCTTTGCATTCCTTTCTCCTGCACAGAAACATCTCTCTACACTTACTGTCATCTTCATGATAACCCAAACACCTTCTGCATAACCCAAGCTTCCTGAGGATTACCTTCTTTTCTGTAAATTGCAGTTCCTTGAATTTATTGCAAAAGAAGATTTTACCTTTGTGCTTCTCAGATCCACACACAATGCACACACCTTCAAACGGAGTTATCTTTGTTGACTTAGTAATTGCATAACTTCTCTCAGGCCTTCTGTCCAGCCTTTCCACTTTTTCCGTGACTCTTAGCTGCTCAAGTCTCTCAAGGATTCCTTCCTCCTTCTTCAAAAACTCAAGAAGTTTGTCAAAGTAATTTACTGATGTAACCTCACTATCTGGAGCAGTCACCAAAGCAAGCCAGTCCCTCTTCATGAACTCAGGAAGTTTACTTTCTATGGACTTAATTACAAGAGGATTTTTTATGACCTCCGTGTCTCCAAGGTCAGTAAGATCCACTAAAGCCTTCTCCACCGTTTGGACAAATTCGATCACTTTGCGTGGCTGGTTTCCTCTCATCACAGGAATTCTCTCTAATTCCTCCACAATTTCCATTGTAATTGCATAATTGTTCCCGTATCGATTTTGAAGCACCCTGAAAATCTCTACAGCAGTGTTGTAAGAGGACAAACGAAGATCTTTCACAATCCTGGCATCTATGCTGTCTAATAATTGAATTTTCTTGACCTCCACAGATCCAGAAGGTTCTCCCTGTTGTTGAAGTTTTTCCCAGTCTTTCCTCCACCGATAGAAGTTTCTCTTGTTTCCATCAAACACAGGCAAACTTGCTGGTCTGAATCTCACGATTGGGTTGCTTGGAGGCATAAAAGGCGGTGCGTGTGGCACAGTGGGGTTTGGGAGCAATGCATCTTCAGCGGCCCTCCGCGCTCTAGCAAACTCACCCTTCCTTGCTTCGAGCTCATTGCGATCTTCCCTTAATTTCCTCACACGTCCTTCCCAAACTTTCCTTTCGGCATCAGGGGTCCACTTCTCCCAGCTTGACAAAGCTCTTAGTGCTTCTTTAACAAGATTTTCAAGAAAGATGAGTTGAACTTCATAGTTTTCATACTCACTACTATCAATAGCTATGTTTGCTACTCGATCACAAGTCTTCTCCGCTGCAGTTATTGCACCAGTCACTTCATGCAGTCCATATCTTGACCAAAGATTAATTTGAACAATTTTTTCAACTTCATTAAACTTCTCATCACACTCACTTGCAGTTTTCTTAATATCAGCTTCCTGCTGCAATGGCTCTTCATCTTTGCTCTCATCATCCTCCATATCAGCGAGAAGTCCAGATCTGAAATCATCGTTTGTCTCGAAAACCTTTCGTGCGTTAAGTGAGAGCTTTTTGAACTCTTCTTTGAGCTCCTCTTCTAATAGCCTGTGAGCTTCTCTTTTAAGAAAATTGACTTGTCTTGTGAAACTAATTTTTGCAGCAGTCCTTTCTTTTTTAAGTTGCTCAATTGGTTTCCCCACTGCTTCTTCAGCCATTTTCAACTTATCCACTTAACACGTTAACAGCATCAACAACCTTCCTGTCTTTCACCTTCTTGCTCCAATGACGCACAGTCTGAGCTTGGACGTTCAGCACTGCCCCAAATGTGAAGTCCACCGCTGTTATGCTGATCTTCAAACTGTGTTGATAAGCTGGGCTGTCAGCTGTGGTTATCAACTGTCAAGTTTCTGGGGGGATTTCATACATCAGTTCTGCTTTAAACTTGAAAAATGCTTAGTCAACCACGGACACAGGAATCATCTCAAAAATGGCTTTTACTTTCATTCTTCATTAAAGTTGTTACAATCTTAACTTGCAGTCTCTTCTTTTCATTCATGTCACAATACATTGGAACAGATGAGCTTCATTTGCAGTCAGATTATCTTCAAACAGTAAATTCTTTGATAGAAGGCTTCAAGCTCAAACTAGGTTGATAACCTTTTTAAAAGAAAAACAGGAAGAGAAAAAAAAATACAAGATCTAATTATAAACGGATATTGACATTACATCACAGCAATATACACTCTACTAGACATTTTAAATTCATTTATAGATAATACTCTTATTCACAATCGTGTAAAATGTCTCATAGCAATATAAATCAATCAAGCGTCAAGCAGTCATCCTACCAGCAGCGTCTCGGGTTGATTAATCACTGATGCACATCCGATTTGCGTTGTATTTCTCTCTCATACCTCATAACTTCCAGTTACAAAGTTTTCCCCATTTTGTAGGAGGGAAGCTGGAAAAGCCTGCAAGCAACAAGCATTGTTCTCATTTCTCTTGTTTTTGCCTGTGCTTGGTCTCTAATGCGCTCTGAGGAATCAATCTTTATCAGGTGCGCTCGTAAATAGGGTTCGGCTTTTTCCGACAGATGCCGGATGACGTCACCCGGAAGACGGCGCTCTTCGTGCCTTTCCGTAACACCATCTATGACCGTCAATTCGGCGAAACCGAAAGAGAATTCTCTTCAGTAATTTCTCAAGTAATAATAAATTACATGTTTGACTTCACAATCACTGGGTACCTCATGATACGATACAATACATGATACATGGCTCACGAATCGATATAGATAATATCATGATAGAACAATTGTGCGATAATCAATATATTTCTAGACAATCCTATAATGATACATACATCACGATATCACGATAACTATGAAAACAAAATGCCTGTGAAAAGGTTAAGTGGCGGTTTTCTCTCTTTATTCAAGTCCAAACTTAGAAAACAGCACAAAAAGTTTTTCAGTCTATAAATTAAATTGAACATTTTAGGTAAATTAAACATTTTCATTGAGATCAGGGTGATGGCATTGCAAGTGACTTTGCCTGTCCGTGATATTACAAGTGTACTTTACTTTTTTGTACTCTTTGTCGATTTTGTTTGTCCCAGCAATGGGACAAACAGTGGGTCCAGTCTTTGGACTTGGCTGGGGCATCTATTATTTCATTCACACTGCTGCCGCCATCCCGTTAAAAACCTTTTTAATGTGTAATGAACTTATGTTCAAATTTCCTTCATCCATGTTTTGAGCACCACCTCGAGGAGGCATTAAGTAGCGACGCCTGGAAAATCTATTTAGAGAACCTTATTTCATTAATTAAAATATCTATATTTGGCGCCAGCTTATCGATTCTTGTATCGTACGGAGAAAGACAATGATTCATTGCCCTTTCGATATTTTATCTCACCCCTAATAATGTTACATAAGATTTCTAACGCTATTATTTTGAACTTTCTAATCATCAAATAATTATTAAGCAGCACAACTGTTTTCAACATTGATAATTAAAAGAAATGTTTCTTGAGTAGCAAATCATCATATAAGAATGATTTGTGGTATGATATAACAAGGATCATGTGACACTGATTAAAATTACATTTTAAAAGATATTAAAGGGACAATGTGTAGGAATTTCTCCCATCTAGCGGTGAAATTGTATGTTGCATTCAAATGCAAATCTGTCCATCCAGCCCCTCGCTTTTTCAAATGCGTCTTGTATCCACGGTAGCCGTTATGTACCAAAAAGCTATGACAGGATGTCGCGTCACGTGACGCTGACTCTAAACGAAAACGCGCTTTGGAAACACGTTGTCCTAGCACTTTTTGTCCCTCTCTGCTATAATAGTTTTTCAAGATGGCGGAACTACGTACATGGAAGCTTCCGTGGACCTACCCGTCCCATGTATATAAAGATAAATTCTTCGTTTTACGAGGATAAGTAAGATCATTGGCAGAGGTATTTGTACACCATAGAGGACATATTTATGAATACAAATATTGATTTTAGATAATAAAATACCTAAAAAAGTACACATTGTACCTTTAAAATAGAAAACGGTTATATTACTGCAGTTTTGATCATATAAACACAAACTTTGTGAGTTACTTCTTGAAAAAAAAAAACAATCTTACATAATCCAACCATTTAGTATGCATGTTTGTATAGACATACAGATTGTGTGTTGATGTTGGTTGGTTGGTAAGCAGTACAGAGATGTCCCAGAATGCCAGTGATTTCAGTGTCTACGCTCAAAGCCAGTGACACACCCATGGTTTACCACACACTGACTTTACAGTCACTCTCACACACACACACACACACACACACACACACACACACACACACACACACACACACACACACAGGGAAAGCCCCGAACTTGCAGAATCATAGACAGCTTGTCAACTGGTGTGTCTCTCAGTTTTCCAGAATGTTCTGGGTGTGTGTCAAGTCTCTCACAAAATGATTGTAAATATTACAGTTGTATGAGCATATTAGTTTTGCAGCAAATCAGGTTCTGTTCAAGATGCAACACAGACTGCAGACAGAGTCTGCATGAAATTGCAGAGTCACTGCAGTGCATCAATACTCATCAGAATAAGTCGCTCACAGCCTGCCAACTCGTTGACCTTGTGGGTGTGTGTGCATTTGGCTGTTTTTGTCTGTGTGTGAATATTCTGAATGAAGAGATGAAACCTAACTTCTTTTTTTTTCTTCTGTCTCTCTCAGCCCAAACTAATGGCGAAGGATCTTCTAGACCTGGTGGCGTCCCATTTCAACCTGAAGGAGAAGGAATATTTTGGAATCTCTTACGTGGATGAGACGTACGTATACCCAACACATCTGATGAAATACTACACATGCCTCTAACCGATGAGAAAAGACTGTCAGATGAAGCTGCAGTCATGAATAGTTCAGCTCTCTGACTGTGGATGAGTGAGCATGCTGTGATAATGCCACAGGAGATGATTGGCTTCCCTCTTTCTCCCTTCTTCACATTCTGCGACAACCAGCTTTTCATTTAGTCCTACACAGCGTGACCTACCGCTGTGCGACATTTGTTAGACGTAGCTTCGCATGATTTCTTTAAGGCACACTTAGAGCAGCATCACGTCTGTTCTCGCTGCCAGTGTGCTTGGGGAAATGTGTTATATGTAGTTTTCAAAGATTTTGAAATGTTGTCTGGTGACCTTTGATCCGCCCGCTGATCCTTCCCAACAAGGGGTTGACAGTTTGCAGTCGCCAAGGACAACATGCAAATAGACAAATGGATTTCTGTCAGAAACAAGTGCACACACAGTGTGAGTTCAAATTTTCCTATACAAATACAATTTAAAACACATTGTGTTGTTGCTTGTCAGTGGTACTTGCTAAGACTAGCATCAGTATGTTATATATCAGTGCAATACTTTCCCGAGTGCTTTTGTTTTTGTCATCACTGACTAAATTATGCATGAAAATGCACATGTGATGACATCTTGAACATAAAACACCCCTCTTGTGGCTCATTTTTCACATGATGTTTTTTAACGTAATGTGGTACTATGAATGAGACATTGTAAGATGTTGCGAGCCTTTTCCGATTGCTGTAGCAGATACTATCAGTCATTTCTCTTGGGCTGTGTTTCAGGGGTCATTTCAGCTGGTTGCAGTTAGATCGTCGTGTGCTGGAACATGAGTTTCCCAAGAAATCTGGACCCATTGTGCTGTACTTCTGTGTAAGGTAAGTACAATGGCAACAAAAACACAATAAACAAGTTTCAAATTCTAGTGAGCTGCGTTTTTTACCCTAAAACCGTATTCTGGACAAATGTGGGCAAAATAGTTTTGATTTATTTAAAAAAAATACTTCCCTTGATCTGAGCGGTACAACACTTGGCTGCTTTTCCTAAGTTTGCCTCCTGAACACACACAAAAAAAAACTCCTTAATCTCGTATTTGGGTCAAAAATGGGCACCCATTGAAATTAATGGGGAAAAACTGTAATTTAAAGCATTCTATAAGCCAAAATAAGACACCAGGTGACAGCAAAGTCACTTCATCTTTAGGTTTTAGCTCTAAGAGCTTATTGGAATGATATTTTAATGTAGTTAAAAAAATAAAACTACATAGCAATTCATTTCCATAAAAATAATTTACATAGAAATATGGTACTTTTTGAAGTAAATCAATTCAAATTAAAAAAACCCACCATAAATGGATAGACAAAACTTTATCGAAGACAGTGATATAACATTTATAATAAATAAAAATTAGGATCACACCTGAGTCCTCTGTGCCCACATTTGTCCACACTTACTGGATAAAGTGAATACGGTTTGAGGGCTAAGCACCAGATTGGATGTTTGAATGCGAATGATCAAAAATTGAAATATAGTGGATTTGCTCGACCGCCACCGCAAGCAGAGTGATGCAAACGGTGAAACAGCTCCAGTACTGATACTGAGGGAATATCGCACGGCTGGAAAAGGCTCTCAGCTAATTAGATTCAAAGACCAGAAAGAATATTGTATAAATAGATATAATGTTCTTTTTAAATAAAAAATAAATCACAGTTGCGTATAAAAAAACACACAAGACTTTCAGAGTAAGTTGGCGTCACCACTTCTGAGTATTTTCGTATTGGGGTTGAGGGCTTGTGTCTGTGTTTGTTTATTCTTTCAAATTAGCGGGGTCAGTAAACCACTGCTCATTAGCAGTTACAGAGAACATAGCCAATCAGAATCCACCTTTCCCTCTCATTAACACCCCCAGCAATTTGAGCACCATGGCAACACCAGAGTGTTAATCAGAATGTTTGGATTGCAGAGCATGAGCAGATATGCTGGGAGGGTTGATTCATTCATATTTGAATCTGCTTCGAAATATGACCAATACAAAGAGCAACCCAGTATATTTATTGCTCATGTGTGTTTGTATGACTGTGTGTGCGAGAGAGTTATAGTGGGCAAATTTGTTTGCTTCCTCACAGTATTTTACCGCGCAAGTCGCAATCAGCACACGGTCATACATCATCACTCTGGCTGTGGGTAGATGCTGGTTTATTGCTGCCAAGCTCCACATTAAAATAGCTCAGCAATTGTTGGGACACATTTGAATTGCTTTTCTTTCTTTCAGTCTATTCCACTTGCATCACTTAGCTTTTCTGGGTCACACACAGACACAAACACTTACATGCACGCATACGCACGCATGCATTTTGCTTTAATAGTGTGCAGTGCAGTTTGAATTAGAGTGAAGGCCCCGTTTTAATGCATGCATCATTGTGTATGTGTGCGTTATCCTTTCTGCCTGTGATTGGGTATATTGATTGGAGAGAGCTAAAGTCTTTGATGCGTTTAAGACTGTCTCACTCACATCTCAAATTAAACCAGCTGTCAATGCTGTTTTAATCACTTTGATCTCTCTCACTTTCACTCATTTTCTCTCTCTCTAAACTGCCAGTTACGTCTTTACAGAGTCATGGATTCAAAGCATATATCTTTGTGTCATGAGTCGTAGGGTTCATTTTAAGTTCGTTATGTGCCTCAGTGTATGTTCAAGGTCATTACAGATGTATAGGTATTAATGTGTGTGTCTGTAACCGTCCATATGTGAATGTCACAGCTTGAGCCTTCAGCTAAAATGAAAACTGTCGTGCTGAGACTGCTTATTTATTCTTGCTGATTTTGAGACAATTACTTGCGTGTTTGTTTGTTTGTTGCAGTTCCCGCAAACTCTAATCTGAGTGCTAAATGAAGCTTGTACAGTGGAAATTGTTTTCTTTTTGTGAGAGATGGAGACAGCAAGAGGATATAGCGAGTGTTTATGATGCCCTCTAGTGATTGGTTTTTGACTCTGTCTATAATAAATTGTTTTGTTTTTTCAGTGAGTTCATTGACCTGCTATTGTTGAATCAGAATTGGTTACTCATACTGAACAATTTTGAATCACATTCACAACTTTTTTTAATCTGTGTATTAAACTACTATCTTTAAACTTAGCCATTTTTGATGAGTGTATTTTCTCTTTAACAGGTTCTACATTGAAAGCATCTCGTACCTTAAGGACAATGCCACAATAGAGCTGTTCTTCCTCAATGCAAAGTCCTGCATCTATAAGGTAAACTGTTGTCACTGCTCTACCACTAGAGGGCAGTATTAGCTACTACCCCTTTGGTCAAGGTGCATACATTTGTTACTTCCATCTGTTCCATAGACAGTAAAAGAAATGGACCCCATTGATTTCAACGGAGAAGACTGAAGCCCGATTATTGCCCGACAGTTGAAAATCTTTTAGTAGCTGTGCCAAGACAAATCTGAATCACCTAATTCCTCAAAAACGCAAACGCTATTGAAATATTTTGTCCTGTTGCTTTTATGGACTCTATTTATGGGCTTCTATCTTGACTTTGTGCCTCCATGTTCCCTCGATTGCCTCATAGACAGTAAAAAAGCTTCGAGCTTCTCCTCCTGTTTATACGGTAATGTCTCTATTGTGCGACAGAAAGTCCCGTGATTATGACGCAATCGTTAGCCTATTTTTACAAAAACGGCTTCTACGGGGCCGTAACGTACAGTAAGATACAAAGAAATGGAGCATTTTATACATTGTCGTGTTTCTTTAGAAATAAATAATGGACAAATGAAGTCTTTGGACGCCTCAGATGTAAAGTTATTCGCTGTAAAAGAGACGCCGAAAATGAATGGGAGTCAATGGGATGCTAACAGCAGGTGAAGTTCTGCTACAATGGCGGCTCCCGCAAGGCTTCAACTTCCGGCTGATGGATTACCCCCTTGATCTGTTCTCGTGGAGCATCTTAGCCATAAATGTCATGTAACAAATCACTCTGGAGGTGACATCATGACAACACTGATTAGCTGATGGCACCATAAAAACATCCACATTGCCAAGCTCTTCTCTATTGACTATCAAACCGCATAAAATAAAATGTCATGATATATGCATATGTATGTAATTTACGTATGTATGTAAAGTTTTTTGTTTTTTAAAGAACTGCATTTAATTTATCAAAAGTAACCATATATTTTGACAGTGTTAGGAAAGATTTCTATTGCAACCATTTTTTGAACCGTCTATTAATTAAAGAATCCTGAAAAAAACAATATATCACAGTTTTCACAAAAATATTAAGCAGCACAACTGTTTTTAACATTGATTTACATCAACATTGACAAAATTAAATAAATTACAGTATAATATATACTATATTTATTATCAAATAAATGCAGCCTTGGTGAACATAAGATACTTTTTTTTTTTTTTTTTTACAAAAACAGAAAACAACTTTCCAACACCAAACTTTTGATATATACGTTTTTAATTGTTGCAAAATGTGCTTAATTCTTCCAAAAATATCCTGTATTTGTGAATGTCATTTGTTGCATACCACACATTCCCACCATGAGCTCATTGCTCAATTTACTTTAGAGTCAGCTTCCCAATATATGCCAGTTCTGTGTGTGTGTGTGTGTGTGACATTCCTGAAATTCTTGTGTTCTGCAAAGGTAATGAATCGCTCCGTTTGTCTTGGTCATTTAAGTAGTAAAGACCCCATAAGCCCTCATCTAAAAAAAAACATGTGTGTGTATGTGGCTTTGTCCTGCTATTGATTACACAGGAAATAGCTGAAGTGATTTAGAGATAGACCCTTCAGCAGATAAGGTCATTAAAAAAGAGATAGATAAGATAAGGGTCAGATTAATGAAGATGTCCTGTCTGCTGTGATCCTGAACCTAACTCTCTCGTTCTTTTCTCTCTTCTCGTTCTGTCTCCAGGAGCTCATAGAGGTGGACAGTGAAGTGGTCTTTGAACTGGCCTCCTACATCTTACAGGTAAGATCATGTTGGACTGTTTATCATTTTATGCACCTTCATGAACCCTGCGTTGAACTTTTATGTAGTTCAGAACATCTCAAACCCACGTGTGAAAGCATTATAGAGTCATAGTCTGGTCACTCCAGTATTTCAGCCTGACAGGGTGCTTTATTTTAAATCTAAAACAGGATGTTTCCTTTGTACTGTAAGTTAATCATACGAGGGAAGTACTTTAGAGAAATACGGTTTTTCTTTATGATGCGTATGTGTGATCCAGGTGTTTTAGTATCAGGTATGTTATGTGTGTTTGACCTTTCAGAGGATTCAGTCCAGATGGCTGCGACTGCATTCCCCACTGAGACACACGTGCACCGTTCTTTGTATCAGAGGATAGAATCTGTCCAAGCGTTCTTGTCTACCGGCAAGGACTCATTATTGATTCTAAAATATGTCATTTTTCTCTCCCACAGGAAGGTAAAGGAGACTTCACGAGGTAAGAAGCTTTTTGAATGAATGAATCACCTTCCATTGACCCCCTTTAACATGCACACACTATCAAAGTTTCTATCAGTGTGTCATTGCAGAGTGAAAGCAGATCCAATTTGTGGCATATATCAAACTCTCCTTCCCACATAAGCACATGCACACGATTCAAGAGGGAATGAGAGAGATATGGGGGTGTGAACCCTGGGAACGGAGACAGAGGGGAGGAAATGGAATGCAGAGGATAAACAGTGTTAAATTACACACACTAACCTCTGGATCTCTCTGTTACACACACACACACACACTCTTGGAACACTTTCTACACACAGTATCTCAGCTACAAATCTGTCACATGTGCATCCTTCCAGCTTTACTCTATCACTCTGTGTCTGATAGTTTTATTCAACGCTATTTCCTAATACACTTCCTCTCCTTCGTTCTCTGTTTGGAGTGGCACAATATGCACATTTTATATCCGTGAAATATTCTGATAGTCTACTAATTTTGCCATTATTATATATGATTTTGTCATTTTAATATATAAACTAATCATTTTGACTTATTAATTGATCACCATGTTTCCAAATGCAGCTTATAACTAGTCATATGATAATTATTATTATTTTTGAACAGTTTTATTACAATTTCAAATTATTATTAGTATTAATTCGTCTTTATATAGCTTGATAAAGGGGAAATTAATTAAAGTCACACAAAAATTAAATAATGTATTATTACTATTATTATTATATTTTTTCTGCCTTTAATTTATTCTTTTCATCATTTGCCAGCTTCTTGCTGTTCTGTGAATCTGATTGCCTGATTATTTGCCTCTTCCTGAGCATTTTGTGTTATTTTTACAGTAATGATGTTACCAGGGCTGATCTGAAGAAACTGCCTGCACTGCCTACACAAGCACTGAAGGAGCACCCTTCGCTCGCATATTGGTGAGAGACACACGGCTGTCAGCTGATAATGAAGAGATATTAACAAGACGTATCTGCTCCGTGTTGTAGAGCACCATGGGAAAGGATTGCCTTGAATAATTCGCTAACATAATTGACCTCAAATTCTATTTGATGTGAATCAAGTGTTTCACAGATGCTGCATTTCGGAGATGCACACACTCACTCACTCACTCACTCACTCACGTTCATAATGAGCAGGCCGGTCTACTTCCTGTTCTAAGAATGAACTTGTCTCGTTCGTGGTGTTGTGTTTCATTGGCTGTGTCTCTGTACATCTGTAAGCTCTCACTCTTGTCCGTTTCGTGCTCCTGTGGAATTAAAATAGGCTGACAGCCACATTCTCATGAACATTGTCATCTGTTGCCTCTAATGTGTGTGTGTTGTGTGTGTTGCAGTGAGGACCGGGTCATTGAGCACTATAAGAAGCTAAGCGGACAGTCCAGAGGCCAGGCTATCGTCAAGTAAGACAGCAAGAAAGAGTGTTATGTCTAAAATTTTCCACTAAGTTTGACAACCAGAAAGTGTCCAAATGCTTTTCATCTTAAAGGGATAGTTCACCTAAAAAATTGTTTCTGTCATTCCAAAAATGACTTTCTTACTTCTGCAGAACACAAAAGAAGATACAGCAGTTTTGCCGTTATTATTAAAGTCAATGGTGACACAAACCTCAAATATCAACATGTTTGGTAACAGAGAGAGCAAGAGTGAGATTTAATGTTTTGGAGTCCATTGACTTTCATTATGGAAACATGGCTTGTTTTGTGTTCTTTTGATTCAGTATCTAATGCAATGTCATTCATGCATTTTAAGCGTGTCTGAAGTTTCCAAATCCTTTTTCTACTTCCGAGATCCACTCCCACGTGCTTTCTGTTAATTGTTTGCATATGGAACATACATAACATATTGTCAATGATTTCTTCTTTCTTCTCTCCCACAGTTATATGAGTGTAGTGGAGTCATTGCCCACATATGGAGTGCATTATTACGCTGTTAAGGTGGGTCAGTCTGCTCTGAGAGGAAATTTATAAGCACAGCCATCAGTCCGTACACACACACACACACACACGTATGTTCTCACAACCCGCCGTATCGGCATTTTAGTGAAGTGTTAAAGGATGCTTAAGACTCTGTGTGTTTAAGATAATCATGCTGTCATCAACCATGAGCTGACACTACTCATCTTATCATCGTGTGTGTATTAATGCTCTCTTTTTCTCTCTCTTGCTCTCTCTCTCTCAGGATAAGCAAGGCATCCCATGGTGGCTTGGTTTGAGTTATAAAGGCATTTTTCAATATGACTACCAGGACAAAGTCAAACCAAGAAAGGTAAGACTGTCTTTCCTCTGTGGACTTGCAACAGTTTGACTTTTGTTTGTCCTTTCTTCACATCTCTTCAACTACTAATTCGATGGTAATTAGTAGTTCTTGGCTTTGGCCTACACCATTTGTCCAAGATACCTGAACAATACCTTAACTTGTTGAGGAGAGGTGTTTCTACACAATCAGACTTGTGGTTGTCACTTGTTTGGGGATTTCTTTGACTTAGGCAACCACCCAAAACCAGTCACTTCCCTAAAGCTCTTATGAAGCTTTGTTTCTTCATGAGGAATAGAAAAAAATCGTACTTCTTCTTTAAAACTCTCTGCTTTGCAGAAAATCTAGTGTATGTAAGCATTTTTCCTGTCGCTGTGTTTTGACACTTAGTGTGAGCTTCCTCAAGTGTGTGTTTGTGAATATGTGTTCATCACTTGGTCACCTTTGCTTAACCTCATGACATCATCCATTAGAAGTCTGACCGTCGGGTGTGGTGACCTCAGAGAGGTCATGGCCTCTGGCAGTCTGACCCCATGGAGCGTTTTTTTTTTTTTTTTTTTTGTGTGTAACTTTAGACAGAGATTCTCAAACTTCCAGACAGACAATCAGTGACACCCAGTAACTGAAATGCTACAAATCTTGTCTCAGTCAAAAGAATCTCTTGCTGTCAGAATGACTTTACTTCAGGTGTGCGCCCCGCTAGCTTTGGTTTTCCATTCTCACAGCACACACCCCGTGTTTAAATTCTCTCCAAAGGATAGGGCAAAAACTTCAGCCTGTGGTGAGGAACAGAGAAACCTTTCCACAAACCGCAAGCTAAAAATAGCTTTCAAAGCAGAAAGTCCAGCCAAGCGAAAAGCCAAACTCATGCCTATTTACAGAGAAGGATCTGTTACAGAAAGCGAGTTAAAATGAAACGACGCAGCAGAGGTCAGCTCAGAATGGAAGGAAGAGAAACCATCGAGAAGAACAAACGCATCTGCAAAAAAAAACGCCACAGATGCAAGATAAACAAAATTATAATTCCACTGACAAATCCACCTAAAACTGGATGTCAATTTAAAGCGATAGTTCAATCAAAAATGAAAATCACCATTTACTCACCCTCATGTTGTTCCAACCCTGTGATAATTATTTTCTTAGAATGCAAAATTATGTATTTTAAAGCATATGTCTACTGTTTGTATGCATACAGTGCAAGATTGGACCCCATTGACTTTCATTGTATGGACAAAAAAAAAAAACCTGAGACATTTTTCAAAATATCTTCTTTTATTTTCCACAGAATAACGAAAGTCCTCATGTTTGTAATGACATGAGAGTGAGTAAATAATGACAAAATCATCTATTTCTTTAATTACGGTGGACAATCAGACGTCCAGTCCTGCATGAAATGCCAGTCTGCTACTTTCCGTTGATCTGATCTGTGTTTCAGATGGGTCATTGCCACTGATGCTCTCATTTCACAGCTTGTCTCCATCACACATGCACGTTTTTGTGTTTTGATGATAAGCTTTCATGCGCTAATAGTTAGTGGCTGTTCTCCATCTGTGGGCAGTGTGTGGGACTGTGAGATATCCAGTTAAAAATCCCACACAGTAAAAGTTGCAGACTTAGTGAGTGAGTGGTTGGGTTTATTTAATGATTTTCAAACTAATTTATACCCTCTCCTAATGAGAGCATCTGTGCCAAAGTGTGTGTGTGTAACGTTTTACAGAGGCGTGACCAGTATATTTGTGGTTTCGTCATGAATTGTGGAGCGTGTGATTCTCAAGAGCTATTGTCCTCTACCTAAACCCCCTCCAGCAGCCTCCCTGACTCCAAAACCCGCAACAGGAAACCTAGCAGCAGACACCCGCAGGATTACTGTCGCCCTGACAACACAAAACATGCTGGAAACATTAGTGCGTCTGACGAATCCGGGACCACTCCCCAAAAACTGGCATGTGTGTTGCTGTTTCTGATTCGTTTGGATCAGCTCATTAGCTCCAGTTACTAAAAGATTTGTGCCTTATAAAACGTATGGGCAGCAAAGCAAATATGAAAAGCGTACTGTTGCCTTTCTAGCCAGATGTGATGCTCTAGCTATGAATCATGAGATTGCAACCCCTGAGTCAACGGTGATTGTTTTCATCCTGTCTGCTGCTGCTGACCTTTGACCTTTCCAATGCCCTGTCTTTTCTCATAAGCGCTCATTATAGCTCTGGCTAAGTAAATACCATGCCCCACACACACAGTCTTCCTGTACTCTGTATGTGTGTCTTTGTGTGAGAGAGAGAGAGGGGTTGGGGTTTATTGTATTATTCTATGTACAGACAGACTGCAGGGTGGGCGTTGTACGTTATATTAAAAGGAACAGCAGTGAATGTGAGTCATAGTGATGACACACCTATGACATTTACTAAACTCCCTTATGTTGGAACATTCTTTTTAAGCAGGTTTTGGCCAGCGAAGTTGTTAGCTATTGTAAAACCTAGTTGGCTGCTTATATAGGCAAGATTTTAAGGCATCATTGTCTCAATGAAAAATTTTTTTCAAATAGTAGACAACAAAATTAGGCTCATTTTGGCCGAAATCTTAGGCTGGCGTTCGTTGCATGTATTACTGACCATGCATTGCAGTATTTATTTACATCCAAAATGGTTGGAATTGGTGAGACAGTGAGAAGGTTGGATAAACTCTAGTGTTCAAAAGTTTGGGGTAGGTCTTTTTTTTTTTTTTAAAAACTAAAGTAACATTGTGAAATATTACTACTATAATAATTATATTAATTAAAATATCTGTTTCTACTTAAATATATTTTAAAATGTAATTTGTGACCCTTGTGTCTATATTTTTTAGATTTATCACAATAAATAAGCTTTCCATTGATGTATGGTTTGTTAGGATAGGACAATATTTGGGCGAGATGGGAATATGAGGGTGCAAAAATGTCAAAACATTGAGGAAATTGTCATGAAAGTTAATTTATTTTTGTGATTGTGCTGCATTTACTCACAAAACAAATGTTTTATATATTTATGGTAGGAAATTTCCAAAATATCTTCATGGAAAATGATCTTTACTTAATATCCTAATGATTTTTCTAAATGCTATTGTCATACATATACCCGTGCTCATTAATGTTAAAAACCAGTTGTGCTGCTTAAAGTTTTTGTGGAAACAGTGATCATTTTTAAGGAATAGAAAGTCCAAAAGATTATAGATTATACATGTTTACTTCCACTTTTGCTTAATTTAATCATTAAATAATTTTCTGAATAAAAGTATTGATTTTTTTTTTAACTCTTTCCCCAAAAATTCTGAACAGTAGTGTAAATCTATTTTATTCATTTATAAATGTATTGATGAAAATGGTACCATCTTATTGAGAATTGACTTTTTCACTCAACATTTGTGTACGAGTTGCGTTTGCTGTTTGTAAGTTTTTAGTTTAGCTGCATGCTAACATCAAACTTTATTGGAATCAACTATATCTATGTCTTTAGAACAGATAGAGGCATTGCCAATCTCTGGACCCCATCACCATGGCTGTGAACCTTTTGAAGTCCTGGACAAGGCTTAACCCTGTTTCCAGAGATCTAAATTACCAAACAACACAAGGCCTAGAACACAGTTCAGCTGTCAGTGAAATATGTGCTGGAACAAACCAGGATTCAGCTCATAAGGGCATCGCTGGCCACTTGTGGCCCTTTGAAATGTCTTTTCTCTTTTACAGCCTCTCGTGACTGCATGCTTCAAAATCACGCAGACTTACAGTTGAGATTGTCTCATTCCAGAACAAAAGCTGAAGTCCCCAGTTCCACCTCACTGTGCCCAAAATACTCTGGTGTGGTTAATGCCCCATGCCTCATTGGCTCTTATAACTGCAGAAAGCTACAGAGTGTTTAGATGTCATGGAACATTGTAGCCTCACTCACTCTCTTTTTCCCCTTTTCACTCTCTTAAGGAGAGAGAGAGATTATTATCTTCATAATGAAAGTTGTTTTGAAAGTGTTGCCGGTCACGTTTGTTCTTGGTCCCATGGGACCATCAAAGCATCTCATAAACACCAAGAAACGTTCACTTTAACACCATCAACATCTCTCTGCTGTTCAGTGACACTGTCTCTGTGATATATTGGCTTGGAAATTGTAAGGAATTTAACTCTTCTGGTTTCAATTTCACTCAACGGTTCCCTGAAATTGTTCCTCTGTTTTATCTTAATTAGTTCTTTTTATAAGCTCAGCACTTTGTGCTTTATAATGTGCTTTAAAAATTTGCTTTATAAACAAGTTTGAATTGAATTTATAATTTTAGTACTTTTGAGGAACAATAAACTAAACAAAAACAAAACTCTTTGGTAACACATTTTAAAGTGCCATTTATATTATTAAATTACCATAAAACTTGTGTATTAGTATTAGCTTAGTATTATTTACATACTTTTATAGTGTTGTTTATTAATATTTTGAACCAGCCTTGATTTTATATTTGGTTTTCATAATTAATTTTTTTTTTATTATTTTGATTTTGTGTAAATATTTCTATTTAGCTTTAATTTGTTTTATAAATTAAATTAATAATTTAATTAATTTATTTTTTATTTATTTATTTATTTAATTATTTCAACTTATTTCAGTAATTTGCCAAGGCAACATTTCTAATTTTTAAGTTTTTCATCTAAAATTTATATTTTATTTAATTTCAACTTAATTTAAATTAGTGTCAAATATGTGTTTTTAGTTTTAAATAATGATTACAACACCAATGTGTCACTAAACCAATTCAAACCAATAACAAGTTTGACACTCTTTACAGATTCTTTACAAGAACTGCCGAGTCATTTGTTCTCAAATTATTGTTCACAGATCTGTATTCTTGTGATTCTTTTTGTATTATTTTGCAATAACTAGACATTCTCATTTCATTCATTTACATTGGAATTGATTAGGGGTGGGAAATATACTGCTAGATATGATTAACCAGTAGAAATTTGTCAACAGGTAGAGAATTTGGACTATCGTCTATATCGCGGTTACGCACACGTGTTGTTTCTGTGCTGCGTTATCACTAAAGCTTATTGTATGCTTGCATTTTTAAGCATTGTGGCTCAATACTGATGCTCAATAAGCAGCAAAAGAGAACTCATTTCGCTATATGAGTGCACTGTTTGAGACACATTAATAAAGCCACTGCTTATGTGCGTGTGTGTACTGAAATTAGTTATTTTTGCCCCCAATTGTGCTTAAATGGTTAAATGCACATATCAAAATAGCATATTTGCATATATCCTCGAAAACAGTAATTTATGTCTTAAGTGAACGTAAACAGTTGAGAAGGAAACACTTGTGTAAATTAAATCCATGCATTCGGTCTTAAAGAGACAGTAGCCTAATATACCTGCTGTCTTCTGTGTCATTGTTTCAATCTCATCAAACAACAAAAGAGAGAAAATCTCACTTTTGTAACTAATAATTTACACAGTCAAGAAGACTATGCAGTGTTTTGATTACTTTATACTATTTATTTGGTATTTCTAGTGCTTGAAGTTTTTCATGTAGGTCTATTTCATTTGTTCAAATGAAGGACAACTATTTTAATGCAGTATTTTATCTGCATCGATGGAACAATGCAGACATTAAAAAAACATTAATGGAACCGACCATTGTGAAAATCATTTGGTTTTGAATAAGAAGCAGTTCTTAATTCCCAATCCTAGTGATATACTGTATGTGGAAATAGTTTTGTGTGTGTGTGTGTGTGTGTTTAACTAACTATGTTCCTTCCCTCCCCTCTTCCTTCATCTGTCCATTGTTTTCCCAGGCTCTAAACATTCTTGAGCTCTTTAAGCCAACCCCCCCTCCCTTTCCTTCTCCACTCTATTCCATCCTTTCTTCATTTTTCATCATTTTTTCCATTATTTTTCTTATTTTTTCCCCTTATATCAAGGTCTTTGCAAGGGAATGCTCTTAATAATGATATTAACAGCAATTATGGATAGTTTGTATAGCCTAGCTTGGAAGGAGTGTATAGTGCTTTCTCTCTCCTGTTATTAAATGAAAGCAATAGATTCATTGAGCGCATATTCATAGCACTTTCTCCGCCATTCTCTTTCATTTGCGTTTTCTTTGTGTCTGTGCAGCTGATGGCTCCAGGAGTCCAGTTTGTGTATCTCAGACAGCCATGTGTGTGCGTGATGGTGTGTAATGAGAACCAGAACCTGGTTTCTTGAGTGAATGAGGGGAAAAGAGGTGGAGGAGTTTAACAAAGCCGTAGCGCTGCATTTTCAGGGGTTACTACAGCACACACTCATAACACATCGCTCTGAACTCTCCGTAAACCCCGCCCACACAGGAAGTGTGTGTCCCAGAGGGAGGAGAGGCTTGGACGGGGTTTGACTCCTCCCACTCTTGCTTGCTTTCTCTCTCCATCTCTCTTAAGCCAAACAGTCTCTCTCATTTTACACATATACAGAGGAGGGCACATTGTTCTCCAGTTTTTAAGGAGGATTTTACACACACACACACACACACTTTCACCATAAGCACACTTTCAGGTGAATGAAAAAGTTAAATATCTTGGCTTGGACTTGCATTGTGGATTGTCTTTTACTGGCTGTTCCCGTAGTTTTCTGATCTGGAAGGAGTTGCAGTCTGAAGACGTTGGAGCACCGTCCGTGGAATGTTTGATTGAAGTTTTGGGAATGTTGTTAAAGCGTTCTCTCATCTCTGCAGGTGTTCCAATGGAGACAATTGGAGAATCTCTACTTCAGGGAGAAGAAGTTCTCAGTGGAAGTTCATGACCCAAGAAGGTAAATCTACATTACAGCCTACACATGCTCGCTCACACACACAGGTCATGGACTATATACAGTATATTGGCTTACAAACAACTGACAGGACATGCTGTGAGGACCACTTTCAATCCAACCCAGCATGAATTTTAAAGACAGGTTTGTTTAGATGTCATGAAACGTTTGAAAGATCTCAGCGGTTTGTGGGTCCTGTTGGTATGGTTTTGTCCTTTGTTTTCTAGTGTGGGAATAATTGGAATTACTTAGAAGTAAAGTGGCATGATGTACTGAACTTTAAACATAGCATATTCTACAGCATCAAGAATAAAATAGGGTTGATTATGAAGTCTGATTTCTATGGAGGAACATCTTATAAAGCATTTACATGTCAGTTATACAAGTTTTGTTTTGTTTTTTCAAAAATATGTCGGACTTTGACAGGAAACCCCATTTCTCTGTCCTCATCTTCCTTAAGAGAAACATTGTGAGGTAAATGTTCATAGTTACAGCTGATTGGCCTCCATCCACAAGCGTCCACTGAGCTAAGCTATTTGTTATTGGACTGAAATCTCTTACTTCCTGTGTCCTGTGGAGAAGAGCATAGAAATACAACTGGAACAAAAACATACCCTACTCTTTCTTTCTGACTCTCCATCTGTAGAGATTGAGATGCGGTTTGAGTTAATTTCCGATTCTCTGCTCTTCTCTCTCGTCCTGTCACAACTGGGGATGTTTCGGATGTTCCGTTTTTTCTGAATCTCTCTCCATCGATATTAAGAGGTGTTTACGTTTTAATCAGGCCCTTATGACATCATCAGTGCGTGCTGAGGGCTGGTTAGTCTTTTAGGAGAGCAGACGCTGCCAAAAGCAGCAGCACACGCGGCCTCAGATGCTGACAGATAAACCGCCTCATTCACGCTGTTCAAACAACAACCCCGACAGCCCAGAAACGAGGAGAACACGGAGGGAGTTCACAGAAATGCTGGAGGCTGGGGAAATAAGACATGAAAGAGAGGAAAATAGTTTAGGAAGATGAAACAATCTGTTTATTTTGCAGCATGAGGGTCTATAGTGTATTTTATTTCAAGTTAGGTTCACTGTCATTCAGTTAGAGTCATTGCAACACACACACATGCGCTAATCGTTTTGATAAGAGTCAGAACACGAGGGTCTGCTGTTTATCTTCGTTCTAGTGGAGAGGCCTGGAGGTTTTTATAAAGCCCATCACAGGACACACACGTGCGCTGGGTTTGACCACAGTGTGTGCTACAATGTGTGTGGTATGTTAAGCTGATACATTGCAGGGCTGTCAGGAGTATGTGCGAACACCAGTTCACATTTAATATCTCCCACATAAATATAATTTATACTGGTGGCTAATAATATGGCAGAGAATATAATTTAAATGAATTTTCGTGTTTTTATGCGTCTCTTTAGTATTGACACTATCATTCAAAAGTTTGTTTTGTTTTCTTAAAAAAAAAAAAATTAATATAAATGAATATAAAACGTTTATTCAGAACATTCTTAAGATAATCCTAAAAAAGGGCATCATGGTTTCCACTAAAATATTAGGCTGGGCAATTGTTTTCATATGTTTTCAACATATTCTTGAGCAGCATATTAGAAGGATCAGGTGACACTGAAGACTGAAAATTCAGCTTTACCATCACAGGAATAAAAATCTAAAACATTTTTATATCAAATAAGCTTTGTCTTAGCATTAGCTTAATTAGCCAGCAACAAGATGCTCATGCTTTTTTGCCTGTTTTTATTTTGGCTTTGAAATGTAGTTCTTCTAATTTAGAGGTAGTAACCTTTTTATGACAGTGTATTTATTGAAAAGACAAACACAAATATGCTGTGCATCTGTTAATACATAACAGTGTTTTAAATGTGTTTGGACAATAATAAACATTTTTACATCCGTTTCTGCTCTGACAATGTCATAAAATTCAGTGAATATAAAGTCGGTTTGTGTTTACTCCAACTGCAGGGCGTCGGTAACGCGGAGGACATTTGGTCACAGTGGCATCGCCGTGCACACCTGGTACGCCTGTCCCACCCTCATTAAATCCATCTGGGCCATGGCCATCAGCCAACACCAGTTCTACCTGGACCGCAAACAGAGCAAAGTAAGTGTGTTTATGTTTTAGAATCTGTGTGTGTGTGTGTGTTTGTGTTAACCTTTTAGACTATCGGACCATTTTTAGACCATCGGTTTTAGAGTTTTAGACCATCGGTGTGAGGACAAAGAGACATTTTGTCTGGTCCTCACTTTATGAGACCCATTTAAAGGCCTGTTTGAGGGTCAAGACTTGGTTTTAGGAATATGGTTATATTTAAGTTAGGTTGGGTTTAGGGTAAGGGTCCGGGTTAGGCACTAGTTGTACTAGTTGGTTTACAAGGGTTAGGAGCAAAAGATTCCAATGTGTCAATGAATAGATACACAAAGATAGATGTACGTGTATGTGTATGTGTTTGTGTGTGTGTGTATAAACTTTTCTTACTACAACAACCTTCCTGTGTGTTTCTGTGGTCTACCTCTAACCATTTCACCGTCTAGACTACCATCTCTCTGCAATCATCAGGGCTACATTAACTTTCTCTCTTTTACTCTCACACACACACACACACAACTATCTGTCTCTGATCTTGCTCATGGATTCTGTTACACTTTTAAAAGCTGCGGAATGTTCGTCTCCTGGAAAATTCTGACACACTCGTCACAGCTGGCAAGCACATTCACTCTCTCTGTCTCTGTCTCTCAGAGTAAGATCCATGCAGCGCGCAGTCTGAACGAGATAGCCATAGACCTGACAGAAACAGGAACCCTCAAGACCTCCAAACTGGCCAACATGGGCAGCAAAGGCAAAATCATCAGCGGGAGCAGCGGAAGCCTGCTGTCCTCAGGTCAGAACGCATACATGCTCGCAAGCCACCTTTATTTATATATCACTTTATACTTTACAGATTTTTTCAAAACAGAATCAATTATGGAAACAGAATTCAATTCAGCTGTAAAGCAGCTCTAGTGCTTATAGTATAAAGACAATAGTGTCATTATTCATCTGAAGAACTAGTGTGTTCAGTTCAGTTCAATAACTGTAAAGTTCATCAATAGCCTCTATGCACGATCGCTTCCGGGTTTGTCTCAGCACGCCCAGTTACATCCGGTGCTGCGTCAGTCTATGGTCAGAAGCTGGTTTTGCGTTAGGTGGAGATAGTGTCAAATTACACTTGCTGTTTATAAAAGCGTCCTGCGGTTAACGTGAATGATGTTAACAACACTGTGAGGCAGTTAGCTGTCACACAAGAGTAAAAAAAGAGAAGTTATTTAAATTGTATATTTCGAGCTACATCAACAACTTTGAGGGTTAGTATTCTCTCATATCATACGAAATTCGACTAGCGAATCAGCGTTTCTAAAATCGTTGTCTCCGTTTCTGAAAAAAAATGAATTTTATTAAAGTTTTCCCGCTAGACACTTGGCATGCAGAACGCGCTTCCCGAAGTAAAGACGCTGACTGAGATTCTTTCGGACACACGTCAGCAGGGTTCGTGCATAGAGCCTATTATAAAAACTAATTCAATTCTGCAATAAGCAGCTCTACTTAAGACAATAGTGTCATTAGCTCAGCTTGAGTCAGTGCAGTGATTGAAATCCGTTCAATAGTGTCAATACTGCAAAATGTTTAAATTACGAAACAATTTTGATTCAGCTATGAATTAGCTCTGCATAAGGCTGCCATCATTCAGCTCAATTCAGTTATCCAATAGTGATTCAGATTATTGAATAGGGGCTTTCGCACCAGAGGATCCTTTTCATAGTTGCTCGAACTATTGGCAGAAGTACCCAGATTTTTGCGTGTTCGCACCGCAGGAACTAGGAACGGTTTTAGTTCTAGGAACTCCTTATGTAGGAACTAATTTAGCTCCTTCTTCAGAGTTGGGTCTAAACCAGCACAATAGGAACTACCAGAAACTTTAGTGTACGCGACTGGCCGAACGCACACGAAACGCCAGCATCCGCCATTTTTTAAAAAGCTGTGTAAACACAGATTATAGCCTATATATTTGCTCCAGAAACTAACTCTATGAACATGGAAAACAGTGATAGATGGGCCTCTTAAGCTTTATTATACAATACCTAATTATTTTAGATTAATTTTAATCCATTATTTGTTACATCATGTCTACAACATGTTATTGTTACACCCTGCCCAGTGCTGTCCTCTACACAACGTGTAATATAAACCCTATGAAGACAAATATAGTGAATGTATCTATGTTGGCTATGCTGCACATTATAAGAAAAAAAGGGTTAAATACAAATTATATTCTAAACCTTAAATCAACTAATTGCTTACTATTTTAAAGAAGAAATTAAAAATACTAAATTAAAAATGATAATAAACAACCACGTATAAAGAACACACATTCACTCATATGAATATGGCTATATTACATTAATGGGAGAATCTCTAGTAAATTGCATGTTATTTTGTTTAGTTGTCTATTTGGAATCGTGGGAGAATTGCAATCTCTATTAACAAAACAACTTACACTTAAAAACTTTTGTAGTGTGCACTTGGCTTCATATACTCCTATTATATGTGTGAATTCAGTGTTTATGAACTCATGCTCATGGTGATGATAATAATGATGTCATTTTGGGGCGTGGGTATGTGTGTAAATTTTACAAGGGGTGAGAGTGAGAACAGCTTGTCTTGATGCTGGTTTTGGACTTTTGCCGTGGTGTCAGATATCATGAATTAAATGAACTCATAGCAGGACTGGTGTCAGTCATATGATCTCCCCTTTCATGTGGGCTGTTTCTTCAACCTCTTAATCATTGACCACGCGTGATCGATTAGTGGAAGGTCAAAGAGAAAAAGAAAATCCAAAGACAAAAAAATGTAGGGTAGCACTTGATGTTATCCAATTGGAATTGTTTGGAGAATCCAAAAATGGGGTCATACTCCGTTATGTCAGTTCACAAAGAAAGTTTCTTCTTTGGAAAACCATACATGAATTGTGCGCAATAAGGCATTAAGTAAACAATTTTATTTACATTCACTTTAAAAAGACTATTCAGTGGGACATAATGGATGGAAATATATCAACCACTGGTGTTATATTTTATTGTTGTTGGTATTATTTGTTTCTGCCCATGCAGTTTTGCTTATATGAGCAGAAAATCAAAAGTTGTTGTTTAATACTCCAGATTTCAGTGTCACATGATCCTTCAGAAATCATTCTAATTTGCTTTTTGTGGCAAATTCAAGCTGAATAATGTCGAAAACGTGCATGGTTATGAATGCACTACATTAAATGTGCATGTGTGTCATTGCTCTGTAAAGTCCTCAGATGTTACAGGAAGACCCCTTTTCTCCTGAAGAGTCTGAAAGGATAGAGAGATTTCACAGAGACTCTCTCCAAAACAATGTCCCTCTGTTGCAGTGACAAGAAATATGCAGTGTTTCGTGTCATGCGGCGTGATGCCTTTCTTTGCAGTAGATTTGCTTCATAGGTTCACTACAGGAAAGTTCTCCCCCTCTGTAGTTCCCATGAACCCCACCCATAACTGATTTTCTCCTAATGTCTTTCTTTTTCACATCTTTGTGCTGGATATTTTCCAATGGGAAGCAAAAATGATTTATTTAGCTTCTCAGCAGTTCCAGACTTGGTGGAGTGGAAAAGCTCTTTGCAGCTAAATTCTCCTGTCTCTCCTCTTACACACACACAGGAACTTGGAGACAAGAATTCCCACTCTGCTTCACTCGTATGTTCATAGTGATTCTGGGAAAAACAGCTGTTTAAATGTGCCATTAGAAGTGCTCACCTAACAGCTGGTTTTGGAGCTTATAGTCCATTTGACATTAAAATGGATCATATTTACTTTATTTTATAGATGTCTCTGTGAATATTTTTTTTTACACCGAAATATACTACCGTTCAAAAGTTTGGGGCCTGTAAGATTTGTTTTATGTTTTTTGCAAGAAAGCTCTTATGCTCATCAAGGCTGTATTTATATGATCAAAAAATATTGTCAATTATTATCACAATTTAAAATAATAAAATATTTCATAATGTACTTTATTCCCGGGGTGCAAAGGTGAATTTTCAGCATCATCACTCCAGTCTTCAGTGGCACATCCTTTAGAAATCATGATATGCTGATTTTCTGATTCTTATTATTATTAATGTTGAAAACCGTTGAGCTGTTTAGTATTTTGTAAGTCAAGATTCTTTGATAAATAGAAGGTTCAGAAGAGCAGCATTTATTTAAAATAATAATCTTTTTTATTAGGGATGCACCGATATGAAAATGTTGGCCGATACCGATAATTCTTTATATTTGAAAGCCGATAACCGATATATCGGCCGATAAACTTAAATCCAAATTTTTATCTAATTTTGAGAGCCTACAAAAACAAAAGTCTCACAATTAAATCCATGCGCACAATTATAATGATGTTCTCATTATAGTGTTGTATAGCCGATATGACAGATTTGCGTTGCACATGTTGTCCCGAACCAGATTTTCATTTTTTGAAGAGATTTCAATCATATTTCAAGAAATTCAAAAACATAAACAGTTCTCAACAAGTGCCTCAGCTGAAGGGAATAATACATTATTTATCGGCTTTAATATATCGGCCAAATTTTCTTACCAGGCCGATAACGATAACTTTAAAAATGAACATATATCGACCGATACCAATATGCTGGCCGATATATCGTGCATCCCTATTTTGTATTATTATAACTGTTTGCCACTTTTGATCAATCTTGCTGAATAAAACTATTAATTTCTTTCAAAAAAAAAATTAGAATTATTACTTACCCCAACACTAGTGTATGTTACAATATGGAACATTGCCAAATGCCATCCCATATTGTCTGATTTACAGTGACAGGACAAACTTTTGGTTTCAGGGCTTTTGTGCAGCCTTGGGCTAAAGATACAGACACACACACACATAACAGGCTTGACTGGGCATTAGCGACACAGCCAGTGACCCCAGACACATTCTCTCTCTATTACTGCTGACCCTTTACTGATTTCCTGACGGCTACCTGCTCACACGCACACTCATTACCCCCTTCTAGACACACCAGATCATATTGCTCTGCAGAGATTCAGGAATCTGTCCCTGATGCTGTTTCCCACTGGGTAAACAAACACTGTTTTAATTTCTTTAGCATTGTCTGGTGATATTAAGTTATTGTTGTTATGTAATCCTTGCCAATCTTTCCAAAAAATTGCATACACACACACAGCTTGTGTGATCATGCTCTGATGCACATGGAGTTTCTGCTAAACAATTAGGACCCTTTGTTCAGTTCTGTCCGGAAACACACACACACACACGCACACATTCGTCCCGTTTCAGAGCGTCAAAAGAGGTGAAGTACACACCCTCTCAATAAGCGAGAAGGTCAGTCTGATTGTTTAAGCTGAAATCTGGAGCTGCTGATGCTTGTTTAGCCTTTAAATGTTTCTGATCTTTGACCTTTAGGTTACACGCACACTATATGTATTTGGTCAAATGTGGCTTATGTCAACCCTAGATTTGATCTAACCCTGTGTGTGTGTGCATTTGTAGGCTCTCAAGAGTCGGACAGCTCCCAGACCGCTAAGAAGGACATGTTGGCGGCTCTGAGGGCCAGACAGGAAGCACTGGAGGAGACGCTCAGACAGAGAATAGAGGAACTCAAGAGCATCTGCATCAGAGAAGCGGTAAGTACCGAAACAAACTTTCACTTCAGCATAACGGCTTTTTGAAATCCTAGGTTGACTTGCTGTCTACAATTTTTTTTTTTTTTTTTTTGTGAACAGCTGGCACAAAGAACAAACACAATTCCACTCCATATTTTGGTGTGAAGAGTGTTTTCAAATCATGAAAAGGGCTTCAAATTAGCCGCTTAATTCTATTTACAATTTGAGTTATTAACTAATATACTTGTACTTATATTTTTAATTGTCAATTATTAACTTTCTCTGCTATGTTGCATTAACATTGAGCAGTGCATTCTGGGATTACATGAAGTGATGCTGTAGATTTTGAACACAAACAGCTGGATTAAGAGTGTAACATTGTGTTATTTGTTTCAGGAGCTGACAGGAAAACTTCCAAAAGAGTACCCTCTGGACCCCGGCGAGGAGCCGCCCACCGTCAGACGCAAAATCGGCACGGCCTTCAAATTGGATGAGCAGAAGATCCTGCCCAAAGGGGAGGTCAGTGACATCCAACCTCATCACACCCTTTGACCACTGTCACAACCGTGGCTGAGTGGGCATCCTGTTTATAGTCTGATTTAGTTGGTACCGTTCAAACTTCTGACCCCCTGACCACAGCGAATGCTGCGAAATTTTATCATCATAAACTGCCCTTTAAGCCAAACTCAGACTCAGATGGTCATGTTTGTGTGCAGGGGTCTATAAATAGCTCCAGTCTGGCATGATCAAGGGAAGTGGTGATAGTGCAGTGTATGTGTTGAGTGTCAGCCAAAGGAGCAGGATTACAAAATCCAAAAAAAGAGCTTAGCTGTGTGAATGTGTGTGAAAGAAGCAAGCTGCAGTCATATAAGAGGTTCCAATGTCATCTTCGCCTCAGCGTGTATGCGCCTTTTACATGACTGATGATTGTTGATTTTGGGTGATTAATCGAAGGCATTGATAAGAGGCCACAATATCTTAGCTCTCTCAATGTGTGTGTGAGAACTAGACAACTTGGAGCCCGTAGCTGTCTTGTTATTCTGACGGAGTGTGTTTGCAGTTTCACAAAGTGAAGAATTACATGTTTTTTTGATTAATATACTCATTTTGTGTGTGTTTACATCTGTGTTTTTTAGGAAGAGGAATTGGAACGTTTGGAAAGGGAATTTGCTATCCAGTCTCAGATAACAGAGGCGGCGCGGCGGTTAGCATCGGATCCTCATATCAGCAGCAAGAAGCTGAAGAAACAGAGGAAGACGTCGTATCTGAATGCTCTGAAGAAGCTGCAAGACATCGAGAACGGCATTAACGAGCACCGCGTTCGCTCCGGGAAGAAACCCACGCAACGTGCCTCTCTCATCATAGAGGGTGAGGAATTAAGTTTGTAAAGATGTTTTCACTGAGTTACTTGTGAGTTCTTTAAGTGTTTCCTCTGTTAAGTCTTTCATGCTGAGAGCAAGAGTAATCACCCCTCCCCATAGACCTATAAAACAGTGTGAACTTATGTGTTGGTGTGTGACCTCTGCTGTGAAATTCACTCATTTTCAGACTCAGGTTGTAGCGATTTGTTTGACATTTTGATGTGTGGGAGTTTTCGCTTTGTAATTGTCTTTGTCTTTGTTTGGCAGAAGCAAATATCGGCTCAGAGGACAGCTCGTTGTCTGATGCACTGGTGCTGGATGATGGTGCGTTTTGTACACTTTTATACACGCATACCAATTTTAGGGTAGGGTTTGATTTTATCTATCTATAGTTTAAGATTGGGTGTTTTGTTTGGTATATCACAAAAGTTACAATAAACACAATAATTATTTTGCCAAGTAACATAGTTTACTGATGCAAAACATTTGCCTAATTAATATTCATTTATTTGGCTCATTAATATTTAGTGTAGAATTCAATTGATTTTTTTCTTCAACAATCAGATAATCCATGTCAAGCCATTTTGTAAACTATTTTCTATCTTAAGTAATTCTTTTATTAAATTATTGTTATTATTTTTTTAATGAATTTAAATGTAACTTTCTTAATTTAGCAATTTTGTCCACAAAAGAAACACAAATACACACGCCATCTTAACATTCAGTCAGTTCATCTCACTCTATTCTCCAGATGACTCCCAGGTGACAGGAACCCCCACGTTCTCTCCAGCTGCCTCCCCACACAAAGGTCTCCCTCCCAGACCTCCGTCCCATAGCCGGCCACCTCCCCCCCAGTCCCTGGACGGACTGAGACACCTGCACTACCAGCGCAGTGACTACGACAAGTCCCCGATCAAACCCCGCATGTGGAGCGAAAGCTCATTAGACGAACCCTACGAACGGGTGAAGAAACGATCCTCGCACTCCAGGTACGGACCAAACCGAAAATGTGTGTTGTGCTCGGGATGAATGGTTTAGTGCATGTTTAAATGAATGCATCGTGTTATCTCTTTGTGCAGTAGTCACAGGCGGTTCCCCAGCACAGGCAGCTGTGAGGCGGGAGGGAGCAACTCTCTCCAGAACAGCCCGGTGCGCTCCCTCCCTCACTGGAACAGTCAGTCCAGCATGCCCTCCACCCCTGACCTGAGGACACGGAGCTACGTCCACTCAGCCAGGTGCTGCCACACACCCTACAATGTCCTCTACTGTCAACATGAAAACATTATCTAGTGTTTTATTTAACATACTATTTGCATAATTATATTTTTATGTGAAATAAAGTCATTATTTTTTACAGGAATCGTTCATATTTTAAATTGAATACAATTATATATGTATTCATTTAATATTAAAAAAAATATATATATAAAAAAATCAACATAAATCCAATATCAACCCTATTTACCATTATAGTACTTGTTCATGCATGGTTCATTAGTGTTCATTATTCTGAGAAAAGTAATGTTAGTGTTTGTAATCTTTCTTTAAAATAATTTCTACATCAATTCCTATAATTTTTTTTAACATCAACTCAATTCTAATTGATAAAATCTAGGGCTGTGCAAAAATTAATTGCGATTAATCGCATCCAAAATAAAAGTCTGTGTTTACATAATATATTTGTGTGTGCTGTATATAATTATTTATTTAATAATATAAGTATATATAAATACCTATGCATGCATGTATATATTTAAGAATTATTTGCGCTTAAATTCTGTATATATAAATACATAATCTAAATTATATAAATATAAATATTTTATATATGAATAACACATTTTCTTAAATATATACATGCATGTGTGTGTATTTATATATACAAAATCATTATATACAGCACACACAAATATATTATGTAAACACAAACTTTTATTTTGGATGCGATTAATCGCAATTAATTTTTGCACAGCCCTAATAAAATCCATTCCTTGTTGCATTTCTCCATAGAATATACTAATTAAATGTTGATGTAAACAATTTGTAAAAAAAAGTAATAATAATAATAATAAACACAAACACACACATATACAGTATATGTAAATATATCCAAACAATCCACTAAAAGTCAATTTTCAATTCTTTCTCAGTTTAACTCAGCCCTTCCGTGGCCGGAGTTCCAGTTTGGAGTCTCAGGGGAAGCTGCTGTCCTTAGAGGCACACACAGAGGCAGGACTTAGCCCTGACCTCTTTCTGTCAGGACCCCAGAGGACAGGAAGCAATGGCTCTGTTGTCCCCGACGACTGCTCATCTTGCACCAGCCACTCCAGCTCAGAACATTATTACCCCTCGTCCACCTCTAACCCCAACTACTGTACGCTGGCCGAGGACTCGCCATCCAAAGCCCGTCAGCGGCAGCGGCAGCGCCACAAGTCCGCCGGACACCTGGGTGCGTCCAGTTCCGGCAGCATGCCCAATCTAGCGGCCCGTAACGGGAGCACCCACGGAGGAGTGTGCGGGAGCCACCAGGGCGTGTACCTCCACAGCCAGAGCCAGCCATCCTCGCAGTACCGTATCAAAGAGTACCCGCTGTACACAGAGGGCAGCAGCCCCAATGCCGTGGTGGTCCGCAGCCTGGAAAATGACCAGGAGGGGCACTACAGCGTCAAGGCACAGTTCAAAACCTCCAACTCGTACACAGCCGGGGGGCTTTATAAGGAGGGGTGGGGCTCCGGGGAGGACGGGGAAGCGGGTGGTGGCAGCGGGAGGTTGACGCCCTCCCGCTCGCAGATTGTGAGGACTCCGTCTCTGGGCAGGGAAGGAGGAGGAGGAGGAGGGGGGCGGGCAGCGGTGTCAGAGGAGCTGAGGTGCTGGTACCAGCGCTCGTCTGGATCGATAAAGGAGCACAGCCGCGTCACACACACCAGCTCCAATGCTTCAGACGGCCGTGGAGGACGAATAGGGTCGCTAGTGAAGGGGTCACCAGGTGAGCAGGACAAATATGAACTATGCAAAAAGTATATGGATACCCGATAGACCTCAATCAGAGTAAACGTCATTAATTAAACACAAACTTTATTTGCAATATGTATATATATATATATATATATATATATATAGAGCCATCATTCTTAGCAACACAGAATAAGAACATTTTCTTAGTGACAATTATAACTGTCTATGCGATTTTCTTGTTCTATGCAAAAAAGAACTACATGCTATTTATGATGTCTGATAAGCAGAATTTGTCAAACATATTATATCGTGTTGAACAATAGAGTAATCAATCAGTTTGAATCAGACTCATCTGACAGTACTTATTAAACTGAAAGTTTTTATTTGTTTGGTTATGTATGATTTCAGTTAAGCTGTTTCTGAGGTTTGTGACACGGAAATCAGTTTTGATTAACCATTGTATCGAACGGCTCTATAATTTGACGTCTAGAAAAAGTTATTTGAATCCAAACTTTTTTATTTTCAATCGAGAAGCTCCTACTTATTTGTATTTATGTATTTATTTTTGATAGCCCTGGAAAATGAAAATGAGGCTGCGAGAGAAAAAAAACTCAACGCATGTTTTATGGTGTTTGCATTTATGTAAAGTATCTTTATTCATTGAATGATCAACACCCACACATGTCCCCAATGGTAAAAAAAAAAAAAAAATGCACAGACTGTAATTCTTACCCTCACAACTGGAGTTGTGAAAAAGAAAGAAAGAAAGAAAGAAAGAAAGAAAGAAAGAAAGAAAGAAAGAAAGAAAGAAAGAAAGAAAGAAAGAAAGAAAGAAAGAAAGACCTATTTGGTATCACTTTATTTTACAGTGTACTTGTATATGTGCTTACCATAGTAAAAACACTAAATTATGCATAATTGCATGCAACCACCCCTAAACCAAATCCTAATCCTACCCTAACCCTTTAGTAAGTACATGTAGTAGCTTAATATTACTCAGTACTTAAATATATGTAATGATTACACCTTAAAATAAACTGTAACCGACCTAATTTATGTGTCAACTTCAGGGCATAGCTGTGAGCCGTGTGTGTGTGTGTGTGTATGCTGTCAGGGTGGTCTGGTCAGTGTGTGGTTGTGTAGTGGGGATTATCGCCTCTCTCTGGGTGGCAGAAATACTCCAAACCTTTTCCAGCAGATCAAGAGGGTGTTGGCAGCAAGCAGTCAGCTTTATCTCCGACAAGTTCACCACGTGCATAAGCATATGTGACTGGAGTTCAACAGTATGCATTTAGTGTCTATAGTGAAGTCTGTGTGTGTTTCAGCTGCATCTCCACACAGTCAGAGGAGTGGAACTCCCTGTAGTGAGCCTGCAGCTACACCCCCCTGCAGCCCACAACACATACTCAATTGGCAGAGCGGGTAAGACACAGAATCAGTGTATTTAAGCACACAGAATAAATGTTGGTTTATTGTTATTTACTTATATGTAGTATATGTAAATAGTAGCTAGTCAATGTAAATAGCACAAACTGTATATAACACACTCTAGTGTTCAAGTGGCTTGTTAGATAGATACTGTGCTGTAGTTTCTTAGATGGATTGACTGATCAAAATCTTTTAATAATAAATCTAAGTCACCAGAAGTATGTAGTCAATGATAATAGTTTTGTGCACACAAAAAAAAAAAAAATCACCTGTATTATTTGTCAGTGATATCACTCAAGGTTTATATCCATGCACTTAACTTTGACCAAGAATGTTGATATGTACTTGAAATTTTCATTTAGCTGTTCTTGGTTTTTGCCAAGTTTGCACAATTGGTTTGGTTTTGTCAGTAGGTATGTACTACAAAGAACGGTCTAAATTTAGACATTTTTGAGGATGTTGGTCAAAGTCTGGGCTATGGAGCATATTGTCTTGGTTTAGACGCTCACCTAACTGTGCCAATGCTTTGTCTGTGTTGTTCACTTTAATAGTGTGTAACAGAACTATCCCTGTGTCAAAATTACACAACTCAATCTACATTAACTGATCACGGCTACCCACAAAACGCTAACCTCTCTCTCCCTCTCTCACTCCCTCTCTCTCTCTCTCTCTCTCTCTCTCTCTCTCTCTCTCTCTCTCTTTCTCTCTCTCTCTCTTTGTGTCTCACTAACCCACCTCTGCCTGAATGTGTGTTTTCTTGGGCCAGTGATACGACTGAAAGTTCTCCTACTGAAGACCGTTCTCCCTCTCACCAAAGCACTGACCAATAGAGAGGTACACTCTCTCTCTCTTTCTCTCTCTCTCTCTCTCTGCATGTTCTGTATCTCACTCTTTCACTCCTTCACCTCTCTGATTGTGTCATTGTTTTCTTGTGTTGGAATGCAAATTGTAACTAAATTTATTTCAAAATACAAATTTTATTTTAGCGTACTTAATAATAAAATTGCTAGGGAGGCAATGACTCTGTGGAAAAACTTTAAGGTTTAGGCAGTATGACCAAACTTTTGCATCAAAATTAAAAATATTAAAAAAATTGTATAAAATGATGAATCAGTTTCTTTATGTATTTATTTAAATTATATATATATATATATATATATATATATATATATATTACACATTATATTACATATATATGTTACATTTTTAATTATATATATATTGTATATATACACATATTATTTTATTCTTTAATATGTATATTATTGTATTAAATATATTAAGAAGGAAATCTAAAATTACATTTAATATTTATGATATATTTAATACAGTACATTGAACATGTTTTACAAATAAAATATAATTAATAGGGGTGTGACTACACTTGTTTAAGACAATATTTTGTACAATTTTACAATAGGGGAGACAATATTTTTTAAGATATCTTCAATGACAAAATATGACTGGAAAAAGTCTTTTATTCGACTGAAAGTCACAAAATGCAAAACAATATGGTAATACAAATAGACCTTTGTTGAACAATAGCCTTAAAATATGACTTAAAAATACATAATATAATAACAACGAAGCAATAAAAATGCAGGTGTCTTGAGGAAAATGCTACCTATGAATGTCACTTCTACTTCTCACAGATCTACTTTCCGTGTACTAATTATCATAAGCAGTTAAAGGACACAAACTCATCTCCAACTGATATCGCGAAACAGGTTTTCACCTCAATTAGAAATATCGTGAGATCTCCTTACACCCCTTGTAATTAATCAATTTTTATTATTTTTGTCTCATTTGGGATTTTCATTTTTCTTCCTTGGTTCCATATGCCAAAAACATAAAGAAGTCATTCCCGTTGTTGCCCATGTCCAGGTTGTTGCTTTTTCTGTGCTGATTTTTGGGGGAAATTCTGCCGAATGTATTTAAATATGCTTAAAAGAATAGGGATAGTTGAAAGCATGTTCAAATGACATATCTGACTTTTTCCTTGACATGTCATTGCAGATCGCCGTTCGCCGATAGTTGTTTCCTGAGCAGTCCCCTGTGCTCTGAGATAGCGGACGTACAGTGGTACGGGCATGAGAAGGCAAAGCCGGGAACGCTCGTCTAAACCATCATCCCTCATCCCTCTCTCTTTAAAAGAGTGTTCAGAAGGCAGGCCTGACCACAGTCTGGACCTCAACTCATCCGAACACACTTATGGCTGGAGCCAGTACCACCTCAACCTCTCTTTCATCTCTGTCTCTCTGTATACCCGGCGGTAAAGTGTTTATGAACTATGGGAATACAAGACTCTGAATGAACTGAGCTTGACCTTGTCTGACCCTCCCACTCAGACTTTTGAACTCTGACCCAGTTAGCTGGCAGCCGGTTCCTCCATATGCACAAACCCTCTGTTTATTCCATCGCTGGAGTGATGTGCATAAGAGAAACGTCTTATGTGCGTTGTACTATAAGTGAACCCCACTCATGCGCGAATAGACATTCGTCCCCTGCTGTCGTGTGTGTCCCTCTGCACTAATGTCAGAGAGCCGGCGTCGTTCTCTCTCATGCACATGACATGCACAAAAACATTCCGATGGATTGCTTTGTTGTCAACCATCTTTGTAGATCTTTCTGTTCTCAGTTCTGTTAAAAAAACAAAACCATTTATGACCACAAACCTTTCATTAGCCATCTCATTTGGACCGCAGCGCACCGTAAGCCCCTCCCTCTGTCTGTGGACTTTGATATTTTGTGAATAACAATAGAGCATTTCAAATGGAAGAAGCCTATCTTCGGTCATCCTGGATTGGAAAACGAGCCCCGATATCACATCGCTCAAGCATTACAAAGAACTACTTAATTTCAAGGAAATTCGAAAACAATTGTGGTCTTTGTACGTAATGTTGGTTTGTCATTCTCAATGTTTGCAGAACATTAGCTAACTTTTAGAAGCCATGGCTGTACAACAAATCTGAAGCATTAGGTTAGAGGCATTAGCATGACCCTCGGGATTGAACGACCAAGTACTGCAACTCAGGCCGCGACCGGTGCACTTTGCTAGTAAGGCAACTTCGCCACCATGGTGCTCAGAGCCTGAACTGTACAGCCCACACTGCATGCAGAACTGTCACTAACCCCGCGTATAGTGTTGTGACATCAGTGAAGTAACGAGACACACGAAAATACCTTCTCCGAACACTCCTGGCCTTATCGGTTTTCTGTTTTTATGTATCTGTTTTTAATATTCAGGATTTTACCTAACAGTAACACCACTTTGACATTCTGTTGACATTTTTAAATCTGTCAGATGAGCACAACACGACGTGGCACACAGACTCGATATTTCAACGGAAATGACATTACCTCCGCCCTGAGCTGTCGAAGGCTTTCGGGAGAACAGCATTCCAGAATGTGACACGATTAAAGCAGCTGCTTAGTTTTACAAGCGACCGGTAAGAAACCATAAGCTTAAACAATACAGGGTGTTTCATGCTTTCATCACGCAGTCAACAAGATCCGAAACCACGTGTGCCCCTCGCCTCGATCGTCCGATCGAGGAAAAACATCAAGCCATAACGCTAAAGACATTATTACGCGCTCTGCAAGATACGAAAAATATCGTACGTGCAAAGTACCTTAAGAAACAGGTAGCTAAAAGCACACCCTTTGCCGTTACTACAGAAATTCAATAGTTTGTGCGTTGACATAAGCAAATGTGTATTCAAAAGGGTCCAAATCACCAGGCGCTGAAATCTAAAAGTCATCCGATTCATGCCCATTCAAAGATGTTTTTTTTATCTGCCCCTAACATTGATTGTTCATTGTTTCTGTGCATGCTCAGCACACTGTGTAATGCATCTTGATGTTAAAACTTAAACCCGGTGTGAAAACAGCCCTAATCGAAAGTAAAACACCTCATCCACGTCTACGTTTAGAGGCCGTTCAGACCTCATACCCTCTTAGGCCAGTGTGAGCTGACTCCTATCGTCTACCTGTACGCGATAACAAAAAACATAAGTCTTTTTATATTAAAAAAAAAAAAGAAAACTAACACATTTCTAGGCAGGACTGTGGAAACTGGGTTCTTTTAAAAGAAAAAGTAAAACCAATCTTTTGATTTTTATAAATCGGTATTCGTTTTATTTCCATGTCTTTAAGCTGGGAAATCGCAACAACACGTTCAGGTGCTACAGGAAGACCAGTTGCTGCTTTGGTTTCCGGCTGTAGACTTTTCCTAACTGTTGTCCATAGTTTTAATACCAGTTGTGCAAAATGAAGGACTTTAGTTACTAAACTGTCTTACCACTTCATCTTGACAATAGAGCATGTTTTATGAGTTCATTTTCAGATATAACCGGACACAATAAAAATGGTGTTGTAGAAAAAAATAAAAGTGGAATTGTTGGGCAGGTTAAATATAACCAAATTCCACAGTTAATTTATTCTTTTTTCTATTAAGAATTTGTATAGTAACATTTTTCAAAAACCGTGTTGTTGGCAACTGATACTGAATTTTCCAGATGAGAAATGTTGGTGGTTCTTGAGATTCTGAAATAAATTATTGCTGAATGTTCGCTAAACCGAAGCGTGAAATCACTTTATTGCTATTATTCAGATAGTGTGTCTTGCATGTAGATAACAGAGTGATATGCATGGTTAATGTATATTTATCGTTATTCATAACGCAACTTGCCCCTCCAGGTGGATGAAGGTGATGATCCGCTTCCTCCGGGCGTAATTGAAATTCCCGCATGTCACCTTTTTGGATTATGTTTCTGCATTTGTAATGAGATCAGCCGCTGGTGGAGCTGACAATCACACCCGGTGATTGAAATACCAAGTACGTGAAACTGAAATTTGATTTGCCATATCTGAATGCTGCTTGAAAATATCAAAATCCTTTTAATGCAGGAAAAGAGAAAGAAAATTGTCCTGCTTTGAACGTGCATTCAAGATTACTGAATGTCCTGTTTTGGACTGGCCAGGTAGGTTCTGTTTATTGCTTATGAATTATTTTGTCCTCAGTGTTTGTTTGCTTATGAATGGAATGTGAAACTCAAAGATTTCAATATTAGCATTGTTGATTTACATACAATATTGTCAAATCAAAAATATACATTAATATACAAAAACAGTGACAAATGAAAAAAAAAAATGGATTAAATTATAATGGCCACACTTTAGATCAGGGTCCAATGCTTATTATTAACTAACTATAATCAACGTTTTTTTTTTTTTTTTTTTGCCTCAATAAACTCATTACTGGGTAGTTATTAAGTTTAAGGCATGTAGAATACAGAATAATGCATTAATATGTGCTTTATAAGCATTTATAAACAGCCAATATCTTAGTAATATGTATGCTAATAAGCAATTAATACTTACAATTGGACCAGAAACTAAAGTGTTTAGTTAACAATAACAACACTGGTAAGGACTTTAACACTGGTCCTGTTTCAGTTTGTAACTGTTTTCTTTATTTCACATGTAAAGAAAACATCTTTAAGATGTTTATTTAACTTTTTGATTCAGTTTTATATGTTCTGTTGGTTGTATTTTATCCCAGCTTTTATGTAGTGTTAAAAAACTGAAACAGGAAGTGCTTCTGGACCAGTGTTGTTTACATCTTGCAAAATGGCCAACCCTGCTTCTGTTGATCGACTGACCTCCACAGTTCATCTCCAACTCTAATCAAGTGATCCTGAAGACCTTAATTGGTTGCTTCAGGTGTGTTTGATTAGGGGTAGTGATAAACTGCAGGACAGTCAATCGGTAGGAGTAGGGTTGGGCACCCCTGCTTTAATATATACAAATATAGTGCTCCATTTATGTTCCACAGAAAATAGAGAATCATGTTTGGAATATCATGAGGGTGAGTAAATGATGACTTTCTTTATTCCCATAAGTCCCTATTATCACCTTCCTGTGTCAGACAGGACACTTTAGTTATGCAATGCCTGCTAGGGTTCTGATCCCTACTACCATCTTACATACTACGTCAATATGACTCACACATTTTTCACAGGAAGTGTGTGAGGATGTTTGTGCCTCAGACAATGGCTTGGGATCTCCCCTGGCAACAGGAACATAACACTGGAAAACCAAACATTGGAGAATTGACTGCTGTTATTGTGCTGAAAACCCAATGTGATGCTCGAAATACGCTTTTTGGGGCAGCCCAGTCTATTGTACCCACTGCAGCTGGAATGTGAGCAACAAGAGACACTGTGTTTATGGAGATCTTCCATTTCCTGTGAAGCTCAGTGGATGCTTTGTTGAATGAAATATTTTCACCACTGAATCCATGACATTCCCCTGCTGTGTGTGAAGGGCTTGAGGAACACTGAGGAATGTTGTGTTCAGTGAACATGAAAGCTTGACTTCATAGGGCATCACCGTGACCCCTAGTATGGAGGGTCAAGGCTTTTCGAGTTATTTTGGAGAATTGTTTGAGTTTGGCAGGCTCACAAGTGACTTTAGGCCAAAATAAACACGAGAGTGTGTGGAAAGCACTACTGCTGTCAGTCCAAAGGGGGTGGTAAGATGAAGTATTGAATGATCTGAGCTTGAAAGGTTCATTCTCCACTAATAATTCATGAACAATTAACATTGTGACCTTAACCCTAGGTTAACTGAGTCCTTGTCCAAACAAGCACAACATGGTAAAACAACATGTCTCTTCCATGTAAATTAGATTTGTATTTGTAAATCACTCTGGGTTTTCAGTTATTCTCTGCAAGTTGTATCATAATGCTGGAGGTGGCGACTATCTGACTGAGACTGAGGCTGTTTAAAAACATGGATTTGTTGTTGACTTAACTGATTTGTTCAAAATCACTGGCTGCATGCAAATATGCATATTATCCTGCTAAATAGTAGATCCTGAAAAATAGTATTTATAAAACGGTAGGTGAAAAGTACCCGGATGACCAACTACTTCCGCCAAGACTTCAAAGTGCGCTTTTGATGAACACTCAACTGCCCAGACAGCAACACCATACGTATGGATTCCATCTGCATCAGATGTGGCGCGAATCTGTGCCAACACTGTTGCTGTCTGGGTGATGTTGGGATGTCACATGACAATGATAACATGTCGGATGTAGTATTCCTGGAATTCATTCAAATTGCGCACACTCATACTATATGGAACTTGGAACATACTTTTTAACTAAACACTTATTCAAAGGAAGTAGCATTCAGTCAATCGTTTTGTGAACTATTATTTCAGGAACAACACAATTGCTGAAATTGCAACCGCATGCGAGGTCTGCCTTTTTGAAAGATATGGTAAAAGTAGTATGAGTATATTAGTGTGCGAATTCAGCAAATGAGACTGAATCATCGACTAACTGAAACGATTGTTTTAAAATGCTGTGTTGATACTCAGAGACGTGGACGATTGAACAGGTGTTGACTTTGTTTGGGCGAAGTCATTTAAAATGCAAGTTATTCAGTGTTAAACTGTTTATTGTCTTGTTGAAGACACTAGCAACCAAATATATGGGCCTTAACACTTTTTTTTCACTAAAAGACAGAAGTGCGGCTTTAACTTTACGGCATCTATGTCTTTATTTTCCCCCATATGTAGTCACTGATATTTCATGTGACGCATAAATACCCACACATTCCCTATCCCATGCTAATAAAGTCCATTCTTCCAGAATAATGTTTCGGTATGAGCCCTGCAGGGTCTGGAGCAGAGCAGCTATTCTGTTACAGCTTTCCAAGCAGCTGGAAGCCGTTATTCTCTCAAGTGATGAAAGTGTGTGTATGTGTGTGTTTCTCCCACAAGCCGTGAGAACAGCGCGCGTGTTGGAATGCTGTGTGAAAGGACGTATATTGTGTGACCTGGGAGTTTGGGGTTGGTGTGTTTATGATAGCAACTCTTTCATCACCATGAAAACTGCAGCAAGGGGTGATGGGAGCTGGAGTCTGGTTTTCTCAACCAACCTGAGAGAGATCTGCTCTTTCAGGCGGCGTTTATTCAGAATCTTTTCCTTCAGCCAACCTTCCGCAAGAAGCCATTCATTTAAAATGGTAAATGGACTGCATTTATATTGCGCTTTCAAAAGCCCAATGGCCACCAAAGCGCTTTACATTTTGCCTCACATTCAGCCATGCAAGGCGCCATCCAGCTTATCGGGAGCAGCTGGGGTTAGGTGTCTTGCTCATGGACACCTCGACACTTGGTCAGGTGGAACCGGGGATTGAACCACCAACCTTCTGGTTTGTAGACAACCTACATGAGCCACTGCCGCGATTTACAAGCTGCAGTAGACAACATCTTCTCATCTAAGGATGACCACTTGCGATTGCGATTCTACGATCACCTTGCTTACGATGCTTTTGAGAAATACAGCCCAGAAGACTGCAAGTCAAATGTATAAGACTAGTAAAGAGAGAAGTCCTTTCACCAGTAAAACTAGTGCGAGTCATGCCCATAATAAATTAAAAGTTTGACAACAAATTGTTTTAACAGGGTGTTTTCCTGGAGTAAACTTTTTTAGGGGGATAGCTTCAAACTGGAATGCTCAAACATACATTAAACAACCTGGGGGGAAAAAATAGCTTTTCATTCCTACAAAGCCACTACATTTCCCTCACAAAACTCAGTTTAGGAAAACCTGCAGCACAGAGAACATTGAGAATGGCTTCTTTAAATTGATTAAAATTGAATGGTTCTTTAAATCTTTAAATTGAATGTGTCAACCAAATAGCTCAAATGAATCAGACTTCCCAAATCTTAAAATGAAAGGAAGTCAGCAGGAAACCCAAGAATCAAAATGATGCAAATTTGGCTTACTCATGTTTTAAATCTGATTTGTTCCCAGTGTGAGGAAGTCACTCACTCTTCCTGTGACACAGCACTTCCTTGAACTCATCTCAGGAGCTCGGAAAATGACATCAGATTGCAACTCGTCTTGATATTCATCCTTAAAAGGACTGTTTTATCTTCCTATCAAAGAACAGATCTGTTCACCCACTATGACAGTAATGTAAATTAAAGTGCAAATACATCAAGAATCAATAAATGAAAATAATCACTTCAGTAACATCAGATTTGATTTATTTCTTAAAGACGAAAAACACTGTAGTGTTTTCAATCCTGCTCCTGGGTTCCCACCACTCTGTACATTTGTCTCTCTTATCTGACACCCAGAAACACTCATGGAACTCTTCCGCACACAAACCTGCAAACCGGTGGGTCCCAGGATTGAAAACCACATGTTCTCAAGACTGGGGTATATTTACAATCAATAAGTTATTTACAACACGAGGGAGCAAGAGACAACATGACTTTGAATGATGTGAAGTGTACGTCACAGAGCGTTGTACTCCACACACTTTGAGGGATCTGTTGGGAAATGTTTCTGGCAAATTGTCATTAATCTTTTCAGCCCCTGAAAAGAAGAAGAAAAAAAAGACGATCAATGACCTGATAAACACCACAACTACTATTCATTATAACACTCCTATTCATCCTGTCATTTCAGACCTGAATGTATTTCCTTTGAGTCTCGTCATTGAGCACATGAGCGACGTGTTTGGAGAAGATCTTCTCACGTCCAGTACGAGCGTGGATGCCCACCATGGTCACACCGATGGGCCACGGAGCGTTTCCTATAGCCATCTGCAGATAAGCATCATTTGCCTGCATGTACACAGTGTGTTAGTCGGGTTTCTTCATAAATATACTAATTAAGAAATGAAGTTCGAAGTATTGTAATCATTAAGACAAACCTTAACATATTCCCTCTCCAGCATAAACTTTATGATGTCTGTAATGGACTCCTTAATGTCTCCTGGTAAATTCTACATATAGAAGACACAATAAGATAAACAAAAGGCTAGTGAATCTATATCTAACAATACATTGCATGTAGAACAGCGTACCTTCTTGCGAAGTTTTCTGAAAAGAGGTTCCAGATAAGATTCAGTCTGTTTTTGGGTGGCACTGGCGAGCTTGCCCTGGACACTCCGCTTCACATGGTCCTCTCGGCTGTTTAGATCTTTAGCCCACACGCCCAGGAGGAACTTCACAAAAATATATGCATATTCAGGCACACAAAATAAAATGATGATACGCTGAAATTAAGCTTTGGATGATTATTAAATCATTATTTAATTAAATTAGGGATTTAGGGTATTTACAGGATAACGATGTACTAAAAACAAGAATGTTTTTACTTTGAGCATTTGAAAAGTTCTGCATACAGACTTCAAAATGATCCCCGTTCACACGGATCCGTGAAACTGACTAAAAACGCAGAATTCTGCATGCCAGGCCAGTAGTTGGCGATGAAGGAAAATGCATCAATGTCTTTAAGCCATGCAAAGGAATGGGTAGGTTAGCCGTTTTATTTTGAAACAACCTTTTTTTTAAAAATATATTAAAAATAAAAACTGTATTATTCACATTCACTGTCTCAATCATAAACAATTTTGTATAATGTAAAATCCAATGCGGCAGTATGAATAAAGGATAATACTAATATAATAATATTATGTCTGACTTGCAAACGAACAGCAGTTAGAAAGCAGATTGTTAATAAGTAAAAGTATGATTTTTCGTATTCTCCAAATTCTCCGTAATATGTACAATATCCTGTTCATTTAGGAAGAAAATTACACTTAGGATGTCTTGAAGTGTGATTACCACAGAATAAGCAGACAAACTGATTCCAGGAGAATGTCATACACGTGATTGGACGCAGGCACAAACATACACATCAACACATCATTCAGTCAGCGTATGGAGTTAGTGTGTCTGAGCAGGGTGCTGAAAAGTTCACCCTTAAATTCAAGTTAACCCTAAAACCGTATTCTGGACAAATGTGGGCAAAATAGTTTTGATTTATTTTTAAAAAATACTTCCCTTGATCTGAGCGGTACAAGACTTGGCTACTTTTCCTAAGTTTGCCACCTGAACACACACATTTTTTTAATCAATTCTACAATGTTAAGTAGGTGAAAAAAAACTCCTTAATCTTGTATTTGGGTCAAAAATAGGCACCCATAGAAATGAATGGGAAAAACGAATTTAAAGCATTCTAAAATAAGCCAAAATAAGACACCAGGTGACAGCAAAGTCACTTCATCTTTAGGTTTTAGCTCTAAGAACTTAAGGCCAATTTATACTTCTGCGTCGAGGGTACGCCGTAGTGTACGGCGCTGGCTACGCACGTAGGCGACGCCGTTGTGAGCATTTATACTTCTGCGTTCAGGTCTCGGTTGCTCTGCAGTACTGCTCCGAAACGCTAGTTGGCGGCGGAGGGTTTCAATGTTCCACTGTGTTTAGATTCCTCACGGCTAGGTTACTACAAGAAGCAATAGCGACTGAGAGAGAGCTGATCATGTTGGAGTTGGAGCTTATTGAGGTGGAAAAACAGTTCACTTTAGTGAAATTACTAAAACTGAAAGGCAGAAATGAGAGAAGACTTCGGAGGAGATGGTACGTGTGGAAATCATAGACCGTGGTGGAAATGCGTGAGAAGCAGAAGGTACGTGCGGAAATGCGTAGGAGGAAATGCGATGCTACCAAGCCGACCAATCACCGATCTTGCGGTCCGCGTCGTCGCGACGTGTAGTTACATTTTTGAAGAGGTGCGCGTCAGGCGACGGCGAAGGGTACGCGGTATTGGACGCGTCTGTGCGTATGTTACGCCGTACCTACTGCGCGCACCCTACGCAGAAGTATAAATTGGCCTTTATTGGAATGATATTTTAATGTAGTTAAAAAAATTTAAAAAATAAAACAGCATAGTAATTAATTTACATAGAAAATATGGTACTTTTTGAAGTAAATAAATTCAAAAATACCCCCAAAATAAAAAACCCCACCATAAATGGATAGACAAAACTTCATCGAAGATAGTGATATAACATTTCTAATAAATAAAAATTAGGATCACCCCTGAGTCCTTTGTGCCCACAGTTACGGCTATAAAGTGAATGCGGTTTGAGGGCTAAACATTTTTAATGTTTGACACAAATTTGTGTCAACTGACATCCTTAATTTAAATAATAAATTACAATATTGGATGAATGCATTTCTATAAAAAAAACAATTCAAGATTTAAACACTCGCCCCCCCAAAAAATGTAAAACCACAGTAAATTAAAAAAATACATACCCTCAGTACTTTATTTATGACGTCCATGTCTCGAACATCATTACCAGTGCCAAGAGATGCTCCCAGATCCTGTTTTATTCAGGTTATTAGACATGAATGTAGCATCAGACATGAGCCAAATCTTATATTATACAATTACTGAAATCATAAAAGAATTAGTATACAGACAGGCAGTTATCATATAATTGTAAAGAGATTAGTTCAGGGTTTCCCAAAAAATGTTGTCAGCCAAACCTCTTTGACCTAAAAGTTTACTCTGATACTTTAGGTCAACATTTCAATAATTTAACAGCACATATGCTGTTAGTTATAAAGTAAAATAATATTTAACTTGACAAACCATACATCAATAAAAAGGTCTCAAGCTTATATTTTTATAAATAAAAAAATATTTTAGAGATTATAAATTCTTAATTGAGCTTGAATAAACAACATCCTTTAGGGCACAAAAGTTTGGACATCTGAAGAAATACTGATGGATTTTAATTTCTTTCGAGGAGTATTATTGGGAACTCTACTTGTTTTTTGTTGTTATGGAGAACATTCGATTTTAGATGCAAGACTATAGTGCCACCTAGCGGGAACATGATTAAAATACTCCTAATCAGACATCTTTCTACAGATTCTAGAATTGACCTGCTATATGGATCATTAAAAAAAATTAGCTGAAGTTAGCATTGTGTGTGGGTTTACCTCCAACTCCTCAATGGTGGTATTTTCTTCATGCACTTTGAGGTCGTGTTGTGTGTCCAGTAAAACTGAACCTTCTGCTCCACCCACAATCTCATTCAGATACTGCTGATCAATCTTATCCATGGCAGCCTTCAGATCATTCCTCAAACCCTAAACACACAGACAAGGTTATGTCAATGAGTACTCAGTGCGAGTCATTAATATAGAATACTAAATACTTGAAAGCACTGGCAAAGCAATTTATATTTTTTTTATTATTGCAGGAAAATTCAATGTGGTTGTCTGGTAAACAAACACTACACACGACAAGAGTGTCAAGATGGCGAGAGGAAAGTTGGGTCTTACCTTGTTTACTTCTGGTGCTAGAATTTCAATTTTGCGGAGTCTCTGGAAAGCATCATAATCGGATTCGCCAAACAGACGGATCGGCTCGCCTCGTTCCCTCAGACGTCTGACCGCCTACACGCAGCCAGAAGATTGATAATTAATTCAAGAAAACAAGCACAGTATAGGAGTAACATTCAATAAGCTCTGATTGCCTGACCCACCTCCTGTCGAGAAAGCGTCATTGGCAGTTTCTCCTCCGTGAGCTCTAGTTCTAACACAGGATTGGCGGACGTAGATGGAGGCGCCTCATCCTCAGTCTTGTCCAGCTTGAAAAAAAATAAATAAATACAACGTATATATAAAGAGAGAGATGGTCTCTTTTTTTCCATGTAATTACGGTTACATCAGGGTGATTCCACTGCAAAGCATATAAATGTGAGATTGAGAAGGGCAGCTTGCAAAATAATAATTAATAAACAACAAAAAGGAAAAACTATCCTGGCCAGATTTTCCAGTAAAAAGGCCAAAAACAGATACTTCTCCTTATAATCATGCAGCAATGTATATTTAAAATTTGATTAAATCTTCTTCTAATCTTGTACAAGTATGATCGCACATAATTCTCCCAAGATGCAATGGGTGAACAGCAAGGAATCTGTCACTGAAGCTGTATTTCTTGACACTGATTTGAATTTAACACACCATGCATGCAGTGCACTGCTAAATCAAAACCGAATAGGGAAGTCCAAACAAAACAAAAAGAGCATTGCACAAATGAAAGAGCAGGCGAGGCATCTAGAATTTAAGCAACTTGTGATTTGTTCCGGGGTAGGCACCTCTGTCACATGATTTTGCTGTGGTCATTAAGCAGGCTGGGCTAAAAATTCGGATAGTGCTGCCTTCAGCTTTGTGCAACACTGGGAGCAAAGGCGATTAAACACAAATGTTCTTCAGTCATGCCGAAACCGAAACCCGGTCAAACGTCTCTCTGGCAGCATGCATTCTGTCTGCCTGAGCCCTACCTGTCTCACAGGCTGCTCATTAGAAACCTAAACTCACAGAACACACACACAAACAGCAGGAAAGACAACATGAGAAGATACACAGCAGACAGAAGACACTGCTGCTGGAGGAGAAAACTAGAGCGAAAGAGCGAATCCACAAATATGGGAAGATGTGTTTTAAATGGGACAGTTCATTTGTTTTAAATCTACAGTGGATGGCTGACAGGCAAGTGAGCAACCCCTCTTTGTCGCAGGGTTATTTTTTTATTTAACTACTAAAACATTTTGTTAACTGAAATGAAGCTTAAATACAATCAAATATAAATATTAGTTGAAAAACAATCTAAACAAAAATGAGAAGTGTTTGCCTTGGCAATATACTAAAATAAGTTAAAGCAATTAAATTAATTATTGGAAATAAATATAAACTAAAACTGAAAAGAATAATCCTAAATAAACTAGTAAAATTACAAAAACACATAACTAAAAATTAACATGAAAGTTATCATTCTAAAAATAAAAAGAAATTGATCAAGTAAATAAAACAATCCAACTAAAATAACACTTTAAAATTACGGTCTGCTAAAACAGTACAAATATAACAAGTAAGCATATTAAATTAAATAAATAAAAGTATTTTATATTAAAGTAATGGATAAAGTTGATTTAAATAATACATATGACAGTACATAACTATACTGAGTAAAACACATCAATATTTTACATATTTATAGTATACATTTTTCCCTGTATAAATTGGGTCTTTATAGATGAAAGTTTTTTTTTTTATTATTATTATTATTTACTTATAGCTGTCTATTAAATGTTAGGATGATCATCATATTTGGGGTCCATGGCAGCTAAAAGACAGAAAGTCTGTTAGATATATTATCAGGACGGATTACATTACAAATATATTGTGGTCAAATGTGTTTACTACGGAGCTCCAAAGGGACATTGTATATTTATATTTTTGCAAAGGAGCCGGGCTCTGTAATGTTCGACCAGCTGTTAAACACCTGAATAATATGGAAGTAATTGAATGTATGACTCGTGATGTAATGAAAATTAACAATTTGTATAACAAATAGAACCAATAAAACATGTTTACAATAGATAAATCATGGTAACCACAAATCAGGGTTTAGGACACTAACCGTAGTTTAAGCATGAAAATATTATTTGTAGTTACCTGGCTGTGGTTATACAATCCGGGGAAAAAAAAACATGGTTAATACACTTTTACTACAATAAACCATGGTTAATTTGTCTATTCACAGTTGAAGTTTGTACCTTGTATCCACATCTCCTATAATATTCTTCCTCTTCTTTTCGCGCGAGATCAGCCCTTTTGAAGTATTTCTTTGAGTCCTGGAGAAACAGCAATACATCCTTACAAAAAGCCACATATGTCCACACAACAGCATAAACATTAAAACACATCTGTAAAAAACACAACGGGGTAACGTTAACGTTAAAGGGTCGAACTATAAATCGTTCTAGAACAGTCGACACTCACGTCTACGAGATCTTTGTCCTCTATAAGCTTTCTTTTTCTCGCGATCTCTGCTTTGAGGATGTCCATAACTCAACAAAATCTAAAAGAAATAAAAAAAACACTTAAGATTGTATGCCAAAATATCACTTTTTTCACATAAACATTCAACAGGAAGCAGTTTACACTTCCATGCGTCCACTGCTTCCGTTCGTGCCGACTGCAGACAAAAAACCAATACATAGTTCCTAGTACGTCACAACATACGAGCATTACCGAGTCCGACACGCCGCAGAACTTTAGATTAAGCTGATACGAATTAAACGAAGTGAAATTATCATTAGTTTCGTGTTAAAAAGTGAAAATGGGCATCTCCTGCTGGGTCAATGCATGCTCAATGGATTTTACAGTCATTAGACTCCATGAATCTTGTAGCTCGTCGTTGCCCGTCGTGGACTCGTGGGTCTTGCATGCGGATTCACTCTCCTCATGTGTTTGCAATTTGAATGTAATGATGATAATGATGCATTTAAAAGTTAATGGCTGTAAACATATCTTTACAAAAATTCACAATGCTTCTGCAGATGCAGTATAATAATGTAGCCGACATTAAATAAATACATTTTCGTCAGGTTAGATAGGCCTACTGATAATTAATTAACCCTAGGCTAAACCTCTTAACAACCGCCCGACTCCATGTCTGTTGTTTTTTAACACTTTTCATTCGTGTTTGTTTTAAATGTGTGAAAATAATTTGTTCTATTCTACTTAAGTTGTAAATTATATTGCCTCTCTTTATGTTTTTTGGACCTTGTTATAATGCTGACATGAATGACACGAGCTGACATTTCTTATTGCACAATTCTAAAATAAAATGTTTTCCTTCTGCTCTACTAAGTGACATGTTTATATTTGGTCCTTTCATTTTTAATGTTCCTTTGGCTATTTTGTATGCTTACCTTATATATATATATATATATATAAATATATGTATATATATATATATACCACACAAATCAAATTATTATTCCCACCTGTCGTAAATTGTATAACCTGATCAGTATTTATGTTAAAGTGTCAGTTCTATTTGTTCCCAATGATTGTAAACTCCCAAGAACTGCCAGTGAGGTCCAACATCATAAGCCCACAGTGCCATTCAAATAGCAGTCATACACTAATTAAAAGTAAAATTTAAGAGAAAAAAATGAGAGTTTAAGTGCAGCTTCAAAGGGCTTTAAATGACACCAGACGATGAATAAGGGTCTTATCCTTTATGACCCTTTATTCATGACTCGAAAAAAGATTTGTTCATTTTGATGAACGAGTTTGAACAGGAGAGTCACGAATGCTCATCACAGAACAGAGGAAGGCGAGCATTTGTGCATATAAAACTTTAACTTTATTTTTTATTTTTTGAATGACCGATCGTTACGCTAGATAAAACACTTATTCATAGTCTGGCGTTGTTTCAAGCCCTTTGAAGCTGCACTGAAACTCTCATTTGGACCTTGAACCGTTTGGTTCCCATTGAAGTCCATATGGAAAAAATCCTGGAATGTTTTCATCAAAAACCTTAATTACTTTTCGACTGAATAAAGAAAGACATGAACATCTTGGATGACATGGGGGTGAGTAAATTATGAGCAAAAGTTTTTTTTTTTTTTTTTTTTTTTTTTTTTTTAAGTGAACTAGCTAATCCTTTAACTTAAATCTTTCTGACAGAAAATCTCCCAGTTATAAAACAAAACCTCTAATTCCCATTTTAGTCTATTTAATTAGCAGCCCTTCTCTACACATTGAATCATAAGCTTTTTCAATATCAAAACACACAATATTCATTATTTCTTTCATTTTAAAACGTTTTCTATCTCGTTGCTTACTTTCACAACAGCATCCATTGTGGAGCGTCCTTCTCTGAACCACAATCTGAGCCATTACTGCCATCTAGTGGATTGATCCGAGACAGACGCTAAAAAAAAGTTTGATCGGTGAATGGAATCTGAGTTCATGTCGCAATATAAAATACAAGAAAGAACTCGGTTTGCATTTTTGTTTTTTTTTGTTTTTTAATCTTCTGAATATAATCTGTGGAGAAGCAGACTTGCTTATTTAATACATTAAACATAATCTACCTTGTTGTATTTGCAAAGGCCTTAATCCGTTGCATTGAAACACTGACTCAGAGAGTTTTCACTTTATGTAATTTTTTTATACACTTAAGGTTGAATATGGTTTGTGTGTGTGTGTGTGTGTGTGTGTGTGTGTGTGTGTGCATATTAGCTACGCTACTTATTGCTCGTTAATTAAACAACAGTTGTTCACTATGCATTATTTTATGATGTTCCAGGTTTAGCCTTAAATCGATAGGACTAGCTACATTTTAGTTCCATATATTTTATGAATTTAAAAAAAATTATATCTTCGGTTTTTTTTTTTTTCATTTTAATTTCCCCTATTCTCTTCTCTTATTTATCATATATAAGCATAAAAATACACCATAAAAAAGAAAAAAGTTTACTCTTTGTTGCCTTTAATTTTTAAAAAAGGCCTATAAACAACTTGGATATTGAAGTCATTTCGAAAGTAATGACTTTCATTTTTAATGTAAGGGCCTACGATATATATTTTTTAAATAGTTTAATCTTATTCTTTTAATAGTTTAACTCATCAAAATGATATACAACAATATAAAAAACATGTTGTTATAACTTATCGGTCATGTAATGTATTTCAACGCATTGTCCTTTTGTGGGAGTAGTCACAGACTAGACTCAAAGTTTCTTCTTCTATTGACAACAGAACAGTCATTTTCCTCCAGTCTGTCTGATGCAAGTCTGGACCCACATATTTGCGCCCCACAAATATTAGCAACCATCAGGTGGCGCAAAGGAATAGACGTGACGAATTCTGAAAGAATTAAGAGGTTTATTTATTTACATCATAAACGAGCAGCCCCGCAGGAGAATGTAAACGCGTCCTGTCCATCATCCTCCTCCTCATCATCTTCACCACCACCACCAGCATCAGTCCAGAGCGCGATTATTATTAATGCTCATTCGCTTCACTCTTCATCAGCTGGACTTAATGAGTTTGTCAGTGATTAAAGAGCCTGTGTGCTGATAAACTGGGTTGGATTCTGCCTCCTCACCGCTCTGCCCTTAAAATGGAGTTTGTGGAGAGGAAGCGGAGCAGGAAATCTCAGAGCTTTAAACTGGTGAATGATGCAGGTAAGCGGACATTCAGTCCTGGAAGATGACAGCAGACAATAGAGCACATCGGAGGCGTTACGTCAGCACTCTGGAATGCACCTGTGAGACAATGTATCATTCTTGTCCTGCTCGTATCATCATAATGTCAGACGCCTCATTTTGAATCTAATCGCGTGTTTTTCAGCAGCGTTCATAGTCAATTATTTTTATCTTCTGATGCATTTAGTTTTTTTTAAGTGTGATAGAATAGAATAAAGGTCTGTTTGCTGCATGCGTGAATGTGATGATGGTGTGTGGATGAAGATATTCACAGTCACGCAGCCTACAGGTGGTCCTGCAGCATCACTTCATCACATACGTCACGCATACAGTTTCTGTTGAGAGCGACATCACAGCAAGAGTACATGGAATGTCAATCAGCATGTTGTCTTATCCACCCTTAATCTAAAACCATATTTGTTTTAACCCTACATGCAGTTTTTAAACTGACAGCCTGAATGCAGTTGTCTATTTTTGTCTTTGTATTATTTAAATTAATTTACTGTAGGACTTAAAAAAATTCTCAAACACACGTTCTGTCACATTGAATGGTTTTATGTTAACTCAGCAAACACAGAACGTTCCCTAATGATCCCATATGAGGTTATTTTTTTGGGAACCAAACAAGAACGTTATAGGAACGTTCCAGGTTACTTTTAGGTTCCATTTTTATAATGTACGGAGAATGTTCTGGGAACGTTCCCTTGACCTTAAGGTAAAGTTCTAAGAACGTTCTGAGAACCAAAAACGTTCCCAGAACCTAAATTTGTTTGCTAGGAATGTCCTCAATGCTTTATGTGAATGCTTTTATTTTCCCCAATTTATTTTAACTTTTTTTTCTCTCTGATCTAATCAAAACTCAGCCATATGCATGCACTTTCAAAATGAATACAGCTGAAAACAAACCAACAAAACCACCCAAATGATTTGTGATATAAAACGGATATGGGTATTATTCATCTATCGTATATAATTTATTATGTGTTGTTTATACTTCATGGGAGACAGATATATACACAATAGTAATGATTAAAATTCAAATAAATTGGAAATAATTGGATAGAGTGCAGTTAGTGTGTACCAGCCAGGTAATCAAATTTCATTGCATTTTTATGTAATTAGTTTCATGTATATTTATGCATATCTGTTATGTATAGTGGACCCCAGACACGATTATTTTAATTTGACATTTTGTTTAGTTAATAATAGTAATAAAGCATGAAATGTTTGGCATGATCTTAGATAGATAGACCCATAGGCATAGATAGATGGATGGATGGATGGATCGTACTTTTCTTGTCTTTCCCTCAGCTTTTCTGTTTTTCTGACCGTTTAGATTTCAGCCATGAATTGGATGATGTAGACCAGAATGACACTGAAGGAGAAGCAGCTTCTGAGAGTGAAGGTATACTATCGTTCATCACACACTTCATGACATGTACAGGCTCTCTGTGTTAACTGTGTCTCTCAGTCTGGTTAGGTGATGAAGGGATGGAGATAAAGAAACAGATAACAGGCATGATGCGCTTGCTGAGTGACAAGACAGGGCGAGTGTACCAGCGAGTTGGACGAGAGGGAGAGACCCTGAAACAAGAGCCACAGGAAGAGGCTCTCAGCCTGCCCGTGGCACAGAGCCCGGCTCCTGAACATCTCCAGTACGGCTGGAGCTCGGTCCTGCCTCTGGCTCACTGCCAGTACGGTACACGCTCCAAAACCCAGAGGATGCTCAACCACTTGAAAACTAATGGTGAGTGTCTAAGTAATGCAGAGATTTTGGAATCTTAAATGAGAATAATCTATATGAAATGCAAAACAGAGCCATGTTTAGGTATGTATATTACACTATGATGGTATTTGTATGGTCCCAAAAAGTATTTGGAGATTTAAGTCTCATTTAAAAATGTACACAGTAAAATATTACAGTATATGATCAATAAGTTATGACAACATATTGCATTGTTTTACACAACTCGTCAATATAAAATGGGCCATTTTGTTTGAACTTTTTTTTTCCAATTTTTTAAAATTTTGTTCAAAAATTTAATTTGTTAGTTTAATATAATTTAAATAGACATGACTTAAACATCCAAGTTGATCGTATTACAAACAAAAAGGCAGCCTTTTTTTTTTTTTTTTTTTTTTTTTTTTTTACAGTGTATGAATTTCATTGCATTAGATGACCAATGATAAACACGTGGCATTTATTTTTAAGAATTAGAATTATAGCACAAGCACATTTTCAGGAAAACATTTCACAAAAAATATGTTTGCCCCAAATTTTGACATTTACATGAATGCATTTAGCAGACATTTTTACCCGAAGTAACTTGTATTACATTTGAGCTAAACATTTAATTAGTATAGGCACTGTCTGTGAATTGAACCGATATATCACAAATTCACTCAATTCTTTATACTTTGTGAATGTCAATGGTTCCTACACCTGTGGTTACTTTATGTCGAAAACTGAAGTTGGCATCATTTGGTTGCTTATTGGACATTTCATAATCTAATTTAATAACATTGATTCATTTATAAATAGAAATTAGATTACATTTTATTTTTTGTGCATTTTAATTTTATTTTTGTATTTATTAGTTTTCAGTCCAGATTTTTGCTACTAAACCACACCACTTCGCTTCGCTTCTATAATTATTGCAGTTTATTTTTGAAGGGCTTCACATAGGAAAACAGAAAAATATCACATGAATCTCCTTTGGGAGTCTTTCCAGAGGAAAGGAAGTTGTATTATGTGACTGTTGGCTGCAGAAAGATGCACTGTCTGGCACCACAGACTGTCTAGACAGCTTTGGAAACACACAGCAAACACGTAATGTCTTTCTTCTGTACACACACAAAAAAAGAAACAATAACTCTCTCACTGTCAGTCTGGAGTCAAAGAGTCGGGTGGCTTTTGTGCCGGGTGCTTGGAGCCTCTGGGTGTGAGACATCATCAGTGATGGGCGTTGTGTTGACGATGCAACTGTGTTCTGATTCAGACACGGCCTTGTCTCCTGCGCCTGCTGCCATGGCAACTGAGCCCAGCTGCTGTATGTGTAACTGCAAGAGCACCCTGCAGGCCATTCTGCTGGAGTTACGGACCATGAGGAAACTAATCCAAACTCAGAGAGGTAAATCTTACATACCCCTAAACTCATGTGAACACACCTATAGCGCATTTACCCATGTTCTATACTCCCAGGGACCCCGGACAAACAGGTCTCCCAGATCTCACTTTCCTCGTCCCGCGCCTCTATCTCCAGGAGGAGGACTCGAAAGAGGAGGCCAGGTCACAGAGTGACACTTCTGACCACGGCCACTAAAAAAAGCACACCTCTGTCTCCACCAGCTGAGGTTGATACTGTTACTGAGAGTAATCAGTCCAGAGAGGACACACCCTCCACATTGGCAACATTTATCCCAGATCCCATTCCAAGTGTGAAGACACCTCCTTCCAACTACAGCGTCACCAGAGGCCAAAGCACCACAGAGGTACACCACTGTGAATGCTTGTGGGAGTGAATACATTGTTGTACCCAGGGATTGGTGAATTGTGAAAAATAGTTTGTCATCAAAAGTTACTTAAAAAGAATATGATGTAATATTTGTGTCTAAGCTCCGCCCCCTTACACACTTAAAAACTGTAAGATTGATTATGAATGTGATTTCATACTTACTACTGATTATGCCCAAACACGCTGAGCCGCGTTCAGTTGGTGTTCCCATCTGTGTTTAAAATCTGCTTCAGTCATTGGAAACAGTCTGTAAGTGTGTTCAGTTCAGTCTTAGAAGGTTTCAGCAAGTTGTTAAGTGTATCACTGGCATTATGATGTGAGGGAAAGAAAACACCTGCAACATCTTGTTTTATTTACTTGCCAACCCGCTTTTTTTATTTTTGGCAAGTTTTTTGGGTAACACTTTATTTCGAAAGTCCACTTTAGACATTCTACTAACTATAAGTAACTTTTCAACTACATGTCAACTAACTGTCATTAGAGTATTAGTAGACTGTCAGCTTAATATCTGCTAACACTTTATTTTGTTGGACTCCCAACAGACATTCAAATGAGAAACTTGGCGACTACAAGTAAACTTATTCTCCTAAAACAAAGCCTAACTCCTAACCATAACCTAACAGTCTACTGACAGTCTAATACTCTAATGAGAGTTAGTTGACCTGTGGTTGAAAAGTTACTTATAATTAGTAGAACGTCTAAAGTGACTATCGAAATAAAGTGTAACCGTTTTTTGTTTTGGACAATGTTTGCATCAGATAATGGCCATATCTTTCTTTCTAAGCTGTAGGAGTAAGTGCTATAAAAATGAAGGGATGAGTGTTTAAGTACTGTTTTACAACTCCCTTGGCTTTGTGTTAGTACCGACAACTGTGTATATGAGTATAATGAGTATGACTTTACATGACTTTACAAGTACATGACTTTTTTTTCTGTATATATATCTTCTATTTTTGTCTCATCTGACTAAAGGTGCAATTGTGGAATGAGTTCTAGTGTGTCACTGTATGAGTGTATTAATGACTTTTATTAATATCTCGCCCGTCTGTCTCTCCCAGCCGGAGGTACAGTTGGCCGAGGATTATGACATATTTATTCCTAAAGCACAGTTGGACTCTATCTTACTGAACTACACGCGCTCTGGCAGCCTCCTCTTCAGGAAACTGGTGTGTGCGTTCTTTGATGATACAATTCTGGCGAATTCACTACCCAACGGCAAGAGGAAGAGAGGTCTGAATGACACCAGGAAAGGACTCGATCAAAACATAGTTGGAGCCATTAAAGGTGTGTGAAAATAAATAAACCAGACCTGGATTTACTCAACATAAATAGAGAACATTATGATGAATCAGCGCAGTCTTGTCCCAAGACGTCATATAACTGACGTCTTGGGACGTGTTTTGACCATACGTCAACATCCGCCTTTTTAGGTTACCCTTAAACGTCGGTTAGATGACGTTATCGGATCCTAACCCTACCCCAGACATAAACCTACCCCTAAACCTACCCTGTCACCTAACTAACCGGCGTTAAAGGTAAAGCGTCAGTTGTATGACGGCCTGGGATCGTCATGTAACCGATGTTTAAGGGTACCCTAAAAAGGCGGATGTTGACGTATGGTCTAAAGACGTCCCAAGACGTCAGTTATATGAATTCTTGGGATGAGAGTGTGTTCGATGAATTTATACAGTAGCTCTAAAAAAACATATTTGGGACACTTAAAAATGTCAATGCTTCAGATAATCAAATATTAAACCTTGTGTTGCAAAACATTTCACAGGAAAACTTTTGTGTGTGCATATATATATATATATATATATATATATCGGCCGCCATTAGGTACACCTTTCTACTGTAGTACTTATTTATGCCATAGATTTAACAAGGTGAAACATTCCTTAGAGATTTTGGTCTATATTGACATGATATAGATTTGTCAGCTGCACATCCATGATGCAAATCTCCCATTCCATCACATCCCAAATATGCTCTATTAGATTGAGATCTGGTGACTGGAGGCCATTTTAGTACAGTGAAATCAATTTCATGTTCAAGAAACCAGTTTGAGATGATTTGAGCTTTGTGACCTGGAGCGTCATCCTGCTAGAATAGCCATCAGAAGATGTGTCTGTGGTCTTGAAGGGATGGACATGGTCAGCAACAATACGCAGGTAGGCCGTGGCATTTAAACAATACTCCATTGGTAGAAATTGAACCAAAGTGTGCCAGGCAACATTTTTCCATCTTCTATTGTCCAGTTTTGGTGAGCCCATGTTAATTGTGACCTCAGTTTCCTGTTCTTAGCTGACAGGACAGACACCCAGTGTGTCTTCTAGGCTACTGCTGTAGCTCATCTGCATCAAGGTACAATGTGTTGCGCGTTCAGAGATACTCTTCTGCAGACTTCGGTTGTAACATGTGACTTTTACTGTTGACTTCCCATCTGCTCAGCAGATTGTCTTGACCATGTCTACTTTAAAGATTTTGCCACGTGATTGGCTGAATAGATATTTGCATTAACGAGCGGATGAACAGGTGTACCTAATAAAGTGGCATATGAGTGTGTATATATGTATGTAAATACAAACTGTAAATATATAATGCTTTTAATCTGTAATTTTTCTCTGTGTTTATGAATCTAGTGTTCACAGAAAAGTATTGCACTGCTAACGGAATTGAGAAGCTTCCCGGCCCTAGAGACTGGGTCCAGATTCTGCAAGACCAGATTAAACTTGCCCGTCGACGCTTAAAAAGAGGTGAGAATGTAAGAAAGAGAAATAGATGGCATGAGACATTAAAAAAGCCTGGGCAAGGGTAAAAGAAAAAGAGAGAGAGCAATGCTGTTGCTTCTTGATTGATGGTTTGCTAGTTGAGCTCTTTTAAAAGAATGAATTGATCGTTAAAAAAATAATTTATCAAATGTTATAATTTTATTTGATTTATTTTTAATGATTTGCAGCAGAGACAACTTCAGACAGTATTGATATTCAGCACAAAACAGGTACTCAGACACACTGACCCAAACCCACACACACTGCATGAATGAAAGCGCTTCATATTGATGAGTGTGCCTTACCTCACAATATCCAAGCATTCTTTGCAAAACCAAATTATTTATTAGACTGGTTATGTCCACGAGTTGAAGATAACAACTTTTCTTAAATAACGTCCATTGGAATACTATTCTTGCTAGTATTGTATCAGATTTATTCCTTTTTGTATGTTATTTTTCAGAGAAAACTGTTGATAAAGTGGAAACTGTTACGCAAAATGGTACGGCAATGCACACCTTTAACATCTCACTCTCCAAAAGTGCCATTGTTCTTAAGTAACACTTTCTTTTGTACCGCAGGTGCTGTTTATGAGAGAACAGAATGTCTAGTTGCTATGGACACTGCCTGAGAAGAGATTGTTTTGAACAAAATGAAATCTCCGACCCCCACAAAGGAGTCATTTTAATAGTTTCGTCTGTATAGACGGAAGCAAGTGTCGACAGATATGACTTTGAAATTCTCATGGTCAGCTGTGTAACAGTCAGAATGTTTGTGTGGAAAGAAAGGACAACATTTGGCTGATCAGTAGCACCCAACAACTAAGGACATCCTTTTGTAACACAATGTAGGCCTACTCTCATTTGATCATTTTAAAGTGGGTCGTCCCAGATGTCACTAGTAGTCTTCTATTAATATATGGAGGTGTTTGTAGTTTTTCAGCTTCATCCAAATGCTTCACCAACAGATATCAGCAGAACTGCTGAAAAAAAAAACATGACTGTGCCTTTAATTCACTCATGCCAAGCAACAAACTGATGTCATTTCACAGTTGTGCTGTTTATTGACACTTTCTGGTGAAATATGTTGCAGTTTCTATATTAATTGTAATGTCACATTTGCTGAACATAGTCTTACTAATGTGTTGTCGGTTATATAATCTGGCTGATTGGTTATGTAGAAATGTACCTTTTTGACTTCCTGTGTAAGAGGATTTAGTGTCTATTGAATGTGTACAAATGAGTGAACATGAACATTGTCTTGCGTCTGTGTAATGAATGGTTTTTACCTCACAGTCAAATGCGTGAATAACTATTCATGTTAATATCTGGGTTAAATACTAGTTAAACTTTTTGGATAGCATCTGTGGCTCAAGTAATGTCTGTTTGTAAAAGCAGTTCACACAGAAATGCAGTTACATTGCCCCTTAAACGCCCACTGTAAGTGCACAACTGTCACCTCAGACTGATGTTTGCTTTCCCAAACTGAGATATAACTCAAAATGAATGCTGCAGATGCGGTTGAAAACGTGTAAGCGTGACTATTCTAGACGATATAATATCTGTTTCTCCTTTTAAAGGTGCTATATGTATTTTTTAGCGGCCTCTATCGGTTATGTTTCAGTTTGCAACAAATTTTTACAAGAGTGCTCATGGTCTTGCGCGTCCTCGAACACAAGAGTGAGCACTCATGGTACATGCAGGCAACACTGAGACTTTCAACACACCGGAGAAAGCATCACACCACATGGTGGAAACTCCCACTGCAACGTTACAATAATAGGCTATTTTTATCAGCTTTACGTTGAACTAATGCTCCATGCTCGTACCATGATAGTTATCTAGCATAAGGCATTTCAACTATCTTTCACAATCAGCAATGTCAACATAGGTGAATGTCTAATATGATAACGAAAACGGTCATTGAACTAGACGGAACAATTTCAGTGTAACAGTAAGAGCGTAGGAAGTAAGATTACTGTACTGAACGTGTCTAGAAATGTGTGTAAACAATATGATAGTAGTGGGATGAGTGACGTTTTACAGTAGATCTAGTACATAAAATAAAAGTTACATCCTTAAGCACTTACTTTTTGTTATCTTGGAACAGTCTTTTGTGTTTATTTTATGTCTCATGTAAGTTGTAGTTTACCTTGCTATTTTATTACAGTTTACCATTACTTATTTCAGCATATCTGAAAACTTGTAATTTATCACAATAAAAATAACAGAGGTCTCTCCATAATTCAAACGGTCTGCCGATGTTGATCCGTGTTTTCATCCTAAGTCGATACGATTCATGTTTGGCCTGACAAGCTTCAGCAAATAAAGTTTTTTTTTTTTTTTTATATTCATGCGGAGTCTGTGTTGGAGTGTGTGTTGTGCAGGAGGCAGGAGGTTTTTGGTGTTATCAGACTCATGTCATTCGCTGCAGTGCCATCACATGATAGACTGTATATAAAAAGGAGAGAGGTTCGGGAGCGCGCATGCACGTCACATCCGATGGCTTTCGCAGAAAATCCGACCCGTACACTTCACATAGAAATAGGAATTCAGAGCGGTAATAGCAAACCCGACAAGTGGATCATTGTAATGTGTGATTGCAACCCCTTCACACACATGCAATAACAAAATGATTAATTTTAGAAGAAAAGTTACATATAGCACCTTTAATCTGCCTGTTTAAAAAAAGATAAAGCTCAATTTTACGTTTAGTTATTTGGTATAAGACATCAAATAAATACTATGACTATGTCCTAAATGCTAAAGCTGTATCAAATATGCTTGTTTTCCCCCACCATACAGTCAAGTGTCCATATTAAAAAAATCATCAAGTTAAATTTTCTGTCACACTGAAGAAACAGAACCACAACACCTAATGGACATAAAAAAAACATATATTTGAAATGTTTTTAATTATTTTGTTTCCAGATGATTTTGCAATTGTATATAGCCTATACGATTAAAACTGTGAAGATTAAATTAGTGGGTTATATTTACATTTGTGGATGTGGAATTTACAAAAACAAAATTAAATGTATAATAAAACAGTTATCATCATTGAAATAACAGTTTATTTTGTAACCAAAAAGAATACATATATAAAGCAAAGACAAAAATCTGTAAATACTCATAAAACTGGCAAGACCACAGTAAGTTTAAAGGTACAAACTAATGTGGACATTTTTTGTTGCCGCACTCGATCTCCTTTAAAGGGGAGGTGATTACGTCACGCGGGAAAGAAGGACCCTTGTCGAACTTCGACTTTTTAATTAGAATATCTCCTCAGAACACTTATTAGCTTCAATTGATGTCCGGGATTAATGTATCATCACCGGAACCGTTAACATACTCTTTTACGCAACACGAACATGGCACTGTTCGCCAAGAAATAGAGTATTGAATTCAGTGGCATTCTTTTCAGGCACATTTTCGAGGCGCCCTTTCTGCGCGCGGTGCATTGCGGGAGCGTCGCCTCTCTTGTATCGAGCGAAACCGGTAAGCACAAACTGAACAGCACAATTAAAGGGGAAATGGGGCACGAATATAACTGTGCCACAATGCATTAAGTGTGAGGGGAGCTATGTAATTTATTCCAGTAGAAGACATATTCAGCGGAATTTGTGTAAAGTGCGTCAAATAATTTTAATTCTTTATTATTTCTCTGTTGTGCACTGCAATCATGGCGCGGGCGCTTTAAGGGTTAATTTTTTCCACCGCCGACATTTTTAGAAACATTTCGGCCGGCTTTCTTCTGTTATAAGTGTGGATCATCTGACTTTTTAAGTATTTTCTTAGCGTGCATAACTTATACTATACATTAGATGCGATGAAATGTGATCGGGCAGCGGAAGGCGTTGCATTGGATCAGCGCGTGCAGCAGTATTAGTGATTCATTAGCGAATTGTTCGGTTGAAATGATTCTTTTTTTAAATGACTCAGTCAAGCAGTTTGGTTTGCAAGCGCCTGTATGTTTTATTGTTGATTCTTTAACATCTTTGAATTTATTAATGTAAACATAAGAAGGCAAAATCTTATTTTCGCTGCTTTAAAGACTATTGGTAATCATATAGCTTAAGTAAAAAATGAAAGAGTAATAATTCGGTAAACTGATTAAAAAAATAGTATATGTCTTTGTTTTCTGCCTTTACTGTATTCGTTGATGTCTGAATCGACATTATAAATGTAATATATTTGTTGTGCTAAAAAAAAAAGTTGCGCTGAGAACTTTGATTGATAAAATGAGTCAAATAAATATTCCTCTGGTTCATTGAAAAGAACTCTTCGAACGAACCGAATCTCTAAATGAATCAGTCTTGGATAGAGAGTGCGCGCCACATCAGTACAGTTCGAACTATCGCATCCAAGAGATCACAAAATTAGCATGCATGCACCAAAAAATAGGCATGCACCCATACATCTCTACATGAAAATGCGTTGCATGATCTGATTTTAAATAACCAATCATTTATCACATGAAATTAAGTCTAAATAAAGAGTAGGATGTGATAAATCCGTAAGGTTGAATGTTTTTTTTTGTTTTATTTTATTTATTTTTTTTGGTTATGAGCGGGGCTGTTGGGGCAGTAATTCATAGGGAGAGAAAAACGTTGCCAAGTAAACAAAGGAGGATGGACAGTTTATTTCAGCTCAGTGAGAGTTTTAAAAAGAGCTGATGTTTTTAAAGGGGAGGATCACCTCAGAGTATCAGTTGCATTATTTTGATTCATATTTGGGGTGAAACAGTAAAATGCAATATGTATTATTATCACTAGTTGCATTTTTGTTCATTTGAATGATCTCTTTTAATGTCTTAATATTGTAGCTTTACACAATTTAATGTTTCTTTCTTTCTTTCTTTCTTTCTTTTTCAGATTGCATTTGCCATAGTTTGAAGGAGGTGTGTAAGCCATTGTGCGTGCCAGTAACGTTTTGTTTTTTTAAACATGTCGGTGCGGGAATCTTTTAACCCAGAGAGTTATGATCTGGACAAGAACTTCAGACTAACACGCTTCACAGAGCTCAAGGGAACAGGTTGTAAAGTCCCTCAAGATGTGCTCCAGAAACTGCTGGAATCCCTGCAGGAAAACCATTATCAGGAAGATGAGCAGTTCCTCGGGGCTGTAATGCCCAGACTAGGTACACACACACGCAATCATATATAGAATGATTTTTATACTGTTCAAACTGTATATTCTATTCCCCTACACTAAACCTACCCATCACAGAAAGCTTTCTGCATTTTTACATTTTCAAAAAACAAAAAATAAGCTGTTTCCCCTTATGGGCACTAAAAATGTGTTGACAAGGTTTTTGGATATTGCCATCTTTGTGGGGACATTTTGTCCCCATAATGTACAGTTTACCTGGACCACAGACATGCACAGCTAGAAATTATTTTTTTTTTTTTAAGATATTTTATTAGTCTGGTCAGAGAAAAAAAAATCTTTAGACAAAACAGCATTTTAATTTTTGCATGAGCTATTATATTGTAATTGCATGAACTTTCAGCACGTCTTAAAACTTCAGGAAAAGCATTTACCCTGTTTAAAATAACAATGTTTACTTCCTATAGGCATTGGTATGGACACCTGTGTGATTCCGCTGAGACATGGAGGCTTGTCACTTGTGCAGACCACAGATTATATCTACCCCATAGTGGACGATCCATATATGATGGTAATACTCATTTTAAAATAACATTAAAGAGGTAATGCATTAGAGAATGTAAATGTTTTTTGTATGAATTCTCTTGTCTTCTAGGGGAGAATTGCTTGTGCCAATGTGTTGAGTGACCTGTACGCTATGGGTGTAACAGAATGCGACAACATGCTGATGCTTCTTGGTGTCAGCAACAAACTTACAGAGAAGGTGAGGCTGAGGAAAAAGCATTTTGTGCTACTGAGATGTGAAACTGATCTGTAAATGTACAGACAAGTTGTGGTTATTTTAAGGAATGGTTTGCCTAAAAATACTGAGTCATTGTTTCTCCTGAGAGTAAATTACAGTTTTGGGGTAAACAAATGTAATAACTGTATAATATTTGATAAGCTAAGTTTGATAAGCCCTTTATGATCAACAGAATCAAAACTGTGATGGAAAACCTGTTGTACATAATCTGTTTACACTTTTTTTTTTAAGCATGTAATGGTCTTTTAGTATCATTCTAAAAACCTGAAACCTGTGAATAACTTTATAAGAATAGCTTTTACTTTGTTAGTAATATTTCAAGATGAACACTTTCTAGACTGAAGCAGCTTAGGCATTACCATATTTTAAGCACTTAGCATACTTTTTTTTTTTTTAGAAAAATCATGTTACAAATATACATTTGGCTTTTGAGAAATGTTTAAGTTTGTACAACTCATGTCTTAATCATCATTGTATTGTATTGCATTATGATTTATCCCCCATAATGAAAACTACAGAGTTTTGATCAATGGTATGATAAGCTTTAAAGGGTTAGTTCACCCAAAAATGAAAATTCTGTCAGTAATTATTCACCCTCATGTTGTTCCAACCCCACTTCAGTACGTGAAATCTCACAGCCCACAGAGAAGGAAATGAATAGTTGAATGAAGTCGTTATTTTTGTTTGTTTTTTGCGATCAAAAAGTATTCTTGTCGCTTGATAAACTTACGGTTGAGCCACTGTAGTCACTCGGACTATTTTAATAATGTCTTTCATAACTTTTGGGCCAGCCAGGTTCGATCCTTTAAGAAGCCTATGGAGAAGTGATTGTATGGTTGTTATTGTTTTTATTATTTGTTGTGTGAGTTTTTGTATTTTAGAGTTTTTTATACTGTAATTTATTATTTTAGTGGATAGCACTTGTGTCCACTTGTGATTTGAAAGTGCTCTATAAATTAATTTTGATTGATAGCTCAAACTAAGCATTTAAATATCATATTTAGAATTACAACTGATATTTAAAGAGGAACTTGGCAACTCTAGCCATTTCTTCACTGATTTTCGCTTTTAATGTCGCATGTTTTCTCATCACCCGAATGATTTCTAAACGGATTTGTTAAGTTGAAATAGTGATATTAAAATCCACATTGATTTCATTAAAAGCTATCAGAATTAAATCTAACAGTTTGTCCATATTAAATATCCGCACAAAATTTTATATTTTTGTCCTCATTGTGCCTCTGAATATTTTCCTCCTCAAATGTCAGTGCCATATTCTGCTATATCATATTATATAAGCCATAAAAGCCTGATGTATCATATAAAAAGCCTTTTTTCATTTTTTTTTTTTTGATTTGGTCTACAAGTTTAATACATTTTATTTTGTGGCTATTATTTGTAGGACTAATAAATATGATATTTTCAGAAAGCAGTGCAAAACTAAATTCAGATGATGTGTATATGTGTTTTGTAGGAGCGTGATAAGGTCATGCCACTGGTCATCCAGGGGTTTAAGGATGCATCCGAGGAAGCGGGAACCTCCGTTACAGGTGGTCAGACTGTTATAAATCCTTGGATAGTCCTGGGAGGCGTGGCCACAACAGTGTGCCAACCGAATGAGTTCATTATGTAATTATCTCTAATTTTATGTACTTTTGGAGTTATTGCTACATGCTCAACTAATAGGTCTGTCCATTTCTGTAATTGTGTGCATGTGTGTGTGTTATGCATGTTCTAGGCCAGATAATGCAGTACCAGGGGATGTGCTGGTTCTCACCAAACCACTAGGAACACAAGTGGCGGTCGCAGTGCATCAGTGGCTGGACATTGTGAGTGTTTTAGACATTTGTAATTTTGCATTATAGCTTGAACAGGGTTTAACGATCTTTCTTTCTGTTTCAGCCAGAGAAATGGAATAAGATCAAATTGGTTGTCACTCAGGAGGATGTTGAACTGGCGTATCAGGAGGCCATGTTAAACATGGCTCGACTCAACAGAACAGGTCAGTGCATGTCACATGAGTGCGGCTTATAAATGAGTTTGGAGCAAACGCTTGACACTTCTCTGTTTCTCTCCGTCCAGCTGCCGGGCTGATGCACACCTTCAACGCACATGCAGCGACTGACATCACAGGGTTTGGGATCCTGGGCCACGCTCAGAACCTGGCACGACAGCAGCGTACAGAGGTGTCCTTCGTCATTCACAACTTGCCAGTTCTCGCCAAAATGGCTGCCGTCAGCAAAGCTTGCGGGAACATGTTCGGTCTTATGCACGGCACCTGCCCAGAGACCTCAGGTACAAGATCTGATCGGCAGAGCACTTTTTTCCCCTTGTGGCAGGAACGTGTACTGAGGTGTCTAAAAGGCTGACTTTTAAAAATATAAATAATAATTAGATTATTAATTTCAAAATTTGAAATTAAACAAGAAAAAGTAATGATAAAAGTGGAATGAATCAAATAGATAAAAAAAATCTAAAATATATTAATAAAAAAATAATGTAGAAATTCTAGAAAATGTAGTTACACTACCATTTAAAAGTTCGGGGTCAGGGAGATTATTATTTTTTTGTATTATTATTAATAATAATAATAAAAAAAAAAACTCTTATGCTCACCAAGACCGCAATTATTTGATATAAGTATATAGTAAAAACTGTAATATTGTGAAATATTATTATTCTGTTTTTTATTTGAATATATTTTAAAATGTAATTTATTCCTCTGATGCAAAGCTGAATTTTCAGTATCACATGTTCCTTCAGAAATCATTCTAATATGCTGATTTGCTACTCAAGAAACATTTATTATTATTGCCAATTGATATTTTTCAGGAAACCATGATAAAAAATATCAGGATTCTTTAATTAATAGAAAGTTCAAAATTGCCATAACCTTTCTTTTTCCTCAGAATTATGTTTAAGCTAAAATGGGAAAATTAGTTTTCAATATGGTCTCAGATGTTTAAAACCCACTGTATGTTTATTTGTATACCTCCCTGTATATAAGTCTTCTTAATGAGCTATTATTACACATTTAACTTTGCAGAAAGCAGCAATCTGAATCTTGCATTTTTCTCCTTTATTTTTTCTGTAGGAGGTTTGCTGATCTGTCTTCCACGCGAGCAAGCAGCCCGTTTTTGTGCCGAGATCAAATCTCCCAAGTACGGCGAAGGTCACCAGGCGTGGATCATCGGCATTGTAGAGAAAGGCAACCGCACGGCACGCATCATCGACAAACCCCGCATCATCGAAGTCGCACCGCAGGTGGCCACACAGAATGTCAACACCACCCCGGGAGCCACATCTTAAATCTGAGCGGCCCAAACAGCTAGCGTACTCTAGCCTCACCTGAAAATATATCAGCGTAATGATATATATAGAACATCTGCCCACCTTGGCCTTCTGGCAGATTCTACATGGACACGTTTATAAAGCAGAAGAACATTCAATTGCCTTTTTGTGTCTATAATTTTCTGTTACATTAACTGGCCATGCACCTGATTGTGAGGCAGCTTACAAGTAGAAAGTATAATTAATAGTATAATTCTTATTTGATACTGTTGATTACTTCCAAATATCTTCTGCTAGCACATCACCTGCGGTCTCATACATAGCCATGGTGTGTTTTTGCCTTTCCTGTTAGTATGCACAACCCATGCCGTAGTTCACATCATAATCTTTGCCTCGAACAATAGTTAATGAAGCTGCAGTGACGAGGAAGAGCGTGTCGGGGAAGGATTTCTTTTTTTACTTTTGTATTATCCCTCGTGCGTCGGATAAAATAACCCTCCCTCACTGTTCGGTGGAAACTTTGTTGGACTGAAGGGATCCAAGGTAATACCTCTCTAATAAATCAAGACCTCTTATTCTGGGAGACGCACCGCTGTCTTTGACGGCGACGCTGATTTTTCTCAAAGAATGTGCTAAACGTTGGAGATGCAGTTTGTATTGTATGATAGCTACTGTTTCACATGAACATCATTAGTTCTGTTCTGTGGTAGAGATGTTTTTATATTCTGTACAAAGGTCATAATTTCTTGCCGTCTCTATTTACTATTCATCATGTATATGCCTTGAAAGCCCTCCAATAAAACTCGGATCCTTTTTTAAATTCTTGAAAAGACGTGCATCTGATTGTGTGTTGGATGGTAAAACTTGGATTTTTTTTTAACAGCTTTTTTTAATCAAGTGCAGGGTAAATTCAGAACTTTAAAAGTAAATATGCACCAATTAAATATTTACAGACATTTCACAAAGATTACATGATAAAATATTTACAATTAAATACAATACAAATTTGTACAATTTTCTTTTCACCCATCATAAATCCCTTTTGCTTTAAGTGCGCTATTTCACTAAACATGTTCTTACTATAAATTACTACAATATATTTACAAGTTTAGGTAACACTTTATTTGAAGGGGTGTGCGTAAGACTGACATGACACTGTCATAAATATGACATAACACCTGTCATGAACATGAAGGAGTCTTTATGGATGTTTATGACTGTTGTCATTAAGTGTCATCTGGTAAATTATGACACTTTTAATGCAAAGTTGACATTGTTTAAAATGTCTTGATTATGACAACTTGACATTAACCAAGAAATCATAACCTGTCAACCTGTCATAACAGGTTTAACTATCAAACTTATACGTTATTTAGCTTTGTGTTAACATTAGATTACCCTGTCATATGTTATGGTTGGTATTAACTTTGGTTGTCATGACACAATTATAACTGTGACATGAATATTTTACTTGTCCTCAAGTAAAGTGGAACACATTGTACTAGTTATAAAGATGTCATTAAGGGTTATTATTACACTGTCAAATGCTTTAAAAACAGTGTCATTAATATTTCCCTTTACCTCAAGTAAAGTGAAAGACGTTGGACTAGTTATGATTTCTTGGTTAATGTCAAGTTGTCATATCAAAGACATTTCTGTCTGTTAATGTCAAGTTGTCATAACAAAGACATTTTAAACAATGTCAACTTTGCATTAAAAGTGTCATAATTTACTGAATGACACTTACTGACAACAGTCATAAACATTCATAACGACTCCTTCATGTTCATGACAGGTGTTATGTACATGTTTATGACAATGTCATGTCAGTCTTAAGTACACCCCTTCAAATAAAGTGTTACCCAAGTGGATTTCATAAAAACGTAACCTAATATTTGTTTGTAGTGATGTTTGTTCAGATTATTGTAAAACTGGTGCTTTCAACTTGGGTCAGGAATTTGAAATTCCTGATTTTAGGAGTCAGATCTTCTTCTCTTTCTGGTTGAATAGAGCTCTTATGTCCAGCATGGCCTGTCTGATATTCTGGCCAAAGCGAAATGAGTCCTGAGGACGGAGGAGAAGATAAAGAGCGGAAGTCAGAAGTGTGATATAATGAAAGCAAATCATCATATGTACCATTCATAAAATTGCTTGGGTTTAGAAAGACATAAGGTTGAATAAATTAGTAAATTTAAATTTTTTTGTCTGAATTTACAGATAAACTGAATCTGTTTGGTTATTATATTTTTATCCTAACTTAAAATTAAATTCAAATTCCTAAATTCAAATCAAATTCTCAAAATCGCAGATCAAATCAAATGCTCAATGCATTTAAATTTTCTCATTTGATGAAGAATAAACTATAACATCAATTAAATTAAATAGATTTTTGAAATATATTTTATTTTCATTATCAATCCAATATAATCCTCCCTGTCATAATTTAAAACATATTTCAATCTTCAAATAACAAAGCAAATATTTAAATAACTCCAAATGATGAATCAAATGCTCAAAATATAACAGGAATTATAAAGAACTGTAGTTTCAAAAAGAGAATAGCAGAGTTCATAACCAAAATATAACGATAACAACAAAGTTGGAATCACTATTAGTGATATTTCTTTTCTTTCTGATATACAATACTAACATCAACAGTCAATCAAAATCTTTCCTATTTTGACGCACACACTGACAGCACGTAACAGAAACTTGCTTGCGGTTACATCCGTTGGTGTGTGGAAGCTAATATTTATTGATATAGTTATGATTCTTGGCGTGAACGAGTCAATAACAAGGGTCTTTATCTGAATAGTGTGTGGCCTTTATGTATCATCTCTTCTTAAAGTGGTTGTTCAGTTATGAAAAAAATGCAGCGTTTTAAATTCTCTTACCGTCTCAGGGCTGGAGAACTTGCTAGAAATGTGGAATGTAATGAGATCCTCACCGACAATGATGTAAGAAACACCATAACCGTCATCAGCAACCTGTATAAAGAAATTCAAATAACAACTGGTCAAATATATGGGTATATTCATTCACTAAACTCGTTGCAAAGACATGTGCAGTATAGGAGGAGACACTCACAGGCCCAAAGCCGCCTCCTGCTCCCACATATTTGGGAAACTTCTGAATGTCGATGAGATTGAGCTGCTGTTGAGGGGTCTGACTGGTGGAGAGACGCCAGGGCTCAGATAAAACCTTACAAAAGAAGGTTTCCTTGAGACTTTAGCTAAATTAAACAGGTAGGTCATTCTTTATGGTCATGAAACAGACTTGCACTCACCTGTTTGAGGAAGGGTGAGTCTATGCCCATTACTTTGGACACAATATAGAGGCAGAAGAGATGCCGGTCGATCCCGGCTCCTGTCATTGCCAGACGGTACATGTTCTGATGTTTCTCAGCAGCTTTTTTGAAGAGATCTAACCTCTGCTCATTCTGGAGAACAAGAAAAGGTCATGCATGTTAATAACAATATCATTTACAGGAAGAATAAAACAAATGCAGATTTTTTTTTTTCCAAATCAAAACTTATAAGTGCTGATGTAAAAGTCATTTTTTATGTTCCACCGGATGTTTCAACAGTGGACTTGAACAATACTGACGAAGTGTGGATGCAGCATTACCAACACGATCTCATGTAAGTGCGTATCTATACCACAAATTTAATTAATCGTGCCATTTATACGCCAAAATTGTTTTTTGTGTACATATGAGCTACACACTGGGTAGGATTAGGGGAGTGTGTGCATATTACACACTATAAAGTGCGTATCATATGCATGCAAAAACTGCGTAGGATTTAAATATTAAATAACACAAGAGATAGATAGATATGCACTTTCATGAGATCGGCTGGCATTAAACAAAAACAAATGTTTTCAGTTATCGAAATGTTAAAGGGATAGTTCACCAAAAAATGAAACTTCTGTCATAATTTACTCACCCTCATGTTGTTTCAAACCTGTATGAATTTCTTTCTTCTGCTTAATACAAAAGAATATATTTTGAGGAATATGGGTAACCAGACAGGCCTGTTTGTTTACAGACATTCTTCAAAATATAATCTTTTGTGTTCAACAGAAAAAAAGAAATTCATACAGGTTCGAAACAACTTCTGACAGAATTTTCATTTTTGGGTGAACCAGCCCTTTAATTGTAACTTTTAAAATGGCACCAGAGCCCGTCTAACGGAGAGCCTTGGCACTTCCTATTAGCCTCATTGTGTATCATCTTGGTTGCAGTTCCATTAGAATTCCACTGGAGGTGATCGCGAGCGAGTGCAGAATGAATGGGAGTCTATGGAGCTAAACGGCTAAATGTGTCTCTTTCTCCTGTTTGCCGTTGAATCAACAGAGATTTTATTTTTGATTCTGCAAGTTCAATATAGATTATAGGCCAAAAGTCGAATGAACAAGTATTTATGTCCTTTCGATTTCTTATAGGTTAGGCCGTTGGCCGGAACATGCTAGCATTCTGCTTTTGTGTGGCGTCATCACATTTTTGAATGGATTTTTAGAACAGATAAGTGAACTTAAAAAGAGAATATTATCTTAACCTTCCCTTTTGAATGCAACTTTCAAATTACTTGACAAAAAATTACATCCTGAGAAAAGTGGATTTCTGGGGGTGAAACCCCATAGACTCCCATTCATTCTGCACTCGACCGCGAGCGCCCCCGCATGGACAGAGATGTGTTACTGCAGCCAGTCCAGAAACCGGAAGTAACCAGCCAGTGCCAATTCTCTTCAATTAGACATACTCTGATGGCACTTACTTCCTAAATATGACCCCTGGGTTGGGTCTGTATATATATTGCTCTCACCGTTTTGCTCTCGTCTTCCATTGCTTTTACAAACGCTGTGGACTCACAGGTGCAAGAGCGAACGGTTTCCGTCCGGCCCTCGCGGAACATGCGTGTCATGGATGATTCATAAGTCAGACAGAATTTCCCCTTGTCCTACACCAACAAAAACAGCAATAAACTTAATTAAGCGTTATGTTCACAATATACAGACACATTTTTGCAGAGGGAAATATGTGTGGCTTGTACCCTGTATTGAGCTAGCTGCAGTGCTAGCTGGATAAAAGCATCTGGACTTGTTCTGCATTTCTTTATCAGGCCCTTTCCAAACTCATTAAATAAGCAGTCGTGGAAATCCACATCGTCAGCAATTCCCTTAGCAATCATGTAAGAACCTTCAATAATCTCCTGGCACTGAGAGACACAAGGAACGTTAATCAGTTATCAGGATTTATAATAAATCATCATGCATACAATTTCAATTTGTTCAATTTATTCATCTTTAAAATGAAAAACCATGTCAAGACCTAAGATGGAAGGGTAATTCATACCGCTTTTGGGATGTCCCATTGTAGTCTGGTAGGGGGCGCCAGGCTTTTGTTGATGTCTCCTTTGCAATGTCCCTCTGCAGTATATCCCAGGTGGAAACAATCTGTGGCCGAAACATACTAAACAGAAAGTTGTAATGGAAGTTATTTATTACAGCTGAATAGTGTTTAAAAATAAATATATTTATAATTATTATTATTATTCTTTGTTTACCTCCCACATATGTCCAATGATAGGGGAGTCCGCCCATGAATGCTCAGTGTTGACGCCCATTTTACCGTTCTTGTAGACGATCAAAGTGAAGGATTTATCAAACCACCTGACAGATGCGAGAAGATAGATCAGTTAATGTAAATTTGTATGAGTTCATGTGGTTTGAATGTGTGCAGATGTCACCACTATGAACTACCTGGTAATGAGACAAAAAAAAAAAGTGTTGATCTAAATTCAAAGTTCTGTTTGTCATCTAATTAGCACAGCTGATTGGTTGCTATTGCATCAGCAGCCAATGAGCTTGCTCCTTAACATAGGAAAAGGATTTCTGTTTCAATAGTATTGAAATCGATACTATAATCCAGCAGAACAAAGAAAATGTAATATACGTAGTATATAAAAAACAGAGCTTCTAACTCTACCTGGATAGCATGTTATTTGTTTTGCAAAAATCCACCGCTCCGGTTCATCGGGTCCAATCAGCGCAGGGGGGGTGTGAGATCTAACTGTCAGTCACAGGTCGTGCAGACGCCACCCCTCGCGCAAGTTACAATCGGATCAGCATTTTGAAAGGTGGAGATTTATGTGATTTAATTGGGTTCAAGCTGGATGCAGAGCTTGCAACATTTCTTCTCGACAGGTAATTGTGCTTTATCAACCAATTACTTTGTTATAAGGCCCTGTTTACACGAGAACACTCGCGGGTGAAAATGTGAAAATATTTTATCGAATTTGCCTTTCGTTTACACGGCGACGGCGTTTTTTGGGGCTTAAAAACGCAAAAAAGTGAAACCACCCTCCAGAGTGGAAATATTTAAAACGCTCCACCGCCGCGTTCTCGTGTAAAGGGTAAAAACGCAAAGCTCTGCTTGACAGTGAAGGTTGTACACAGGTGTTGTGCCGAATTTCGACTCCCTGCCAGAATCCGACTCCCCCTCGCGTGCACGCGCAATGACGTCACTACACTAGTCGCCGAATTTCGACTCCCTGACAGAATCCGACTCCCCTCGCTTGCACGTGCTATAAGCTTGGTGCGACTGTTTTATTTTTCGTCTGTTTGTGTTACTTAGTTAAAGTTGGGTGTCTTTTTATTTTTCCAGGTGTTTATTAATAAATATAATTTTCAGTGTTTTTAGAAAGTGTTGCAAAAACCAATCACTGGCATACAGGATATGTTTGTTTAAGTATGTTTAAGTGCACTATACTTATATGAAATGTTAATATTTAACATTTATTCCCATTGTGTACAGTTTACTTTACTATAGACAGTCCAATAATACCATGTGCAGTAAGTTCTACTTAATTCTGCACATAGATTATTCATAGATATACTCTGCCTGTACATTTTTTTAAATCAAACCCCAGAATTATTTCTGTGTCCAAAGCACAGGTGTAAGCAAAGTATATAAATCATACTTTCCTAATTTTTCAGGTTTACAAAGTCAAAGACACATGAAACTCATGCTGGTTACACTTAATTGATGGTAAAATAATTTCTCTGTTTAACATTTTTAAATTTTACTGTTTTACATTTGATATTGTATTGCGATAGGCACTTTTAATTCTGACATTTGCCAGTATAACTGGGTGGCTAATCATCTGAAGTGGACATAACACTTCTCCACTTCAGATTTGTCTTGTCACTTGTCCACAACATTTACCTATAACTTAAATGTATTTTGATGGTGCTTACTTTCTGTTTCCAACATGATTAACTGCATTTTGGTGATAAAAAAAAAAGAAAAAAATCTGCCAGAATCTGACTCCCCTTGTGTGCATGCCATGAAGTCACTATACGCGGCAGTCAATTACTTTACTGCTCATATGTTTGCTTTGTAAATGCTTAGGCATGAAAGTTTACTTTTCTGAATACTATGTATTTTTTTTTATATTTTGATATATAAAGATTAACACCAAATGTGGCCTTATTGTTAATGTTTGTTTGATTATGGGTAAATACTATATGAACAAAAATGAGCTGAAGGAAACTGACAAATTGTATTGAGTTACTATAGGCCTAATTGGATTCAATAAAATAGCCAAACAAAATGAGTCTCCATGTGAAGCTTTAATGCTGTTTATATGAGGATCTCATACCTGTTCCTTTTTCTGTTTATATCATTATATCATTTTGTCTTTCTTTTACTTGTAGGCTATTATTATTTTAGATTGTATACGTTTTTTTTACTATTTGTTGTTGACTACATTTGTATAGCTATGTGTTAGATTAATTGTCATGTTTATTATTTGCCATTTGATAGGCATTTAATAAAAAAGGAAAAAAACAAAATCCTTTACTTTTCATCTATAGTTTCCACACCTGTAATTCCTGTCTGCATTTAGTGTTTCTCTGTGTGTACGTGTGTGAGCGTGCAAATTAATAAATAACAAATGCATACAAATAGGAAGTGAAATGATAAATTATATGTATTTATGCAGTGACACACATAACATCACTGTAAGTTTTAAACACAGTACCTGCTGAATTTAAAGTGATTAGTGATTAGTTTTTGCAACACTTTCTGGAAAACACTGATCATTATATTTATTATTAAACACCTGTAAAAAAAGAAAAGAAAAAAAAAGACACCAAACTTTAACTAAAGTAACGCTAACAGACGAAAAATAAAACAGTCGCACCAAGCTTACAGCACGTGCAAGCGAGGGAGTCAGATTCTGTCAGGGAGTTGAAATTCGGCGACTAGTGTAGTGACGTCATTGCGCGTGCACGCGAGGGGGAGTCGGATTCTGGCAGGGAGTCGAAATTCGGCACAACACCGGCGCGCGGGCTTGGTGTTGTTGTAGTATGCACTCTACCGCCTGGAGTGCATACTACAGTGAATTTCACAGACTTTTGCGTCACCATCTGCACGCAAATTTCACACCCAAAACGCTTGTCTAAACGCAGAATAAAAAGTGATAACGCAACGCCACTTTTGCGTTTTCTCTTCAGAATCGTTTCAGTGTAAACATAGCCTTAGTGTTACGTTAGTAATCTAAGTAGCCTATGTTTGCCCAAATGTGTTGGTATGGATAGCTTACGTTAGTACTTGTTTGGCAGGTTCGTTAGTTTAGTTTGCACTGAAATCCGTGTGAACGTAACGTTAAGTGTATAAACATGTCCAGATGAAGGAATAAAGTTCGGATTTTTGGAAGAATGTTGATGGATGCTGATGAGACGGGCACATTCACAGAAAAGCTGGTGCGCGCACTGACGAGCACAAACTCTATGGGAGGGTATTCATTGATAGTGGGGAAGGGCATGAGTGTTGTAAACATTAAAAATTTTGCCTAAGTCCACTCAATCTGCCAGACATGCCGACTGCAGCTTTAACATTGCCATATCCATTACCATGCCAACCTCTTAGAGAGTTGTCATGACAGAACTAAGTGTTATTGTTAACTAAAACAATTAAATTGTTTTCGTCAATTGAAATAAAATAAAATAAAATATAAACATTAGCCTAGTTGGAAAAAAAAAAAAAACAGAAATGCAGTTGGCAACTAACTGAAATAAGTTGAAACTAAAATTACTAAAACTAAAGCTGAAATAAAAATAAAATTGGCCAAATATGTGAAATATAAAATATTAAAAATGCCAAAAGCACATTACAAAATTACTAAAACTTAAACTAAAAATATATGAAATAATACTGAAATAACACTGGTTTCTACCTGTCATAGCACTTTCCATGCAGTAGAGATTTAGCGTAGAGGTCCAGGGATTTTAAATTCTCTGGATCATATCCATGCGCCTCATCGTCCAGGGTCAGGAAAAACGCAGCCGTCTCAATGGCCTCCAGAGACGCCCGGTTGACACCCTCTCTGAAGTACTTTAAACGTGCCCTGGCCCAAGGAACCCTGCATGTGTGTGTTAAAGGGGAAGATTTATATAAAATTTAAAAAAAGATTTCTATCTTTTTTCCCCTTTGTTTATTTAATTTAATTTGATTTACAACAATATTCATGTTCTTACAATGTTACTATATAGTACTATTATTATTTTTTTTATTATTAAATAATTTTCTTTGAAATGTCTGACTGAAAACCCCTGGTTTAGCACACAGCCTATATTACGAGATCTTCTTCACCTGTTTCCAGCAGTCAGTGAAGGGAGCTTGATCTCTCCAGGCTGTGGTTCAGATTTGTCATCCAGGATACGTTGAAACTGCAACTCGAGCTCTGACGGCCAAAGGTGGCGACCACCATAGTACAACCACACCTTAAAGAAACGGCCTCGATGGTACACCACCAAGTGCTTCCTGTCCTTCAGATGCTGCACAAAATCTGAGCATGAACAAAGGTAGGTGAGAAACCATCATGAGACCATCATCTTTAGGCCCATCATCTATAGTCAAACAGTATTTAAAACATAAATGAAAAAAATTCCTTACCAGTCTCAATGCCAGGGATACGAGTGGTGTTGAACATCCTTTCAAACTGAAAAGAGCACATAGGGACAATCCCAAGAGCTCTCAGCTGAGAAGAGAGAACAGTGGGCATATTTATTTTTGCATGTATTTCAATGGATGGAACAACTATTTGTATGTGTCGGATGTGTGTGTACCGGGGTAAGTTCTCCTCGCTCCAGTTTCCGACGATACTGCAGCATGGCATGAACTACATTTCCAGCCCGTGCAGCCTGTCTGTGTGTTGGGATCACATAGAGGAAATCCTGATGGACGGAGAGTGAGAGTAATGGATATAGACAGTTTTATTAAATAAGGCTACAACAAAACACAACCACAAACAAACAACTTTAATGTTTATAAAGTTCCATTTTTTTCATAGTTAGTCAGTAGGTGGTACCATTGTATTTCAACAGTCAAATGATTCATTTATACTTGAAATTTAGGTAACACTTTATTTCGATTGTACACTTTTTACATTCGACTAACTACAAGTAACTTTGCAACTACATGTCAACTAACTCTCATTAGTAGACTGCGTTGCTTTAATATCTGCAAACACTTTATTTTGATGGTCCCCAACAGACATTCTACTAAGTAACTTTGCAAGTACGTTAACTTATTCTTCTAACATGAACCCTAACACCTAAACCTAACTTACTAATACTCTAATGACAGTTAGTTGACATTTGCAAAGCTACTTATAGTTGGTATAATGTCTAAACTGGACCATCAAAATAAAGTATAACCAAAATGTATAAGTACAGGTACTTATTTTGAGTTGCTATTTATTTTGTCACCTTAAAAAAAAATCTGATTCACCTTTTATGGGTCTTTTATGTCTTGTAAGCTGGCGTACTGGTGTCCGTGTCCTTAAAATTATGTCCTAAAAATTGACTAAATTAACTTTTATAAAATTGATAAAAACAAACTTATAATGATTTGAAATGAAAAAATAAAAATACTACCAATTTTAGTCCAAATAAATGTTTTTGTTCAATTAAACGCACCTGTGTCTGACTGGTAATAGCATGTAGCAAATCATGCTTCATGCCTCGAAATAAAGAAATGAGCCTTTTGATATGTACCACCCCAACTTCCTGTTTCATTAGGAAGTAAACCTATGTCAATTCCAGGGCAATTTCATTTCATACACACCATTGTGTAAAAGTTGCTATTAACCATGATGGGGTCGCGTCCTCTCAGGTAGATATACTCCTCCCACCAGTCACTGACCTGTTAATACACACAATGCCATGTCTGTTGTTAGACAGCATTTATAAGAGGGTTTTCACCTGATTTATTAAAGCTGCAGTCCGCAGTTTTTCCTCTTTGTCGCCATCTCTGTTTGAAATCTGCAATTGCAGTTATTCGCGGAATTATCAACTTTACGTGAGTTGTAGTTCGACTTGGTACAGCACAGATGAACACAATGTTTGAGGAGAGTGTGCAGATGTCAATATCGACTATATATTGATACAATATCAGCTAATTATATCAAGTGCTTAGTGCTGTGAGAAAGCTATAAATCTCCACCTCCAACATCCTCACACGCAATATAGCCTATTAGACGGACTCCTTCATTTTTGTGTACTGATGTGACATGCTCGGCTGCAGCTTTAAATTAATATATTCCACTCATGTAGAACATCACTATCTTTGTTTACTTACATAATTTGTGGCCCACCAGGATTTGAGTTTTAGGTGTTTTTGGAATTTGGGGGCAGGGTCCTTTTTGAAGTCATTAGCAACAATCTCCATCTGTTTATATTGATCATCATCCAGAAGAGGTTGAACTGATTCTAGATACTAAAACCATGAAGAGAAAAAATCATACGAATGAAAACAGCCAAAACAGAGTGCAATGTTTAATTATACACAGAACATTGACAAGTGAAGCTCAAATAAATCATGTAATATTGTTTTACTGGTTTAATTTATGCACAAAGCTATATATATATATATATATATATATATATATATATATATATATATATATACTTTTAATTTAAAATAAGCATAAGTTAAAACCCCTTGACTGTCACTGTCCCACCAGCGGGACGCCTAAGTTGATTTCACTATATTACATTTAAATTCTTATCTAATCATGAAAAACTATATCTGTCACGTGTGTCATGTGTTCCCATGTCTTTCCATGTCAGTTGTTCCCCATTTTGTTGATTAGTCTCCCCAGGTGTTTCTGATTAGCCACTCCCCCTTGTTACCTTGTTTAGCTTGTTTGTCTGTGTATTTATACCTCTGTTCTACAGTCTTTGTTTGTCTGTTGTTGTTTAGTGTAGTGGTTTCTTGCTCCCGTTTCTGTTTCCTGAGTTCGTGTTCTGTTAGTTTGCCTGAGATTACCTGTTTGTTTATTTAAATAAAAGTGCCTGCATTTGGATTCTTTCCGTTTCATTCCTCCATGCTCGTAACAATATCATTGGAAAGGTCTAAGACTCCTAAATATATATTTTGCCACTGTTTTTGTTACAAATTACGTAGGAACAGTAATAGATTAATTTATGACAGTCCTGACCTTTGTCACAAGAAGCTGATGCACACAATTGTAATAATTGAAACTTTGGTTTTCATGCTAAAAGTTCATAATAAAACATATAATAATAAAAAAAAACATTAACTCTTGATAACATTATATTTATTAGACATCTAATGAAATTTTACCCTGCTGATTGTGTCATCAATGCTCGGTACTGGCAGATGGGGCAGAGATCCCTGAAAGCTGAAGAGCAACGGCCGTCGACCAGACAACAGCTTTACGAGACTCTAAAAAGCAGACAGAAAATTCATACATCAAACCACTTTTTAAACTGCACTATACTTACATTTTATTTAATGAGATATGTACCAGCCAAACTTTAGTAGAGAAGCTCATTTTGCCATGTGACTCAAAGATCCAGCCATGATAGGACAGGAGAGCTTTCAGGATGTACCGCAGAAGGAAGATGAAGGATAACCACAGGCCTGTGGCAAACAAGATGGCACTCAACACCATCTGAGTCTGAACGGTCATAAATTCACTACAAGGGAACATATTAAAAACTTGTAATTTAACAAATAATATGATCAAAATTGTGAATATTAATGTAGATGTTAAGAAAGAAAATTATATATTTATTATATATTTAATTAATATATTCTGTGGAGCAAGATTTGATTTGATTAAACTGTGCATTGGTAAAACACTGCTAATATTAAAATGCTATCACATCTTATCAGAAAATGTTATATTCAAAACCAAAAAGATAATTTGAATACCATCTACACAGAGCAAGTATTTTTTTTTTTGGTTGTTTTTTAAGCTGCTTTTTTCATGCATGATGGTCATACCAGAAGTTTCCACAAATGTGTTAGTAAGTTACCTCACTGGAAGAGATGTCTTTATCCTGTCAATCATACCCATGGAGGGGTCGATCCTGGCATACATTGTGCTCATAATCGCAATGACTACGATTAGCCAGCTGGAAGGACTGGCGGGGTACACACCTGTGAGAACACCATTCTACTCGAGACAAAATAAATAATATAACTTTTAGATAGATAGATAGATAGATAGATAGATAGACAGACAGACAGACAGACAGACAGATTGATTGATTGATTGATTGATTGATTGATTGATTGATTCACCTTGAAGCGGATAGCACGCTTCTTCCATGATGTCACTCCAGATATGTAAATGTGTTTGAGCACCTCACGGCTCAACTGTAGGTCGATGCCATCTGGTGTGACGGTGAACTGAAATGCCACCGCCTGGTGAGCCTCGGCCATTATACAGGCTTAAAGCACAGCCTGAGGAACAAGACAGGCCCTATTCAAATATATTTTGCAAACACTGCAATGTTTATGTACTATTTTAGCCCAGATGGTGTAGTCTAGTGGAAAGATCTGGGCTACTAAGGGAAAGGTTAAGCTAAGGGTAACTGATGTAATACTGTGACACTTGATCTCAGGATGTAATGTATTATAACTTAATAATAAACAATATAACTTTATAACTTCTTAAACTCATTAAATTATAAATGTATGTCCTTGAGGGCTTGAGGTTGAAACCTGGCAGGGGAATTTATAAACTGGATAATTATTAAAATCCATCACCACTGCCATTTCACCTCAGGTTGCTACAGGGAAGATTTGCCTTTAATACGTTTCCTGTAAGTTTCTGATAAATGACCCATGAAAATGGGTTTACTAGAACCTATAGAAACTTATAAAGGACATGTACAAGTCACAGAGTTCAGTTATGCTGGGACACTGTCAAGCTTATGTTTCTTTTTCCATGTCATATGACTTCAGCCAGAAGAAGTGGGGCAAAGTTGAATGGTCAGAAATAACATGACATCTGAGAGGGCTTCAGTGACACTGGCTAAAACACACGTGACATCTGATGCATGACAGCGTAGATGAGGAGTTTTTTTTTTTTTTTTTTATAGAATATGCAGCATAAAATATTATTAAAATATATGTTTTGATATTAAATTTGACTTTTCAACCAATACTTTGTTATTTCTATGAACTGTAAATTTTGTCCAACATATAATAGGATAATATAAACAATATGTACATGTTTAACACAAATATGTTATAACAATAAAAAGCATGTTTAAAAAGTTGTACCTTAACTTTTAACAGTGACTAAATATTTACTACATATAAAATATTTATGTTATCAACATAAAAAAAATTATTTCATACTTGGAAGTGATAAAAATCTTGCAAAGCTGTAAAATTTTAGAGACAATTAGAGAAGACAGACTACACAAAACTCAGTTTGAGGCATTATCAAACAGAATGATTGAGAGTAAAGTTTTAATAAGAAATATACTGGATTTACATTACCTGCAATGCAATGTGACTGCAAAACAGTGTAAGTCAGATGAAATTCAGTGGATAAAAAGATCCAATTTTCTCTCAGCTGGAATGTCCTCGATGGAAGTCAAATGTTCTGGACTCTTGTGCCCTTCAGTCGACGACTCGTGCACTCTGCAAGTCTGTTGCTCAGGGACTAGTTATCTCCTCTTCTACTCAAACCCTCCCACTCTGTTTTCTTTTATTTTGCGAGTTGCCTGTTTTCTGTGAAAGTGTTTGTTTTCTTCTTGTATGCTATAAACCACCTGTTACATAGTAGCCCTTGTAAATGCTCTCTCTCGTTCTGTGTATGTGTAACTGGATCCTCTCAGGCAGAGTTAAACTGGTGGATGTATACTAAGTGCACACTTTATGATCAATCTCAGGCCCAAATCTTGTGCAGCTGGAAATATCCCACGCAGCATGCCAGAACACTCTGACGACAGTCAGGGACAGAGAGACCTTATGTACATGTAGGGATGTGTCTTTGTAAAATATCCATGAACTGAGGCTTGTGAATGTGTTATGTAATAGACCAGGCATCTAAAATGCACGCATCTTTAATATAGAATAAGGAACTTGATAGACAATCAGATTGTACATTTGTAAAGTACTTTTTAAAAAGAAAACGTAAGTGGTCTGAAATCCCAATTTTGATTACCTAGAAAAGTAATAGCATGCCTCTCTCCTCAACAAGCTGCAAGATTTGGGGAATCATTTATGCCCACAGCAAAGGACGTTTTACATGCAAAAACAACCAAAAAAGCTTTATCCAAAATATGCACAAAAGTAATGGTCATGTCATAGCAAGCAGACATAATTGTGTTTTATGAAAGATTACGCCACATTAACAGGTTCTTATGGCATTCTCGACATTTTTGAAATATTGTTGTATTTTATTGCAATTTTAAGGTCAGATGTAGAGGTGGAAAATGCTCTCATAACAAGTAGAGAAAGGAAGTGAAGGAAGAGGAAAGAGAGACAGGGAATCCAGGTTAAGTTTAACTACAGAATTGTCCTTTGTCCCTGACATGTAGACGTCGTTATGCCGAATGGTGCCCTGGCCAATTAAAGTGGTCTTCTCGATTGGCCTGACACGGCCCCACTTCTGAGAGTCAACGCAGAAAGAAGTCACCATGGTTTTAGAATTGTTTCCACCAATTATAACCAACTGACTTTCGTTAGCACCCAGGAAGTGCAAGATGGGGAGCTCGGCATTGGTGCGGGTTAGAGTGGGGAGCAGTTCACACCAGCAATCTGAGAGGAAGAGAAAAAAAGTCTAATTTCTAAATGCATCTCAGGGGCAACAGCTCATAGATGAACCCTGAATGCAGCCCGTTCTCATCCCAAGACGTCATCTAACTGACGCTTTTGATCATACGTCATATGTTTTGGTTGGGAGTGTTCATGCGCTTGCGCGTGACAGAACGCAGAATACGCAGCGCTATGAAACCCATTCATTTCAAGGACTTCCAAAGATACATAACAGCTACAAGCACTATCAAGCACTATATATAGGATTCATTGATAAGTCAAAAAGCAAACAGCCAGCCATCCACAAATAGTCTATAATATAGGCTGTCTTTGAGTTCACTTGAACAAGGGTTAAATTACTCGTTGGCTACAGAAGAATACCACCTTTCCTCCGTTCAATTAGGCCTAAGACATCGAGAGTCAATCAGACCTATAACAACCTCAGCCACAACACATAATTGGGAATAACATGCCTTACCTTAACACAGAATGGATTTCAAGGACTTTGCGCAGATCAATGGGCTCCAGCAACGTTTATATTTTTTCTACGAATCTTTGCGTTGCGAGTTAACATGTACTGTATTAAACATGATTGGAATTTGCACTGCAGCGCCACCATACATTGATGCTCATGACAAGAATAGCATGTATAGTTATCTTTATTGAAGTGAATTAGGTTTAAATCGGCGTCATGCATGAATTAAAAATATTTTTGATGTTTTACACATAATACTCCACGATGATCACATTACACAAAACTTGCACGTCAAAATAAAACATTGTCAATATTTTTTGAGACCCCCCAAAATTTCACGAATCACGTTTTCAGGGAGCCCATGCCATATTAAGGGGAGCCGAGCTCCCCCTAGCTCCCCCGTAGTTCGCACCCTCCTAACCCTACCCCAGACCTAAACCTACCCGCGTCATCTAACTGACGCTAAAGGTAAAGCGTCAGTTATATGATGCCCTAGGACCATCATCTAACTGACATTAAAGGGTACCCTAAAACGTCGGATGTTGACTTATGGTCAAAAGCGTCAGTCAGATGACGTCTTGGGATGAGCATGTGTTGCTGAATGTTGTCCAACCCAAATATCTTTTATCTCTAGGCTACTGTGGTACCTTGTCTTGAATTGTAGCGCAGCACCAGTTTCTCTCCGGTTCTTTGGATGTTTCCCAGTACATAGAGGCAGTGTCCCAGGCTCGTTGTGAGTGGGGAATCATGGGAAAGGGACAGGCTGAACTGGAAGTCCGTCAGAGGGAGAGAGGAAACGAATGCCCAGGTGTCCGTCCATGGATCATACCTCTCTACAGCAGTGTAGACACTTGTGCTGGAGTTGGGAGTCACAAGGGAATCCAGATACCAGCCGCCCACAGCAAAGATTCTCCCTTCACACACTGCTGCACTGAAGTGACGCCTGTGCTGGGAGGGATAATGGATAGTCACATTTGAATTTACGAATTTCACCTTTATTTACGTATTTCTGATACTTAGAAGTGAAGCTTGGGTTTTTGGAATGAGATCTTTAGGGATAAACAGTTCCAGACAGAAATCTGCCCTTGCTTCGTTATACTATCTTTAGGATATAAAGTTGAAACATGGTAAACCGGTTTCTTGCTGGTCAAAGGTGGTATGTTGGACTTAAAGGACAACTCCGGCACAAAATGAACCTTTGGTCTAATTACACATTGTTACCTAGTCAACCGTTAGCTGAGATTTGTTTTCATGATTGCTGAATGTAAATAGTTTTATCTCTAAAAACAGTTTAGCCAATAACGCTAGGGCATAGGGTGTTATTACCACTAACAAGGCTCAAAATAGCCCCACACTAACACGGTAGCATAATAAGGGTCCCTACATTCAAACCGAAGCATTGAGAGCTTTGTCAGTGTCCAAACAGTTTAATAAGAAGATATTTTATACACACAGTCAACTTCGCGAATACAGGAAGAAGCCATCTTTGAAAAAAAGTCTCTATCAGTCGATCTACGAACGCCGATCCAAGTGCACCAATGAGATGTGAATAAGGTGATAAGGTGAGCGCGAACAGTAGGCTACGTGTACATATTGAAGAGAAGAAAATGGTTCGTGTTTGTGTTTCTTCCGGAAACAACGGACCATATGAGATTCTGCACAGTTCAGCGCACTTGGATCGGTGTTTGTAGATCGACAGGTACAGACTATTTTTCAAAGATGGCTTCTTCCTGTATTCGCGAAGTTGACTGTGTGTATAAAATATCTTCTTATTAAACTGTTTGGACACTGACAAAGCTCTCAATGCTTCGGTTTGTATGTAGGGACCCTTATTATGCTATCGTGTTAGTGTGGATCTATTTTGAGCCTTGTTAGTGGTGATAACAAGTGATTTTTTTTGTCATTACTCTATGCCCTATATACTAGCATTATACTAGCGTAATAGGCTAAACTGTTTTTAGAGATAAAACTATTGACATTCAGCAATCATGAAAACAAATCTCAGATAACGGTTGATTAGGTAACAATGTGTAATTAGACCAAAGGTTCATTTTGCGCTGGAGTTGTCCTTTAACCAGCTTGAAATTCAGCAGGTCAGTTACTTAAAATGATTAGTTCATCCAAAAACGAAAATTATGTCATTACTGACTCACCCTCATATTGTTCCAAGCCCATATATATCATTGGCAAAGATATTGACTTTTATCTTATTGTAAGCAAATGTTCTAAAGTTTATACCTTAATCAGAGGAGCTGTTGATACCCATTGATTGGTAAAGGGGTTGTACCGGAAAGAAACCATCTTGAATTCATAACCCTTCTTTACACGGTGTCTGTAACCCCCTATAAGATAGAGGTAATTATAGAGAACCGCTGTGGTGAAGCACCACTTATCGGCACAAAAAGGCAAATCTGTGAGAGAACTCCATTTCCCATCATCCCCTTCTTCCTCCAGCCTAAAGAGTCTTCGGACAGCCTCAGTTTCCAGGTCATTACTTGAGGTCAAGTTCTCTTTTCTCAAGCAGCATAAGAATGGACTTCCCTTTGACCTTAATTTGAGAAGCTCCACTTTATGGTGTGGTTCCAAATCCTTGCTTAGGTGTGGAAGCTCCAGCAGATACTTGCTCAGGTAGGTTAGGACAGTCTCTTGAAGCTCCACACAGCAAAGTTCCTCAGCCAGCTGTAGATACCCCAAACAGGTGCACTCCGTCAGGGCCTGAGAGAGGGCCATCAGTAGACAATCTGTGAACCCAGAAGCCAATAGGTATGTGCTTACCCGTAGGTTTTCCCCAAGGAGATCATCAGGAACACAAAACCGCTGTCGAAAGCAAAATTCTAGAAGGTTGTGGAAGACTGGAGAGGGAACATGTTCAAGGTGCACCAGCCGTTCAGATGTCTCTCTCATGGAGGAGTGGGACAGAGCCTTGAAATAGTCACTGCAATCTGCAAGCTTCTCTAGATCCACCTGGAAGTGCCAAGAACCATGACATCTTGCATTTGTGGGCCAAGATTATCACAGTCTGTGGTTTAAGTTTGCTTGTGTAGATACTCACATGGAAAGAATGTGTGCTGGTTTGCACCATCACCATTGGCCCGTTGCTCTGGTGCCGATAAGTTCTGTAGTCTTGATTTGTTCTCCAGACATCTGACTGTAGATTATCAGACTTCTCTTCAACAACATCAGAATCTGCTTGTTCAAACTGATCCCAGTTTAAACTACTTTTGAAGCACAAAAACCTCTGTAGCTGATCTAAACGTCTTTTTATCCATGTGAAAAAATACATTAAGGCTACAACAATAATCTGACATAGATTAGCCATGTTTCCATTTAGGTAGAATACTCTTGATTTATAAGGATTTACAGATTTTGTATACCTCTTCAGCTGCAATTTGAATTAAAATATTGCATTTGGAACTATTCTAGTCTACGATTCTAGTCAAAGAAAATCTGACTCACAATCCCAGCCAAGGGCATGTCATTCGGTGGATGGAGAATAAATCCAGCCTGCTTTTTTTGGTAGAACATGCATGGTTGTTTTCAAGGCTCAATATGGCGCCTGTGTGCCAGAGCAAAAGCAGTAGAGCTATTTTAAGGAATCGTTGGAACAGGAAACTAAATCTGGTGGGCCACTCTGTTCAGTCTACTGAATTACACACCAATTGAACCATGTTAGTAACTGATGATGCCTGATTACAATACAGTATATATATTCTTTTTTTTTTTTAAACTGGTACACTTCTCAAATTTGTATTGAGAAATATTTCATTAAAGGTGCTCTAAGCGATGTTGGGTGATGTCACAAACAAAACGGAGGCTAGCTAGACCCTCCTTCCCCCTCATCCCGTCCCTTTTTGTATTCAAGCTTGTGTTCTAGCTTATTATCTTCTTGTGTATGTTAGGCGAACACTAAAGTCCATTCAGAAAAACCAAAGTGGATTTACCCACCTGTCCAGCAAAAACAGAGCTAACTGTTAAAGGACAACTCCGGCGCAAAATGAACCTTTGGTCTAATTACACATTGCTACCTAGTCAACCGTTATCTGAGATTTGTTTTCATGATTGCCGAATGCAAATAGTTTTATCTCTAAAAACAGTTTAGCCTATAACACTAGTATAATGCTAGTATAGAGTAATGACAAATAAAAATCGCTTGCTATTACCACTAAAAAGGCTCAAAAGAGCCCCACACTAACACGACAGCATAATAAGGGTCCCTAAATTCAAAGGTTCATTTTGCGCCGAAGTTGTCCTTTAACAGCATGATGTCGGATTGGAAGCTCTTCTGCTGGCAGAGTTCTCGCCACCTTTCAAAGGCTTTTCCAATGTAAATTCGGTACTTTGCTTGTTCCTTCTCCTTTTACATCTTCTTTGCATTTTTGCAATCTGTTCATCGGAAAGTTGTCTCTTTGGTCGTGTGTCGGCCATATCAAACTTAAAGACTTAATTCATAATTCTAACTTCCCCCTTCATAGTGTATGTGCACTAACCCAACCCCAAATCATTCTTGTCGGTTATTGGCTGGAACACTCTTTGTTTTGTTTTCATGGAGCGGGTTGGCCCAGTTTGTTTTTGTTGCCATTTGTGGTGCCTGGGCTTTTTACAGAGACCCCCCCCCCCCCCCCCCAATGTGTTCAGGGGACTGGCAGCTAGCGGATAGTGAGGAGATGTTTGCTGTAAGTGACAAAAACTGTTTTGGCCTAAAAAACACGTGACATAGCTTAGAGCACCTATAACAAATCCAAAAAATTGAGAATTCTCAAAATGAACAATTCTTCAAAATCTCAACAATTCATGGGTCACCAGTACTTGAAATTGTATCCATAAGCTTTTATGCTAATAGCTCAGACAGTTAATTTTAATGAGCAAAATTAATGGATAACTGCAGTGCAAAGGAACAAACAGAAACAGATTATTATTATAATTATTATATGAATTAGAGCCATTCAAATTCATGATACAGAAACAGTAGCAGCTTTAAGCAACATTCCGAAATTATCATGGACTCCTGAGTTACAAAAAAAAAGAAAAAAAACATGTGCAACATATTTCACAGTTTATAAAAAAAGGATGCGACATTTCGTAATATTTTTAAATTCTGGGGGAGGAAAAATTAACAAGCTATTAAATTGTTTTTATGACAAACAAACTGTAGTATGAAACTAGGACACAAAAATGAGACGAGGACTCAAGAGACAGAATTTGGACCCTGTGGTTTACACCATACTAATGATGGACATATTGGCCCTCATTTATCATTGTTGCGTAGAAACGGGCGTATATTTTGACGTACGATTATGCTTACACTCCTCTCACCGCCTGATTTATGAAGCTGTGCGTACCTTTGAAATCCAGGTGTACGCAATGCTTGCCCTTGATAAATCCCGCAGCCGAAAACGATCGTCATTAGAATAACACGCCCCTAAATATTCAAGTCTCCGCTCCCCCCACGCCCTCATTTTACGCCATGGACACACGGAAGACGGCAAAGAAGAGAAACTTCTCCGACGTGGAGGCGAAATGACCTATCACAATGCATTATTTTACAGCACGTCTTTTGAAATGAGCATTCAATTTCGAATCACGTCACATGTATAATAGTGATGATGATGAGATGTGAAGTACCATTCATTCACATTAATAATTGCATAACAATTTGTAATATTCTTCTTATTAATGACGCTTATTGTTATTTAGAAGAAGGATGTCGTTATTATTATATGTTTTATTATTATTATTTAAAAGAAGAAGAATGTAGCTATTTTTTATTATTTTGTCAGTCTGAATTATTTTTTTGGTCAATGAAAGCCTTTCATTACCGAACCGTGTCCGTGCGCACCTGCCGGGATAATCTTGAAACGGCAGGGTAAAGTCCACAGGCTCGCAACTGACGGAATACATATGCTTACAAATCAAATGCTTTGGTAAAGTCACACAAATTAAACATTGAAGTCCACGTTGCACAAAAATAAACACCGAAGTTTATAATTACTGTTTTTTTTTTTTGTAGTGGGTCATAATCATATCTTTTCAGTGCGTTAAGTGGTGTTAGGAATTTTTCTCCGCATTTCCTCACTAACTCAAGACGTGCCTACACCACCTCCTGAGCTGGTGTAGGATTTGAGCGTGCCGTACGCCAACGTCCATATTGATAAATCTCAAAGTCACCGTGGTTTTGGGTGTACGCAAGGTGTACGCTGGAAATTTGGTGTACGCACTTTTGATAAATGAGGGCCATTGATTCTTAATAGATAATGTTGACCACATATATGTTAGATAAAATGTAAACAAATAAAATAATTTAAAAAATGCTGCTAGATTACAAAATAAACAGACTAAATCAATTTACAGAGTGCCTTGTATTAAGAAAGTGGTACCAACAATGAATGGATGGATTATATCTAGGTCTTAATCAAACCATTAAGTTGCAGATCATTTGTAACTTCAAGTTTTTGCAAGGGACAAAACAACTATAAAGCCCTACAAAATTAGTCTAAGGCAGGAGCTTTGGACTTTTTATATAATAATATAATATAACAATAAGAATGTTCCCCAGGTTTAACCGTTCTTTAACAGTCTTAATTGTTTTGTACTGTGCCCTTCCATGAATGGTTAAAAAAACAACAACAACAGTATAAATGATGCAAAATGATATCCTGAAGCACAATCTGCAAGTGCCATTTAGGAAATGAGCTTCTTCTGTTTGAAGTACGTTTCAAACCTGTGCTGTGCGTAGTCCTTTAGAGAAAAACAGAAAGAGATAAAGACAGAAATGAGGTGAAGTTTCACATGACTTCAGATCAGTGACGAACAGATTTGTTCTGTACACACTGCTATGTTTATTGTTCACATAACTATGATGCTGTTCGATTGAGCTCTCAGAATCAAGGATTACTTAACCATTTCTGGAACATGAACTACAATCTTAATGAATGTATTTATGAATGAATATTTATATTCTTAGGTGATGTACTGGTCACCACTGATATGCAATTAATGCGATTAATTAGGGCTTCAAGTAAATCCATTACAATTTAAATACATTGACGGTCCTAAATAAATCATCGTACAAGGATTAGGAAAATGTTTATGAGGTTTATAATCTGTGTGTTGTGATACAGTTTTAATATTTTACCATGTATCCAAACTCGATTTTGGAGATCTTGGCTTGAATAATGGACCACAGACCCCAGTGGAAATGAGACGCAAGGGCAAACCTGTTTGTGCACGAGTGATTTTTTGAGAGATTGGAAAACAAACAGATAGAAAGGTTACTAGGTGGAGGGGAAAATTCATCAAACGGTACACAATGATGTTCTCTCCAGGTTATGTCAATAAAAGTTTGATAGTAAATGCGTTTCATACCGGTTTGCCTCAATGATTATGTCCTCCTCTATCATGGCTTGGTCTGCAGGTGCAATTCCTCCCCTTTCTGACAGATAGTGTCTGATAAAATGTAACTGAAAAACAAAGACTCTTAAAATAATATCTACAGGAATATCTTTTTAATTTTTATTTATTAATTATATTTAATATATTTAAAAAAGACTGACATTGTCCCCTGCTTGACACAATTGAGCTAATTTCTAATGATTTTGCATCAGGATTAAATTCTTGGACAATTAAATATTATGCTGTTAAATATTAATATTGTGCGAGTCAGGCTGCTGACCTCTGCATGTAAAAGTTATTGTGATAACCTTTGACACACTTTTTATGTCACATCAGTTCCAAAACATTCCACTAGATGGCAGTCACAAAATGATATCCATATGTCCAACACAAATTATTTCTAATTTAACAAAGGTGGACAAATATCAAGAAAAAAAAAAAAAAACATTTTATAATGTTCTCAATTTTACTTTTACTATTTGTAAAGATGCTTTGGAGAGATAGTATGCAACATCTAAATAAAATGAAATTGTAATTTTGTTTTTCAGTTGATAGCTTGTCAGTCTAAGTTGACCTTTTTGTTTTTTTCTTGATCATCTAATGTTTTTTAATATCAAGACAAATAATAATAAGGCTGTAATGTGTGGATGGGCAGGTAGTGACTCACCTGCTGTTGTCTATTAGGGTAATTCTCCACTTTTGCCTCGAAGAAGGGCCACTGGTCATATGTGTAGTCATATATCCATTCACAGAAATGATTCCCAAAATCAAAGCCTCTGCAAAATCAGAGTTCTTTAGAGCTGCATTTATCATAAATAATAAATTAGTATGCAGATGTTTGCTATATATGGTAGATTTACCTGTAGTTATAACTGCTGTATTCAAAATCAATAAGCATTAGTTTGTCAGATGAATTCTCTCGCCCATCCAACATAAGGATATTCCCTGAAAAACAAAGTATGATTTTATAGGTGAAAGGGCAGATGTGTTACATAATGGTACAGCGTAACAGTGACTGATAAACCCGTATCAGATTACCAGATTAGACAGGACACTAGTATGCCTGTATTAAATGCAAATGTGCAATCTTTTACCTTCCTGTACATCATTATGGCAGAACACAACAGGAGAGGGAGTAGCTGCCAGCAGTGACCTGAGAGAGAGAGAGAGAGAGAGAGAGAGAGAGAGAGAGAGAGAGAGAGAGAGAGAGAGAGGCGGAACATGATCAAGTGTTACTTTTTCACAATGCTCTTATAAACCTGCTTTTAAACTGATTGTTTTCAGTGTTTAAAAGACCATTGAACAAAAAGTGCAGCAATGGGCAGGAACACACACACATACAGAGCAGTAGGTAAGCATTTAATTCAGATAAAAGTTACACAATCACGTGTGCGTGTTTGTGATTGACAAAGCAAGCTGAGTATGCAGAGAATGCAACTTCCTGTAAGTGTGCCTAATCAGTGATGCCTGGAACTGGGCTAAGGGTGCTGGCATACGACAAAGCCGTTCAAATGTTTAGGGTCAGTACGATTTTTTTTTTTTCTTAGAAAGAAATTAATACTTTTGTACAGCAATTGATCAAAAGTGATAATAAAGATATTTATAATTATACAAAAGATTTCCATTTCAAATAAATTCTGTTCTTTTGAACTATTCACTAAAAATCCTGATTTTTTATAATACATTTTTCCACAAAAATATTAAGCAGAATGGCCGTTTTCAACATTGATAATAATAATAAATTCTAACTTTTAGATGCTTAATGCATTCAATGGCCTTGGCCGTTTACTATTAACTGGAAGTTAAATATCACAAAATGCTTTTCATTCAACCTCTCTGCTCTTTCAATTCACATGTCAACTTTCTCACCTCAGACTCTCCAGTTCTGCAGGAAGATCATACTTCATCAGCTTCTTAAATTTCTTAATGTGAGCTTCACGTACAAATTTTATTGTTTTAACTTCCTCCATGTACCTGTTCAGAAGGACAAAAACAATCATTTAACATAAACAGTCATTTAAAACCGCAAACATATATACAGCAAACATAATAAACCACAATCTGCTAACGGACTGGAGCTTTAATTTAAAAATAATTTGTAAAATGTGATGCTTTTTTTCATTTGTACCTTTCCTTTAGTGTGTAATATAGTTGTTAAACAATTGTAATTGTCTGTACTCCTGCTGTTATATCCATTACGTGGTGACGTCACTATGTAACACAACTGAATATGTTCGTCTGGAAGAGGCCAGGAAGAGTTTATCACTATGCCAAGGAAATGCTTCTTTTTTTTTTTTCACTGCGAGGGCAAAACATCACGTGGACTTTCAAAAGGCAAAGGAATTAAAGAATCAGCGGTTAAAATACATTTCTGACACTATTCCTCAGCAGTACAACCACAACCTTTCGTTGTGTTTTCACCATTTTTCTAACAACCCATGCAGTTTGATGCAGGTCAGAGTGTTAAATTGACGTTCAGTTTTTTCTGTGATGTAGAGAAATGACAGTCAGAATATTACATTACACAGGTTTAAAATAAAGAATTACCTAAAAATACCTAAAATAAAGAATTTGCTTGCAAAGGTGATATGGGTCGATCAGCTTCTTCTTGACTGTCATTATCGGACTTGGGGTTGAACTTATGTGATTATATGTTATTGTTGTAACATTTACAACAGACTGTGTCTGGCTGACCAATCAAAGAAGTCAATGCTTTGTGGAAGGCAGGTTTTAATGAACCAAAACTTAAACAGAGACTTTTAAGACAAATTTCTTCCATTAGCTTAATTACATTTTCTAGGGCATTTTTTGTTATTCTTCAGATAAACTAAGAATTTGAAGTGTTCATTTTCAGTGTTAAAATTTCAACAAAGAAAATTTCTTTCCCGAATCAGCCAAACAGATACAAGATACAAATATAAGCTCAAAGTCACTTGAGCGTGTGAAGCCCACTAGACAGTGCATACGCGCTAAATGTGTCTTCCCGCGCTCACGGCCAAAGGAACGCGGTAATTTAAGTATACCAGGCCTTAAGACTTTTACCTATCAATGTTTCCAAACAGCCATTTGGGTTCTTTGTTGAATGGCATCTCCATGCCATGGAATCGTGCCACCTTACAGGCTATTTCAGCCGAGATCTCTGGGAACCCCAACTGCTTCGTACACAAACGATTACTCTGTGGAAAAGAAGCAGATTTGACTTATCACTCTCACAATGCAGAATTATGTAGAATGTAAAATGTTTGATCTATGATTAAGGTTTTAAAAGCACTCCTATAGAATGACTGCATTATACAAGACAAGTGTTGTGGTGTTTAAAGATTAATTTTAAAACATGCATATAGGATCTGGGATTTTGGTGTAAGACTCACAGGCAAGTACTGCTCAAGACGGCCTTCTGGGAAAATGCCATAGAGACGTGGGCCCAACTCTCTCTCTGCTAAAATGGCAAACATCACACTTTCCAAAACAAGAGAATCCACTCCCTGTTTGTGCATATGAACAAATGATTAGATATCTATTAGTTATATAACAGTGAATCAACAACATTGGCCAATAAAGATCTTGCCTAAGATACAGACTCCAATCAGCTTGCTTTTGCAACTGTATTTTTGGTCTACTGAATGTGATTAGGATGGCCCACCTGCAGAATGGCCCCGTAGATCCGGAGCAGAACTCTTCGAGGTTCGGTCCCGGAAGGCTGAACATCGTGTGGTAAACTGCACATGTACAGCAGGTTACTGAGTCCTCCACTGCAGCCACAAACAACATTCACACAGTTTATAAGGTTTACTAAGAATAAATAGCGGATCACTGCTTTGCTGATGTCATAGATCAATATATATATATATATATATATATATATATATATATATATATATATATATATATATATAAAGTATTGGCAAGATGATAATATATGATTATTTATACTCCTATGAACTTTCATTACCCCTTTATTACCTTACTATTTTGATCCGAAAGTCATGTTCTGATATTGTCTTCCAAGACCCGGACAGAAAGTCTCGGCACCAGGTGAACGCCCTCCTTCTAGTATCCGGGTCCACATCCACGTTACGCCCGTCCAAGTGTGCCTCCGCTTCAGAGTCATCATCCCCGTTAGCGCCGCGCGGACTGCCGGTTCTCGGATGTCTCTCTTCGGCCACCTTCAGTGAGTCAGATCTGTCCGAATTCGCGTCATCTTTAACGCATCTGCCTACATTTCCAGCACCATCACTCATGCAATTCACTTTTTGGACCGATTGCATGATCTTACGTGCTAGCTAGAAACCCACAGCTCCTTAAAGAAAGTGAGAGAACCGAACCGCTAACGTTGAAACCAAGCCCCAGAAGCAGCATTTATTGAGCTTGAATAAACGCACATGCACCACTGTCACGAGCGCACAATGAAACATATAATCGCTCGCGATATCAGAACTGCGTTTACGGCGAGAGAAACGGCCGTTGGATTAAAAATATCAGAAAAATCAATAGCTATTTTTTCCGCATATTACCTTTTCTTAAATGTTACATTAACTACACAGATGTAGTAACAAACTGTAAAGGCAGTTAATTAAATACCTCTGCACCACAACTTCCACTAACGTTACTTCCTTCTGAAGTAAAACCGGTCCGCTAGCGTTGACATTGCAGAATGCAGAGATACTTTAAAACATTGACCAATCAGATTTGGAGACTGAGGCACGCGACCCATTTCTAAGTACAGCCCCCTTAAAGCCAGGGCGCTGAATGGTCAGTTCTAAGACAACTACAATAACAAGGGAAGTGTAGTTTAGTTAACACCCTATAGTACAAAGTACAATATGTTGAAAAGTAGGCTACGTTACAGTCAAATCTAAAAATCTAATTTGTTAACTAAAGTAAATGGACTATATACGATAAAAACAACATTTGTAATATAGCCTTTATGTGATTTCTAAGGTGAAAGTATCGTAGCTAGTGTTTTTTTTTTTTTTTTTTTTTTTTTTTTTTTTTAAGAAGACTTAATATTCAGAAAGGGGCATTCCAGAATTTCTATTAAATGCCATTATATTTTCTTACAATTTATTTAAAAACGAAGATTATTTTATTTATCTGGGTTATGTTTTATTTATTAAAAGCTATTTCACTTTGGTGTGTTATTATATAATGTTTAGTAAATGTTTATAGCATTTAGTTTAATATATGTTCGTGTTATAGTGTTTGTGTGGGTAACGCTGTGCTGTTGTTAACAGTTACGGGGGGAAAATATTTGGAACTACATACATTATTAGTTCATTTTATGTTATAACAAACAGATTATCACTTTATACTTTTTTACGTTTTCTGCTATATTTCTATTAACCAGAGTTAATCTTTTTTTAAATAAACGAAAAAATGTATTTGTTTAGGCTACTTACAGTTATTTACCTTTAATATACGTATAGGCTAGTTAAAGATGTAATTGCATAGCATTTTGTTATCAACTCTTACAGCACTATTTACAGCTGAAATGAATGGCACTAAATCTTACACACACACACACACACACACACACACACACACACACGCGCGCGCGCACACACACACACACACACACACACCACACACACACACACACACACACACACACACACACACACACACACACACACACACACACACCTTAAAATCACGTTGTCAGCAAATATTTCGTCTTTAGGCTCTAGGAAACCCCACGACCTAAACGAGACTTCATTATACAGCACAACATGTTCCCTGCATTACCCACTGTGGCCACTCTGTCAGTAAGCTTTCAGCACCAAACACTGAACAGCTCCTCTGCGGCAGAACGAGGGTTAATGATCCAAGTGAATGATGCTTTACATTTTTACATATAGCCTACACCTGTTTTTCGATATGAGAAAATATGATGTCCTTGATAATTAAACCAGCCTACTGCTCAAAATGCCAGAGGTGTCCCAGATATGTCTTTGCACTTTGTTCAGTCTTACATTTGCAGTTATTTTTCACTTAAATATTATTTAATTTACAACTAAATTTACTACATTGGTGATCTGAGATAATGATAGGCCTGTCTATCACACCGTACTTTGGGCCCATAAATCTATTAGCCTAATTAATGGATACTGTATTAGTAGAATAGGCCTATATTCCCATATAACCATTGTCAAGCTAGTAGCCTATATGCCCACACGAAACATCGTGCTGCAATATCTTGCGTAGCTCTCGAACGGGATACGGAGAGCAGTTAAGTACTAACTGTTTTAAACTGTTGATCCTCTAGATGGCGCTCGGTGGCTCAGAAAGATTTTTGATATTTTTCCTTAGACATTTGTCCTTCACTAAAAAGCTTAATCGTTTAAATACATTTTAATAATTAATTTCGGACATACGTGCACCTCGCAGTAGACTATTAAATAATTACAAAGAAACCAGTAGGTCCTATTTCTTAATCGCAAACGAATATTAGTCCATCTCGACCATTATATCTCGACCTGAGCAAAGAAAAGTAACTACCACGTGATATCAGGATTGACTTTGTTAATTTTGTAAAAAGGAATTCATCCCAAAACGTTTTTTTAGTCAATTATAAATGAATGAATGAATGAATGAATTAATTAATTAATTAATACATATTTTGGATTTTTTTCATGTTAAGTTTATTATTTATAATTACTAGTAGCCTATTCTTTGCTATGTTTTATTTTATATAAGCTTTTTAAATTATTTAACCTAACTGATTGTTCAATTGTTGCTCTAAACACATAAAACGTAACTTTAGCAAGTCAGTCTCTAGTCTCTATTAACTCTAGTTAATAACCCATTCGCCTGACCAATCAGAGACAGTCTCTGCAACTCTAAGCCACGCCCACTTACAGGCATCTTTTCGTGTTCATTGGCATTCTATCCGCTTGTTCTATTTCTATGGGATCGCATGCACGCGCCTCTGCCTCATCAGCATCAGCATCATCAGATGCGCGCAGATCACGCCAAACAGCGCACTGGTTTATCAGCAGGTGTGTGACTGAAACAGAAGATAATCGATATCAATAGGCTACATAGCCACCTGTGTGTGTTCTATATATCTGACTCTCATTTCTTTGGATCACCGATTGAACCGTTTTGATGGTTTGATTCCCAGCGGGCGTTAGCAGTCAGTGTGGCCGAAAAGGAGAGAGAATAAAGCGAGATCATATTTAATATCCGCTTCTCCAGTGTCTGTGGATGGGCTGCGGACATCTGCATCTGCAGTCTCTGTTTTTGAGTCACTAAGAAGATGGCGGACAGGGCAGAGATGTTTTCTCTCTCCACCTTCCACTCCCTCTCTCCTCCGGGATGCAGGTAAGACGCGCAGTATTTCTCTCAAGTATGCGCGGGGTTTTCTCTTCCTCTGGTATTTTTATTTATATAAACTGGTCATATGTGACCATATGCGCTGTTTATGTATCTGTAATGTCCTCAAACACCTCCAGAATTCAGCATCAGCATCCGCAAGCAGTGATGCTCAGCATCCTTGTGTTGTTAATTAGGATTTACACTAACGCCCTTGTTGTTTTATTATTTTATTTTTTAATGTATTTATTTATTTTTTCACGTATGCGTGTATGTAAAATAATGCTCTTATGTGCATGATATTGAGCAAAGGACAGACAATTGATTCCCCCCCCTCCTGGCATGTCATTGCCTGACGCATCCTCTCAGAGATATTTGGCATGGAAAGGCCCACGCCCTGTTGTGATACTCATAACTGCATTTTAATGTTTGATGACACATTACAGTGTTCCCACAATTGTGTAATTATATAGTGGTGAGTAATACTAATGAACAGTACATAATTGTGTTGTGGAGCTGCATGTAATTGCACATTGTTATTGGTATTATGCTTTAATAATTCGTAATAACATCTGATATGGGCATTTATGTGTAATTTAAGTTGTTACCTCATTCTTCTGTCACTTTATGCAATATTTTATCCACGAGTAGCATATAATGGATTGTTTTTAAATACACTTTTTTTAGTAAGAGGGTAGATATTCATTAAAAGTTTGCAGTGCATATAACATTAACTAGTAAATAATTCTTGACATTTGAATGTACTACAAAATACCAAGTATTAGCCATTTAAATGGATGAATGGAGCCACATCACATTCTGAAAACAATATATTCTCAATTCTATTTCAATGTAAAAATTGCAGTTGCTTCTATAAGGAGCCATTTCTACCTGACCTGACACTTAAAATTACTTTCATTGATGTAACACAATAGTAAGGTCAATTCAGTTATATAAAATATTATGTTTCACTTGAATAAAATAAGTTAGATGTTACCGCATTAAGTGCATTTTAGATTATTTTATAAAATATTTTGAATACTGAGATATGCAAATTGATTTCAGCTACTATTGGTGCATTAAAACGAATAATACTGTTAAATTGTTAAAATCATTTTAACTCCCTTTTATTGGCTTGTTGGATTATTACATTATTAAATTTAACCAAATATATGGTACTCTTTTGATTAAACTGCTAAATGTAAATATTTAATTGAGGTACAGTAAATGAAGTATGGTTTAGATTTAATAAAGATGAAAGGGAAATAGTTTGCTTAACTTGGCTAAAACCGTCCAATGAGTGACAGTTAATTTTCATTTTCTCTATGGCTGGCCTATGACCTACTGGTCTTCTTGTTGCTCTAAAATCTAGTGTATTCGTGTAAGGGTAGGTACAACCCCAAATCAGAAAAAGTTGCGCCATTTTGTAAAATGCAGTAAAATCAAGAATCTGTTATTTGTTCATTCTTTTTAACCTTTTTTTAACTGACAAATTGTTTTCCAATGTTTTCACTGACCATCATAATTGTATTTTGTAAATATGAATATGAATTTTGATTTTGATGGCTGCATCACACCCCAAAAAAGACAGAGCCATGTTTACCACTGTCACATCACCTTTCCTTTTAAATACACTTTTTAATAATTGCGAGTTGAGGATAATAATTGTTGGAGTTTTGCTAGTGGAATCTTGTCCGATACAAGACAGCCGCTCAACTGTCTTTGGTCATCATTGCCTAAATTCTCATTTTCATGATGGGTCATACATTTTCCATAAGAGACTGGACTGCAGTAAACAGGCAGGCACATCCCTTCTATGGTGCTAGAGTGTCTAGAAACCACTCAGTTGTAGCACGTGCAGAGGAGGCCTGGCATTGTCTTGCTTCTCAGGAAAGATGTCATCTTGATGGCAGTTTATGTCTCTGTACAATCCAATTATATGCCTCCATATCAATGGTACCTTCACAATACTATGGCAGTTTATGTCTCTGTACAATCCAAATATATGTCTCCATGTCAATGGTACCTTCACAATACTGCAATACCAGGACAGATGTTTGCTTTTGCACCTGTCACTGGTGAAAGTCTAGTTGGTCCCTTGCGTCTTTGGGACTGAGAACTCGATTCTATTTTCTCCCAAAAACTAGCTGAAACATGGATTCATCTGACCACAGCAGACATTTCCACTTTCTTCTCTAGACCATCTGAGATGAGCTCAGGGCCAGAGAATCTCCATATAGAACTGATGTAAAGCTTTCTCCTTGTGTAACAGAGATTCAAGTGGCATTTCTTGATGCAGCGTCAGACTGTGTTCAGTGAAAATGGTTTCCCAAATTACTCATGAGCACATGTGGCTGTATTCGACAGAGTAGTATGATGGTATATTGTGAAATGAAACATCTGAGGGCTCAAAGGTCAGTCACATTCAACAGAGGTCTACTGCCTTACCCAACACAGACTAAGATTTCTCTGGATTCCCTGAATTTTGTGACAATATTTTGTATAGAAGATGATGAAAGGCATAAATGCTTTACAATCTTTAATTGAGAAATGTGATTTTTAAATTGTTTGATAATTCTCTCAAGATATATGGCACAAAGTGATGAGCCATGGCCCATCTTTGTTTTAAAAGACTGAGAAGCAATTTTACACCCAAACATGTTATCCTCAACTATTACCAATTCACCTGTTCATTGTGGACTGTTTCAAAATATTGGATAATCTTTTCACTTTTATTTGGTTTCTGTCCCAACTTTCTTTGGAGGGGTGTTGCAGCCATCAAAATCAAAATTTGTTTATGTTTACAAAATACAATTCTGTTGGTCAGTGAAAACATTGGAAAATGTTTCTTTGTACTTTTGTCAGCTAATAAAAGTTTAAATAGAATGAATGATTTACCTGCACAGCCCTTTACTAGCTGGCCTCCATTACACTCAATCCCCTAAGCCTCACTCCCATCCGGGTCACGGCACCAATGTAACCCCTCCGGTTCTATACTCACTGCTCTGAAACAGATGTTTCTGGCACGGGATGCAGGCACACTGATAAGGACGTTAACGATCTCAGCCTCTAGCGTATGGCGCTAATGCGCCTCTTGAGGCCAGGGAAGTGAGGTTTTGAACATGATGGTTTTGTTGTCAGTTCAAACTGATGTACCTATTTGCTTATTTGCCAGCTGTTCTTTTCAGCTGTCAACTTTTACCCTTTTTCTCTCATTGTTTACTTTACAATGGATTTGTATCCTCTCCTTGTCCTCCCATAAACCTGTCATTTCTTAGAGTAGAAATGATGGGCTGCATTTTGCATTCTCTAATGCATCAGGATGATATTTTAATGAAGAGGAAAAACACAGTCCCTCTCCTCTAAGATTGAAGTAGATTTACTGGCATGATTTAAAACAAGGTTTACTGAGAAACTAATAAACAGAGACAGAGACTGTGCCTCTGTCTCAGTTTCTCAGTTATCAGTGTCAAGTTAAATGTGCATGATTGGCGTCACAAATGCATTGTATAGCTAAAGCATTTGGAGTAGGACTATAGATGCATACATAAAATAGTGCCGTCATGAAATGAAAGTTGAGATTGTCCTTTTTTGGACAATTTGGTGTTTGGTTTGGCGTCGCTAACAACATGAAGGCAGATTTGAATGCCAGTATACAGTCAGTTGTGGAGGTTTTCTCTCCACCGGACTCACCACCATTACCCTCCCATGAAGAACCCGATGATGAGAACGAGGACAAGCAGCCAAATTTTCAGAAAGGAATCACCCTATATTTATAAGCCTTCCATGAACCAAGATGAGGTGGCTGATAGTCGGCACACAGGTGCGAACTCGCCGTTATTCCTCCTCTTTTGAAATGCAGGAATTTGAGCCAGCGGGCACGCAAACAAGGTTTTTTTAGGGATAGGAAAGACGACGTAAGGAGCACAACCAAAAATGCATGTAAAACCCAATATTTTCTGGCTGTCAAACCCCAACAATAGCCACGCCCTCTAGTAATAGTTTTTGACCGGAAGAGAAGAGAAGTCGTTTAATATGGGGTAACGTATTTGATTAAAGATAATAAGGGTACATTAATTTGTTTAAAAAAATATGAAGTGCACAGATAAATCACTTATAATAAACACTACAATATTACATATAAAAATATGAATGGTAAAATTTGATTTCATGATGACTGTAAATGACAAAATATACTGTAGAAAGTGGATGTCAGGGTTATCCTTAGTTGTGTTTGTTCATGTGTCATGGTTTCATGTCTACCCTTTCAGTCTTTACTTGTCATAGTTAGTTCCCTTAGTTACTGATTATATTCACCTGTTGTTCATTTAGTTCTTTTGTTAACTATGTGTAAATATACTCCCTGTTCTGTTCAGTTCCTTGTCTGTTCCTCGTCTTATGTTATGTGGTGTTAGTGCCAGTATTCTCCTGTTTGTATTCTGGAGGAATATGGTGAGGGCTTTCTGCAACTCTACAACAAGGCGCGTTGGGACGATGAAACTCTCAAACATCTCTTCTGGAGCGGGGTGGACAATATCCTCGGCCAGATGTTGCTGTTGGGGGAGGATCACCATCCTTTCGCCAAGTTTATTGAATACACTTTCAGGCTGTGCAGATCCTCTCTCAACGTGGGAGTTTTCAATAATGATGCCACCACCAACTCCGATTCAGGACCCATTGTCCCGGAGGCCATGCGAGATCTTCCAATGTACAGTAGACCTGACATGATGCCAGAACCCACCTCCCACCATGGAGCCAGAGCCCGCTATCACGTTTGTCCCAGAGCTAGAGCTAGAAGCCCCCTCCGCCCTGAAACAGGACCCTACTCTCAGGTCAACCTCAGAGTCTGCGCTATGGAGGCAGTCCTCTCCTGAGTCATTTCAGGAGATCTGGCTCATTACCTTCCCAGCAAAGTCAGCTCCCACCCTTATACCAGCTCCAGTAGCTGCTCCAAAGATATTAAATGACCCAGTCCCATCCTGTTACCTGCCCACACCGTTGTCTCATGC